TTGCATTAAATTTGTAGCAATGTGATGATGGCCTTCCATGCAAACAGGTTTAAGGGAAGTTAATTTCTAGTTTAAGATGTTACCAGTTTTTTATAAAATGGCTTTCTTATTTCTCTTGTCTTAACTAACTTTGTTCTATAAACACCAATAAGATCTTTTCTTAAATCCTTCCTATGTAATTCATTTCAACATTATTTAAATGTGTTTCTTACTAAATTGGTTATGTATTCCTAAAACAAGTCCATATTTACAAAAATCTACATAAAGAAACACTGCCTTCTTGAATTGTCAGTGTCATTGATGCTTATTGTCTTAAACACTAATTCGCATGTTTTTGTATGTTTTTTTTTTTTAGAATGCATTCTTTTCCTATTAAACATTTCCTTGTTTTGTCTACATTAGTAAATTTTAGCCATAGAAAGTTTAGGTTGCTTTTTTAACTTTCAAATATACATTCAGATCTACATGTGAGCTGGCATTCATTAATATTACTACTAAGAAAGTTGCATCTCTGACATAGTTCCACAGTGGCACATAAACAAGTGTGAGAACATACTCAGAACATGAACCCAGGGTTGTGGTTTATAGGAAGTATAAATGCACATTGCAGTAGAGGCAGGCTATCAAAACTGAAATTGAGGAAAGGGACAGGTGTGTTTTGGAGTACTGGTCTTTGGGTTTGGTTTGAACTATTTCGTGTTGCCAGTTAGGCTAAAATCATTAATTGGTTTTGGGGTTGTTGTTTGGTGTCATCATTCTCCCCACCCCAGAAGATGTGCATTTTGAGGCTTTCTGAACCCTTAGGTATTCTTGGTGTTTTTTTGTTTTGTTTTGTTTTGTTTTGTTTTCAGGCATTTCTCTGTACTGAAGGGCCAGAACCTTTAACATGGCAGCTGTGACTATCTTCACAGCACTCTGGGCTAGAGCTTTAAAATATCTTAGGAGTTAGCAACTGTTATTGTCAAACATTTAAGATTCATTTCTGTTTGCTTGAGTCATTTAACATTATCTGTAGATGCAGATTTCGATGATTTTTGAGGTCAGTATCTATGCAGAAATCCCAGTGATACTGAAATTAGCAGCAGGAATTGCTTGAACAAAAATTACAGGATTGGTTTTATACTGGTGGAAATAATGGACAGGAAGTCAGAATTCACCCTACAATGGATGGTTTATAATGCCCTCACTTTGAAATGCTTAGGGTATTTTATCTTTCCGAGGAGTGACCTATTTACCAGAAAAATGAACTTCTAGATGTTAATTAATAGTCTTAAATTTTTCATCTATCCCTATCTGGCATTTTCTTTTGTAAGTCTACCTTCCATGTTCAAAAATACTTCAGGCAGAGTTCAGAGTTTTGTGTTAGAAACATCATATAGTGTGTTAAGTTTTACAGTCTCTAATGTATTTTGTAATTTGGGAAGGTGATCAGAAGTTCTTAAAACAAGTGTTTCTTTTTACTTCATCATAGTACTCAGCCTTGCCAAATAACTGTGGAATACATGCTTTTACTAACCAAACTGCGTGATGTGTCAGTCCTAGCTTCCTTGAAGGCAACTCTATGAAATTCTCCCATCTTTTTCAGTTGCAAGGTGTTGTTTACGTTTTGCTATTGTGTTATGATAGGCTTCATACCATCTGTTTGAAAGTTATTTGTCTTCTTCCCTCCCATCCTATGTCCTCTCCTACCCTTTTCATTGCCAACAGACATGTCAGCAGCAGTGACAGAGTAGGAAAACCTTACCGTGGTGTGAAACCAGTATTCAGCATTGCAGATGAAGAAGAATACGATACTGGTACAGTAGATTTTCCTTTTACCTGGATTGACTTATATAGACAAATCTGTTATGTGTGGCTAAATTATAAGAGTGTGTTTTGCATCATTGTCTTAATGTGTGACATTTTTCTAACTATTGATTGTGTTTGTAATGGCGATGCCTAGAACTAACCAAGGAAGAAGTAGTCTCTTCAAATACATAATAGCAAACTAAAGAATAAAAGTTCTTGTGGTAGGCACCAAGCAGCCAACAGGAAGAAATGGAATCAAATGGATATAGGTGATTCTTCATGTTCACTCAGTATTTTTGTAGTAAAAGAGGTGTTTTTCTACACGGGTCTTGTAGAGGCAAATATAAAAACGTACCTCTATTGCTCATGACAGTAAGCAGAATGCAAAGGACCTAATTTGACTGATAGATTTCAGGTTGAATCTCTAGTACTGGCAGTTAATATAACCATCTTAATTCCTTGTACAGAAAAAAAAGTAGTCTTTAGAGGACTTATGTATGCACACCTCTCCAGCATTATACCTCTCCAATACTAAAAAGTGATACTTTTTAGCGTTGAATCTGTTAAGAATTGATTCATCTCTTGATATACGTGCAGAATGCCACAGAAAAAATGTGCAATTTTTATTTTTTATCTACTTTTGCCTGAAAAATTACAGGCAAAACTGGAACACCACACTTCTCACAAAGATTTTTGAGAGAAAAGTGCAAATGCTAGAATGGCAAGGACAGCAAACTGCTGTCCTGTTTTGATTCTGGTAGTGTTAACTCACTCCCAACCATCATCATCCCACAAGTAGCCATCCTGTGACCAAAAGGCATACTCAGTTTCCATATTAGAAACAAATAGCTAGATTAGGAATTGTTGACCTTAAAATGAAATACCTTAGGAAGATTAATCAGATTTACAAAATCTGGAGTCATTTAAATAAGATTGATCAGAAACAATCATTGTTTGACTTAGGTAAGAATTGGGAAGGAGCAAAATGAAACTATTTCTTCTCATACAAGAAACTAGATGTCATCAAATGAATTACACAATCTGAAAACAAATAGGAAAAGGCCCTCCTGGAATATAGGCACATTTTTGGTACTCTTTGCCAAAAAAAAAAAAGTATTGTAGATGTAAAAAGTGTACATGACTTCAGTGGAAGTCTGGAAAAGTACCTGTAGAACAGATCTGTCAAACTTTACTGAAGGGACAAAGCAAGCCAGCTTAATGAATCCTATGAGCTGAGAATACTTGTTTGCTGAGAGAGAATTAATAGAGAAGTATCAAATATGCGTGCCTCTTTCTTGTTTCTCTCAGAGCCATTGTTTATGGACACCTGGGGGCTAGATGGACCCTTGTTTGAACCAGTGTAGCTACTATGATTTTAATTGAGCTGAAAAGTCTTCTGACATTTTGTGAAAATCTTTTTTTTTTTTTTTTAACCACCACCTCTTCAAAATAGATGAAATTGATAGCTCATCAATGTCAGATGATGATCGAAAAGAGGTCGTCAACATCCAAACATGGATAAATAAACCTGACGTGAAGTATAACTTCCCTTGTAATGAAGTAAAAGAAAATGGACATATGTTTCCCAGGTACTGGAATTACTTGTAAACTTAATGTCTGTCTCAATACATTTTTTAAAATATTCTTGGACAGTTATTTGTGATACAATTTCATTTCTAGTATAATAGTGAAACAACTTAGAACAAAATGTTACCACTATACTTGCATTCTTATATTTTCACTGTTACAGAGTATTACTTATGTACAAAACATAGTGTGAAAGTTTACTTTGTAAAACAAGATAAGAAGAAAAACATTCTCAGTAAATGTAGGCTTATTTTTCAAGACCAGGTAGACCTGAGTACCTATTCCTTCATGTTTTTCCTATCTACCTTTCTGACTTGTAGTACTTGCTCATCTTGCCCCTGAGATTCAGTGACCTTGTTAATCCTGCAAGAGCAGAACATGTTGCTTACTGCATTTTAGCTACACCAAAGAGTGCAAATCCTGTTGAATCTGGATAACACAGAATTAAGATGAACTTTCTTTTTCATCATGGTCTGTTATTAGATTTTATTAAAATAAATCTAACGGAAAAATAAAATTATATGGTGTATGATCACTGATCTGTCATCGTATAATTTCTCAAAGTGAGTTTGAACTCCAGTAGTGTGTTTCCCAACATGTGCGTTGCTTCTGAGAAGAACAGCAAAGTGGGTCTTGAACTGAGTGGGCAAGTGAACAACTTTATTTAGTGCTTGTTCAGTGACTGGCAATCAGTCATGGAGCGCCAGCACATCCTGGAGGCTTAAATCTGATGCTCCACATACAGAGTGTTTGTACAGAGTAGCTCTGTAGATGAAGGGATAAGGTTGGGGTGTGATTGAAGCATGGAGGAGAGAAGCTGGAGGCATTTTGCCCGCTCTGCATGGCCTGGCACGTTACTGGTGGTTATGATCGTTGACGTTGATCACTGGTGGCTTTTGTGCTGAGGTGATGATACTAACTACTTACTCTGATTTTGTATGCTGTTGAGGCTGCCATACTTGTTTATGTATGTGATTCAATACTTCAGAAAAATCTGAAGTATTTTGTAGACATTCCTAATCTACATAAGTATTACACTGTTTTATCTAGTTCTCTCCATGTAATTTGTTTGTAGAATTTAGCTTTGTAAATAGCTGTTACTTAGTTAAATAGAAAATGTAATTTCTGTTTTTCTTTCCCTTCAAGTCATCTCCTAGTCACGGCAACCCATATGTATTGTTTGAGGGAGATTCCGTCACGGAAGGGTCTGGCTTACATACAGTCTCGACAGGCACTCAACTCTGTAGTCAAAATCACATCCAAGAAGAAACATCCAGAACTGATTACCTTTAAATATGGAAATAGCAATACTTCAGGCATAGAAATTTTGGCAGTTGAAAGGTAAGCCATTCCTGTAGCACTGATATTGGTAGTGATGGTATACAGAATGATGTCAACTGGAAGACAGATGTATGCTGTATTTCCCAGAACTGAGTTCAAAAGTAATAGTTTTTATTTAGGAGCAGGTATTTAGATATGAACTAGAAAGAAGATCTGCCAGTGGAGTAAAGAACGTTATGAGACCCAGCAGAAAAGGACTCTAGCGTCTCCAATGACAGTTGTTGGGGATGAGATGTGTGCAAGTGTTTTCTTTTTTGTAATGTCTTTTCATCCATTTTTTTTTCATCCATGTAGCCTCTTGTTTCTTGTCACTGTTGTAACAAAGCCACTGACATTCAGTAGGTCATTTTTCCCATTCTTTTCCATGGTGAGAACTGTGCGCAGTGAGTGCTCTGTTTTCAGAATTAAGTGTAAGAGATGAGTCAGTTGTTCTGTTGGCTACTTAGGACAAAATGAGTTTGGTATTATGTCAGACACAGGTAAATTAAATGTGTTGTGGAGAACTTTGCTTCTTGTTGAATTACTTAATCACCACTTTATTGAGTGGTGCAAATACAAAACAGAGGACGGTAACTAAATGATCTAGGTGTGTCCACAGAAATTAAAAACAAAAACGAAAATGAAAACCTAGGACTGCCATATGTAAATCGGACAGTGCTATCTGTAGAGATCTTGAACTGCCTGTTCTGTTCCATTGTCAATTAATGAGGAATTTTTCCTTTCCAGGAGGGCCAGTGAAATACTCCTCAACAATTCTAAGTTCACAAACAGAAAATGTGTCATAGCATAAATAGGAAGTAAATGTTATTTCATTGTAATAGTTTTTCCCTCCTCTTTTCCTCTAGACTGTGTCAGAGGAAAAAATCAAAGCAAGAATTTGAGTTGATGCTCAAAAATTTTGTAGCAAGTTTATGATGCCTTTTTTCTTTTTCTGTTTTTTTTTTTTCTACTTAAGGTATTTGATTCCAAATGCAGGTGATGCTACCAAAGCCATAAAACAACAGATCATGAAAGTATTGGATGCCTTGGAGAGTTAATAACTAAAGACTTTGTAGAGAACAGTTTATAAAGAAGAAGCAACAAAGATACTGTATGTGGACATGGGCTGGCTGTTTTCCAACTGAATACTAACTTAAGAGTTTTTTTTCTGTTTGCTGGTGGGAGTGCCTGAGTAGCAGGCCTAAGATAGGGTAAATTATTACCAATTTCTTAACAGGATTTTAATTTTTTTCTTTTTTTCTTTCTTTTTTTTTTTTTTTTTTAAGAAGCATATATTATAAAGGTCAGTTTGTTTCTTTTTTATGCATCCGTAATCCGAGTGATCTGCATCTTTTTAAGAGAGGATGCAGCTGGGTTCATATAAGCATGTTAAAGGAATGAACTGCCTGATATGGAGCAGCAGTTGAAAACAGAAACAGCTTTAAATGACTGATACTTGAAAGTAAAATGTCTTCATGGCCTACAGTCTATAAATTTGATTTTTGCCTACTGGGTAGTATCAAGGACTATGAAAAACTTAGCTTTGTAAGCAGAGCAGATAAAATCTTAGGAATTTTCTTCCAGTTAAAAACGGTTAAGTGAATGGGACAAAACGCCAATAATTCGGAAAGTTAACTTTTCTGAAAGTCTTATCCACTACTAGGTTAAATAATTGGAATTGATTATAAGAGTATCTTTAAATACCAAAATGAACTGTACACAATAAGCTTTTACTACAGGGTTGTGCTTCTTATAAATTATGCTAAATTTTGCATTTCGTAGGTTAAGATCGTTTCTCTTGTGAGGATGAGTGCACATGTTGAAATTGGAGTAAGTGCTTCATGGCAGAGTATGACAGTTGAAAAAGTTATCTGACTCCTCTGAAGCAAAATATCTAACATGTAAATTAGATTTTTATATGCCTTCAGTTCATGCAGAAATAAGCTTCTGCTGATAGAAGGTGTGTTTGAAGACTGAAGGTGTGGCAAGAAAATTAACACGCATAAAGTGAAGAGATTCTAGTGCTGCATACTTGCGATAAATGTATTCATGAACTGTTGCCACCATTGGTTCAACATCTGTTTATATTCTTTTAAAAACTTCAAAGCTAGTAAATGTTTGAGAGATGGCAACTGTGTCATAGTGTATCTGCAGTCTTCTCTTTGATACAAAATGGTTAATAAGAAGGGTTTCTCTTGCTACAAAGCCCAGTACAGGAAGGTTCTTATGGCAAAGGCATAGCATCTTTGTAGACAGATGTGAAAATTACCAAAAACTGTGAAATAAAGACACTAGGGGTTAGATTTGTTGTGTAAAGTCTTCTGAGTATTGGAGTCAGAACCTGTGAATTGGTACATCATCAGGAGAAAAAATAAACTGACCTTTATAAAAGCCAGTTATTTTAAGTTATTTTACTAGGAATCAAGCTAGGGCACCTTAATTCTGGAACTTCTTCCTTTTTTTTTTTTTTCTTAGTATCTGAGTAAACACCAATAGAACTCGAACTGTTGAAGATATTTGCATGAAATTGCACCTGGGCCAACACTCACATATTTATAGATTTGCCCAGCAGCTGTTGTATTACATTTTCTTCCTACTCCCTTCTGAAACTATCCTGAAGAGTCTCTGACTCTGTGCCTATTTCAGCAATGATATTTTTTTCATGTAAAGATGTTTGTGTTACTGTTTATAAACTACAGTTGTAAATAAACCAGTACAATTTGAACATAACTTCTGACAGAAAGTATTTTTTTATTGTATAGTGTGTGAATTCTGTGAATCAATTTAACAGTTTTTCCTAAAGGCATTTCATAAATGGAAGAGAACTTGATATCTGGAGTAAAAGAAGTTGATTATGGGTCATTAGGAGCTGCTGTCAGTGACACATTAATGTAAGTATATTGGAATTTTGGCTAATTTTATAGGATTCTTTTGGGTGAACCATGGTCAGCATTCACAGAAAGGTCAAAATGAGGTAATAAATGGTCAAATTATAGAGAAGGCTTCTGCTGAATTCCAGGCATCTCGGCATCATATTTTACTATTATGTTGACAAATGAAAATGTTGACAAAATGATACAACACATTTTGGTAGGTCATGAGAGAGTGCTAGTGAGACCAAAAAGTTGCAAACAAAATAAGGGGAGAATTAAGACGTATAGCTGAAGTACCTGAAGTGGTATCTTGAAGAATCTAGTTACTTTTGAAAAGTACATTCAGTTGTTAAATTATTATGCGTATTTGGTATTGAATATGAAGAATGAGTAATGTGTATGCTTCTCTGAGGTCAACAAATACAGACCTTTTAGATCTACAGTAACTAAAGCTACAAGAAGTCAGTTTTAAAATCTCTTCTGTGTAGAAGTGTATAACTTATGCCAATAAGAGGTTAATTATTTGTAATTTTTAAATTACAAATTATAACTGCAAGTTACCAACAGACTTCTTGTGTTACGTCCAAACTGAACAATCATAATGGCATTTTACATGTATGTCTACCCACAACTTAGAGACTACTTTTGTCTCGTGGTGTATTTGTTGTATCTGTAGTTAGGATGCTAGTTACAAAACCTGAATTGCTAAGCAGAAATTCTAATTATAGGACTAGAGTGACAGCTTCGGGGGGAAAAAAAATAATCAGAATAATCAGTGTGCAACTTCTAGTCTCTTTCATCTTTGGGGATTTTTTTTAATTACTTGCCAGAGGTTTGCAGGCTTTTACTATGTATGTGCTGCTGACTACACTGTTGAATGTGTTATTTGAAGATAAAATGACAGCTGCTATGTTGCTCGATTTTTAACTTTCATTTAACCTTTCTTTGGTGACTAAAAATGAGGTCTGTTGCAGGAAAGGAACACTTCTCCGAGTAAGCTTTCTTGACCATTTGAAACTTACACCTTTGCTCGTCATAGCCGAGGTTCAGTACTTCTATGCTCACTGATTTTTTGATTGTTTTTGTTTTAATTGTCTCACAAGTTATTTTAGATTCTGATCTGTGTGCAAATTTGTGCAGAACTTATATTATCCACCAGAAGTATTCTCAGACTGTGGAGATATAAAGATTAATTGCTGCTCTTTCAGTTTAGTTCCTGTTAGGCCTCACACATGAGTATTAGCAGTGTTCGTAGCTTTGACTGAACATTTCAGTTGTAGTTTCAAAACTTTTGATGCTGTCAAATAACATTTTTTCAGTATGGGGGCACTCAGTGGCTGAAGAGTTTCCCCTTTTGGGGAAGGAGGGTGTGATAATCTGCTAACATGTTCTTTTTGGGTACATTTTAATGCTTTCAGATATTGCTAATGTTTTGAAATCTGAAAAACACATTGTACCTCTCATTACAATGGGAAATAGTATGAGCCTTTCTGGTTCAAAGGATGTTACCACTTTACTGCTTGTTCTTACTCTTACTTTGTATGCTGGGAACTCAGGAAACAGCTGTTCTCTGCACACGGAACCCTGCGAGGTTTGCTGTTCTGGAAAAAAAAGAAGAAAAAAAATATAATGATGGTAATTCTGCCATCCTTTGGGTCAGTCAGTTTGGGGATGAGGGATTTGTTTGACAGGGGCAGCCGGAGCTGCGTTTGTAACCGCAGCACGTACGGGGGGGCGTTTTGTGGCGGTTGCGGGCTGCCCACCCTTTATCTCTCCGCCTGTGTTTCCTGAAAGCGGCCTCAGCACGACGTGTGGAGGTGACCGCAGCGGGTTACGCATTTTGTGGTACGTTTCAGGCCAACACCGCCCTGTACGCCGGGACGAGCCGTGCCCACCAGAGGGGCGGGTCGAGCCCTTCAGCCGTTCCCGCCCACCGGGGGGGGAGGGCTGGCCTACATCTCCCAGCAGCGCCCCGCAGCGCGCAGGCGCAGCGCGGGGCGTGAGGCGCGGGGATGCAGCCGGCGCGCGGAGCCATGGCCCGTGAGTGGCGGCGCGCGGCGCGGCGGGGCGGGGCGCGGCCGCTGCTCCCCTCAGGGCCCCGTCAGGGCCGCCCCGGGAGCCGGCTGCGGGCCCGGCCGGAGGGGGGTGGCAGAGCAGCGGCTTCCCCGTGGCTCTCTCGGTGGTGGGGAGCCTCGTGTCTCCCTGCCGCCGCGCTTTGAAACATAATTTTGAGGAGCTGTGCGCGCTGCCAGACGGGCTTTGGCTTTTTTCAAAAGGGATCTTACAGGAACTGACCCTCTGCGCTTAATTTCCCCGAGTTACAACGCCCCGTGGAAAAAGACACGATTTGAGGGCGCTCCCTGGTAGGGCTGTCCTGCGAGGGAGGCGCACGAAGCAAATGGTGGTTGCGCCTGTTGGCAGCCTCATCGCAGCCTGGCTTTCCCAACAAGCTGAGCGCTAGAGCAGTTTCTTACCTGCGCAGTGGCCGTGTGAGAAGTTAATCATTTGCGTACTGTGTAAAAATTAACCACTTGTCTACTGAGGGGAGAAGCAAAGCACGAAGCAAGATACCGCCTGCCTATCCGTGTCCCAGCCTGGCCTGCCCTTGGACCAGCTCCCGTTTCCCCCAGCACCGTGGCAGTGCCGCTCACTGCTTCCCTGAGCCCTGTGGTTCTGGGTAACGGCAGCTTCCCTGAAAAGAAAAGTGATTTCAGCCTGGGGTACCGCTGTGGAGGAAGGCAGAGCGTTTGGGTTCAAAAGGAGAGAGCTCTGCCCGGTCGGGATGTGCTCTCCTACAGCCCAAGGTATGAGGAGATGCACAACGGGGAATGAATGCACACGATTTGATCTCTCCCGTGTGCGTAATTCAGAACATGCAAATATAAATCCCGCTTAGGCATGGTAGATGCTTGCAGATGTCTCTTGGCTAGAAACTGGATTGTAAAGTGACCAGGAAAGATGTTATCTTTATGGCTTTATGGTTTCTCACATCCATTTCCCAGGCCTGGTGTGATTTGAATGATAAAAGCAAACTTCCCGGATTTGTGTGCTTTGGGGATTACGCAGCCTTTAGTTTGCTAGTGGCATTTTAGGAGATTCAGCACTCATAGGGTGATGGGTGCAATGAAAAGATACACTCACAAAGCACGTAACAAATTGGGAAAGAAGTAGGACTGGATAATGTGTGGTCCCACTTTCCTACGTGAGAACGTAAACTGGGTACTGCCTAGGCTAAGCAGGAGCTAGCCTGAGACCAGCATGTCAACTCCTGGTCCTTGACCCGAACCAGGGAATGGCCATGTATGGTTCCCAGGTAACAAGCCTGCATTTAAATGTTTTCCCTGTGTTAGGAGACTTTTTCCAGAGTCATACCAACTGCAAAACGAGTTGGAAGTTGTTTGTGTATATATTGTTAATATGTAAGTAGATTTATTTCATTAAATGCTCATTAATGAATTCAAGGTTTGATTACCTGGGGAAATTCCACTGGCTAATTTTTTTTTTTTTCTTTTCTGCCATTAGACTTCCGCCTGGCACTTATTCAGCTTCATGTATCTGCTGTTAAATCAGATAACATTCAACGAGCCTGTGGACTGGTAAGAGAAGCATCAGCTAAAGGAGCAAAAGTCGTGGCTCTACCTGTGAGTAAAGATCATGATTTACTTAAAATACATACACCTCAAACCCTTGGAAACTTCTTTGTAGTGTTAACCATGCATTATATATTCCTCTTTCTCTCTGGATGTGCTTGTATGCTGTATGAGACTCCAAAACTGGGGGGAAAAAATGTGTTGATGTGCCTTGTTCCATCTACCAGAATGTGTAAAAGAAGGAGGGCGGGGGGGGGAATTGTTTGTTTGTTTGTTTGTTTGTTTGTTTTTTAGTGGGACAAGAATCTGTTTGAGTTCATGCTGGCTTAAATCCCAGGCAATTCCAGCAGCTCTAACTGGTTTGTTCTGAATTAACTGAAGTAGGACTGTGGTTTGAATTTTTGCAGAAGCCTTCTGTGCCAGAATGTAGGAAAAGGTGATTTTCAGCTAAAGAATGTTGATACAAAACAGGAAATGTTGATAGGAAAGCAGGCATCCATCTTTGCCATAATTATTCAGGATCAAACAGTCAATGAGAAACTAAATAGATGTCAAACATTGCCAGCAAGTCATTTGTGGCTGGATTATGATTAAAGCATCATGACACCCTTCCATGATATCCTTGTGCGGGAACATGATCACCGCTTAAAATTACTGATCACTTCTGATTTACTTTTTAGACTTCAGCCAAGATTATCTTGCTGATTTTTTAATTTTTTATTTTTTTTAACATGATATGCTGGCAACAAGTTACCTTCCCACTGTAGCTTTGAGCTTTTTCCTCTGTTTCTGGGGGTACATGTGCCTGTGCCTTGCAGCATCTGACTTGGGAGTGCAAAGGTCTTTTCTGGATGAACTTTTGGTCTGAATGTTTTACACAAAGAATGTTTTTGTTCCTGCTGTCCTAGGTGAAGTATTAAGCAACCTTCCCTTCTCTGTGCTAACACAGCTCTTGTGTTGCAAATATGACCTTTGATTATTCTGTCTAGGTCTCCTAGATGGAGATTATCTATTATTAGCTACTTTTTGTCATGTGTACAAACAACTGAGTGTTCCAGGCCAATTTAGTTGAGATATTCTGCTTGCTAATGATAATTAGTGCTTGTAGAGTAAACCCTCTCAAGCAAGGGCAAGGTCTTTCAGCAAGTTTGGGAAGGTAAATTTTGTACTGATACTAAGAGATGAAATATTATTTTCCTTCCACCTTATTATTATTCTTTTTTAAGTCACGCAACATAAAGAGTTAACACACACCAAGCATACAGTCTACACCTTTGCATAGGCATATGGTAGTTTGTGTGACACGTAGATATTTTTTCATATCTGGCCTAGGGAGAAAGCATGAAAGAAAAAATTGTAGGTTTGAAAGGTCAAGTGCAGAGTTTACAGCCATTTTTTCATTTTTTTTTTCTAATTCTAGGAATGTTTTAATTCTCCATACGGAACCCAATACTTTAAAGAATATGCAGAGAAGATTCCTGGAGAATCGACACAAAAGCTCTCAGAAGTTGCCAAGGAGTGCAGCATATATCTTGTTGGAGGTAGTTTATTCCTAGTGACTGTCTCATTGAGGGGAAAAAAAATGGGCAATGTCTATTTGTGCAACTGAATCAAAACTCCATTTACTATAGGGGGGTAAATATTTTTTCTCTCCTTTTTAAAGGATCCATTCCCGAAGAGGATGGTGGAAAGCTGTATAATACATGTACTGTCTTTGGACCTGATGGTGCTATGTTGGCAAAGCATAGGAAGGTAAGATGGTACAATATTGTTATTAGAAGGTTTCTCATCTATGTGGCTAGTGTTCAGCAGTGCTACCCAAAAATGGTATTGCCCCATCAGGATTTTTCCTCAGGTTCCCAAAGGAGTTAGTCTCTCAGTTATCGTAAAGACTGCTCTTTACGTACTTTTTGTGCTATATGTATAACAGTGCAGACAATTGAAGTCCAAGTTCCACAGTTAAGCTGTGTCTGCTGTTTGTGGTAGGTAGGTGCTTACTGTCATCTTCCACCTGCACATTGCTTGTCCCTTGAGAAACTACCTGTTTTCATAACTATGTAGTTCCTGCTACTGTGGCTTTGTGTACAGGCATCATTCCTTAGGTGAACAACAGCTTGCTTGTTTCAAGGAAAAACAAAAAAGAGAATGCAAGGTTACTTGGAACAAATGAGATGGTGCAAAATAGATCTGGGATGCAGTTATTCTTTTTTTTTTTTTTTTTTTTCCTTTTAACTGATTGTTCATTTAGCTACACTGTTAGATCACTTTCTGAAATACTGCATTGTCTTCAGTCTGTCATAACCACACCAGCCCATAAGCCCTGGAGTTGTTTGCAGAACGAGTGCAGGCTTGTACTGCATATATATGAACTAACAGTAATACAGAAGCATCTTGAAGTCATGTGAACTTCGTGACTTGTTGAAGGTATTTCCTGGAGAAATTTTGCAGGAATGGAACTCAAAGCTTGCAGAGGAAAATACCACTTGCTTTACCATATTGCACTTATGATCATGACAAATTTACGTTATATACATAGAGTACATTATATATGTACCCTTTCTTTAGCAAAATTATTCATTAAATCAAGATAGATAGTTATTTTACACGGATCCTTTTCTTGAAGAAGATGTAGAGCCTTACTGCAACTTTATTGTCCTATTTTTAGCTATTTTTACTAACTATTACTGCATGGGACAAGGATTGGACATTCTATTTAGTAAACAATGTAAACATTTGATATGTGCATCACTTAGGTCAAGGCTTATATGTGTTGTTTAAAATGCCTAGTATTCATCTTCTTTATTTTTTCTCCAAATAACTGTAGACGTGCAAATTTCTGTAAAGAACAAAACTGCTTTAAATTGTCTTCAGAAGATCTCTTCATCTTAAGCAATGTTTATTTGGGAGCCTGACGAAAGAGTAGTCCAGATTATCGTGACTAGTATACATCTGACTAGTAGGAAAAGTCTCAAGCATCAAGCAGATAAATTATTAATAATTCTTAATAATCTTATAATTACAGATTCATTTGTTTGACATTGATATTCCTGGGAAGATACAGTTCAAAGAGTCTGAAACACTGAGTCCAGGAAATAGTTTCTCCATGTTTGATACCCGTGAGTATAAGACAAGCCTTCTCTTTAGGAGCACTGCCACAGTAACGCTACAGACATTCTGGAGCTCCCTTCCCTACCATTTCTCCCCAGCAATGGATTTTTAGACTGTCAGGTTTAAATTAGGCATTTGACAATGATGGCAAATGTATTTTAGGTGTGTTCCAAGCATGGGGGTCACTTCAGAAACTTTTTTAAAAGGTAACGTGATTGAAAAAGGACAGAGAAGTAGAAAGGGATAAAGCATACATCATGGCACTTCCCGTAACAAACAGTGCTCCTATTGAATTGTAAAAGAGAAGTTACTGTATTTTTAATCGCAGTTTTTAAAACAGTGCTTATAAAAACATGTCTTGGAAAACAATCCATGTAGCAAATGGCTACACTGGCAGTTGTTTCATATGAAGATGGTATAATAATGGAGACAAATAACTGCAAATTCCATTCCAGTATTCTTGAATCAACCAAAACAGATTTTTTTTTTTTTTTAAAAAAAAGACAGCTACCACCACCCTATTTTCAAAAATGAGTACGACCTGTTAACTGAGCTCTCCTAAGAGTCTCAACTCCCATGGTGACTTTCTCCTCCTTGTGATGTGAATGCTGCAAGAAAATATGTATCTGTAATTTCATTAGTCCACAAAGCACAGTGAGTAATTTTATCACTGAAAAATATGCATCTAAATCAGAGAGGAATATGTTACACAAAAACCTGCTATAGTGTGATGTTGTGGAAATGGCTGTTTTTAAAGGGTAGATGAGACTACTTCTCACAGTCATCCTCTCATCACGAAGAATGAATTCTCCCCCCGCCAACAGACAGAGTTTGCTGCAGATACACATTTAAAGAAACATTTAAATATCGCTCCCCTTGTTACTCTGAGACATGTAAACTAGCAGCTGGCAGGATGTCTTGTGATAGCTTTTGTGTACTCATGACAGCAATATGACTGTTGTCTCTTGTGTTTTGAGAACAGCATACTGTAAAGTGGGCCTGGGCATCTGCTATGACATCAGGTTTGCTGAGCTGGCTCAAATCTATGGACAGAACGGTAAGGCTGAGTCACCTAATGAAGTGGAACACACTTAGCCCTAAGGCCTGAATTTTGTGGGGCTGCTTCAGGGTGATGGTACTGGGCACTCTCTAAGTGTTATCAGGCACTCTTATCTTTGCCTATTAACATAAAATGTACCTTGTAGCCCGGACTTTGTTATTCATAAACAGAACAGATACTCATTTGTAAAGTAACAGTAATTCCCTGCTACACATCCACTGATATAATAATATTATAATGATATAATACATAATGGAATTGTAATATGGCCCCATACGTGGTGATGTGTCATAGGGCTTTGCTGGCATAGTCATCGGTGTCACACATGAATGGGCTCTACTTGTCCTTCTATTAAGAACAGAAGTCAGGAAAAAAAAAAGCGTATCATGAGCTTCAAAGTAGAGTCACTAGAGTAAATCATCTTCCCTTTAATGATGGTTTGTAATTTTCTTTTAACAAAGGTTGCCAGCTGCTGATATATCCAGGGGCTTTTAATCTGACAACAGGACCGGCTCACTGGGAATTGCTACAAAGGGGACGGTAAGAACAAAGTAACTGAGGGGGATTTTAGTATGTGGAACCAAATAGTTCTTGTATTCTACATCACGCCATACAGCAGAAGTTCTGCTGCAGGACCGCTCTGCTTTCAGAACTGTGCCATTCTTTGGGTCTTGCATGGGTCACCAAAATGATTTTGCTGTTAAGGAGAAAAGGCAGGAGCTGCTTATCCTTCACTCCTACCAGCCCGTCTGCAGTTAAGCTCTTACATGGCCCTTTTCCCCACAACTCTGAGCACCATTCACAAACTTCTGCACAGAACAGGCAGTAGACAGCAATAACCATGTCACAACTGCCTTAATTACAGACAGAAATAGATGCTTTGACTCATGATTATGCAGTATTACTTATTCATTTGGTCAGCTTCAATCAACTTTATGGCACACTGAATGAACATGTAATTCATTCTGTCTACTAACTCTGGGGCAGTTGGGTAGAGACTTCTCTTTCTAGGCTTGTTTTCTGTAACTTTTGTGTCATTTACAATTTTGAGAAGTCTTTAGGAGACTGTACTGTTTGTTCTTCAGAGTGAATTCAGAGTCTTCTGCTTAGTTAATTGGTGGTATTAAAAAGAAGACCTACTCATTTTCTTGCCCTATCTTTCTGTGAATACAGAGCTGTCGATAATCAAGTCTACGTAGCTACTATATCTCCAGCTAGAGATGAAAAAGCATCCTATGTTGCCTGGGGACACAGCACTGTAGTAAATCCATGGTGAGTTCAGAAAAAAACACCGTAGTTGAATGTTTTACTTGACGGTCTCATTCAGCCCCACATATTCACCTACTCTTACAACAAATCATCATTTTTGTTATTGTTTTCCATCCAGCTAGTTTTAAAATCGTTTAACAGTATGCATTCTTGTTGGAAGCACAGAAGTTACTTTAGTAGTAGTATTAAGCACTAGTAAAGCTGCTCACCTTTTCAACTTGCGTTATATATTGTGCACTGGGGTGACTCCTTGAGCAGAACTAAACCATATTAAACAGCTTATACAAAACTATATTTCCTCAAAGAACACTTTGAGGTAAGAAAGAATGAGAAGGATACCTTCAAGTAGATGAGACTTTATGGCCTTAGCAGCGATTACTTCCCCTCCGCGCCTCTAGGTGACTGGGAAAACATCGAGTCTTTTGGCAGTTATTTTTCGTCCAAATAAATCATTCCACCAACACTGCTCTTCTAGACAATTGCAAAGTAAATAAAGCTTTCTGTCATGTGCTCTTAACATCTTATGCTGAAAGCAGTGGCAGAGCACCTAGTGGAAGACATGATAAGCATGCTCAGTAGCTCATGCAGAGTGTAAGTATACTCCTATTAAAAGCTGGTTGGATCTGAGAGGAGAAAGTGTTAGTCTAAACAACCAACTATATATGGTTGTCCCCAGTGAGGTTACTTCTTTCCCTTTGAGGTATATTCCATGTTCACGTGTGCTGGTTCTCATAGTTGCTCTTAAGTTTCCAAAGATCAAGAATATTCCTCTGTTAGGTATGTATATGTCACATATAAAACATGTGCCACATATAAGACCTGGAAGCTATTTCTATCATGCAAGAGTTAAGAATTATGATGCTATTTTTAGGATATCCCTGTGTCTACAGCTGTAGACATCAAGGGTAGAAACTCCCTCTTATACAAACAGCAGCAACTGGACCGATGCCTTAGACCTCTGTGTTAATGCTGTGAACAAATGTTCTTCATTTTGCAGGGGTGAAGTCATAGCCAAAGCCGGGGCTGAGGAAACAGTTATATACACAGATATAGGTAAGCATTTGGTTTTTTTCCTGCTTGCTTTCTTGGACAGGGCCTAAGACTGGAGAGACTGTTTCTTTTTTTAATGGCCATGGCCTTGTTCCTGCAGTTACAGATGATGCAGTGTTGCCAGCCCTTCTCGACTTTTGCTAGACTGCAGCAAAAACAAAGCACTACCAGGACTAGAATATTCCAGTTTCCTTACTTATGAGGAAGCTGCTACCTACCTTAGGAGAGAGCAAAGCTGAGGCTTCCTTCCCCAGCTGCTCAGTTGCTGTGCCCTATGGACTCATTCTCCATGAAAGTTGCTCTTTTCCTACCTTGTCTGAGACAAGTCCTGCTGTTAAAACTGCTGTTTTAATAGCTCTTTCTTCCCCCTCCAGATCTGAAGAAACTTGCAGAAATCCGTCAACAAATCCCTATATTAAGCCAGAAGCGCTGTGATCTCTACGGCATAGAGATGAAAAAGTGACACCAGGTGAACGGGAAAAGTTCAAGTGGCACAATGACTTGCTTTCATCGTCAGGATTCCCTTACTGGTTGCTTGACAGGCTACTGCTAAATGTCATAGTTAATTAAAAGCAAAACAACTTGTTGGTATAATTCTAAAATTGATTCAGATACAACTTCTGTATCTCCTTATACTTCATTTTATAGTATTTAACAGCTAGGATGAAGCTGGAGGTGAAATCACCTCAACTCAGAAGCAGTTAACAATAATCTTTATTCGTCATAATGTTTTAGTTACTTTTTTATTTCACTTTTAATTTTCTGGGGCTTATATATAGGATGTAGCGGTGGGAACCACGTTCCCTCTGAAAATCATCTCAAGTCAATTTTAGTATTATGCACTTTTCACTGATTACTAGATAATCTAGAAGTACGTGTATGACTCCTCCACGTCTGTCTGTCTTAACTGTATGTGCCTCAACAACTCAAGTTTCTTAGCTGTCCAACTTCAAACCAGGCAAGCTTAAAATTTAACATACTAAGTAAAATATGCCAAATTCTGCTCTGTACTACTTAAGGACAATGCAAGAAGCAGCCAAACAGAACTAGTACTGTACAAGGAACTGTAACGTTTTGGTGCATGCATCCTGTCTGGAAGATATATATTAAATTCTTATTACAATTCCTGTTTATTGCTGAATTGATGTGGATTAATGTTTTATTAAAGCATTTCACATGTCACCACACCTGTGCTCTATTTACTGCTTCCTTAATACAATGTCCGAGTTGGCTTTAGTTTCACAGTCGGGCTGTCTTCTAACTGAAGTCAGTCAAAAGGGCTAGAAAACTTCTTGCACTAATTAAGTCTTTCTGCCCCAAGTCTCACAGATGTTCAGCAAAACCAGCACCTGCTTTCTACAAGCATTATTGCTACCAAGGGCCAACTTTCACCAGCTGCATGGGAAATGGGCCTCACTCCATTGCTCTTGCTGAATTGATCAGCAAACTAATTAAAAAACTTAAAACCAGTCTAAAATTTTGTACGAATGACTTTTTCTTAGAAGGCCAGCACCTCGGTGTTTCCTTTTCTAATGTAAAAAGATAGTTTTTCCCTTCTTGGGAGTCAAAAAGCAGCACCTACGTCTGCACTTTCGGTTCTCCAGCAGCAAAAAGGCACCAGAGGCAAAAGGAGACTTCAGAATACAGAAAAGCAGAGCATCAGAGAGAGGCTTTTGTTCCATCTAGCCAGTTTCACCCCAAACCACTGTACCTGTTTCTTCACATTCAGCCATCCTCTTCTTCCCCCAGCTATCCTCTTGCCTTTTTTATTTCCTCTGAGTTCTCTGGGATGGATCAGCTGTGTGTGGTTTATAGAGGCCTCAGCCACCTATGGGGAAATTAATGGTTAAATTGAGCCAAACCCAGAGGAGTCTATCCCCTACAAGCAAGGTCTCATCATTCCACTCAGTGGCATTATCTATTCCAGCAGGCATTTTGTGTCTCTGCTTTCACAGCATTTTGGTATACATACAGTACTGGAACTCTTAAAAAGCACGCCACAGAGCACAAGGTGAAATGAAGATTTATTTGTTGAAAAATAAATATAAAAAATTAACAATTTGCTATTTGAGTTAGGTCTCCTGCATTAAATCAGTACCTGCCACATACACAAAAATCAGCATGGATGATGGCCATCACAGCAATCTAACTTCTAAACCACAGCAACTCTTATACAGCCATATTTTTTCTAAACTACTGTATCTGTCTTCCCTACCACCCCCAACCTCTATAGTATTTTAATATGCAGCAGAACAGGAACTAGACGCTTATCTTTGGAGGATTAAAGAAATGCACGATTCTCAAGGGCTACCCACTTGATTTTGGAAGTGTAAGCTGCAATCTGCCATAAACAAATCTGGGGCATGTACCATCCTCCCCTGGCTTTCCAAATGGAGAATGGGCGAGAATCGGTAGTGGACTACTTTGGTGAACTAAGCTTTAGAGGTGACACGGGTTCAGTCCCACTCAGTCTGTCAAGACAAGTTCTGAGCACCTTTTCTTAGGAGGCTATTTTAGGAGTCTCTGGTAAGATTCCCTCAGAAGTGATACCAATGGACTGAGAATTCTGGGGGAGTTACAAACAAAAAAGTACACAACTGGTTCTCAAGTAGGTAGGAGCTAAAGCAGTCAGTACTCAGTCTTATGGTGGCAAAAGACAGGCACTTTAAGTATTCACATTATACATATGCACCAATATTTTAAGTATATAAAACGAACCACCAGCAGCCCTGTAACGGCTACAGAAGTTCAGCCTGCAAGGATTTCAATGGATTTTAAAGAAATGGTAGAAAACATAGTAATGCCTGTTTTAACTAGATTCAGCAGGAGAGTTATTACCACTGCAGTGGGGAAGCCTGCTCAAAGCAGTATTTAAGCTGACTGGCTCACTCTCAGTTCCAGAACAAATCGCAGCACAACTCTTTAGTGTAGGCTAGTTCCCTTCTTCACTTTCAATCCACACTTAGATCTTGGTAAACCAAGGCACAACTGCTAATCTCCATTTTGGCAAACTTATCTATGTCTGAACGTGAACAGCAGGAATTTTAAATGACCAGAATTAAGACGCATGACAACTATGCATAGAAACAGCTTCCCACAGTCTCTAGGATACAACAAGTTTATCCAAGTCTTCAGTACTAAGCTTCCTACATGATTTCACCAGATTTTTTTTAGTAACAGCAATAATTGTTTCAACTTCAGCTCTCAACCCATATTAAAACAAAGTAAGTCTTTTCTCAAGGTTCGTATGCACACCTGGTCTAAAGCAGAACCTCATCTATATCAGCCATTAAAAAAAAAAACTAAATTCCCTTTCTCTAAAAGGAAGCCTGAGCAGAATCCAACCATGTACTCACATAACAGGATGTCAGCTACTCAAATTCCCAGCTTTCCTTTCCCCTGTAATCTTCAGCTCTCAAGATCATACCTCTGCAGGTGATGGAAGCAATCAGAGATAAGGCTCGTTCCTTCCATGTCTCCTCCTCTTTTCTTAAAGGTTCAAGTGAGAGATGGCAGGGAGTCAGTTATTATTAATTCTTTCCTAGATTCAGAGTAATCACAAGTAAGTATAGAAAACACTGCTGCAGAGAACACTTTCATCAAAACCTGTTCTTATACATCTCAGAGAGAAGTACTTGAAGGTAATATTTATTTTTTTTCAGTTTACAGGTGATACATCATTTACAAAAAATTACAGACAATGCATCCTTTCAGTGCAGTTTCAAACTAGTTCAAGAACAGGCAAGAGTCTGTGATGATTTGGAATGCTAGTATTTGACAGCACATGCTTTTTTCCCTTAATTGATTTGGTGGGGGCAGAAATGGGGTAAGGTAGGGTGAAGAGGAGAAAATGCCAATGTAGATAAGGCCATGCGAATAAAAACTGCTCAGGAGAACAGGACACATCAGTCAGCCTGGCATATTTTTGTTCTCGGGTAACTGATGCAGAGATTGGAAGTTCCAGAAGACATTTGACACTCGTTACGTGCAATACCCTTAGCAGCTGCAAGTACCTTCAACTCTATACCAACACTACAATTTCAGATCTCCCTACTAAGCTAGCTAGAATAAAAGGATTCAATCTCCATGTCTACTGCTTACCATTTTCATTCTCAGTTTATTTGCTGGGAGAAATGATGGTCAAGCTGAAAATACAAGCTGCTGCTATGTAGCATCACAAATAGAAAACACGACAGTTTGATCACAGGTTGGTTCATTTCTTTAGGAGGTGAAAAACATTAGAAAAGCAGCACAAGGAAATCTATGATTTTAAGATGGGAAGAAGCCCAAATCAGTGTATGGTGAATTAAGCAGCATCAGTTAAGAATTTGTGTGAAGTTTATCCAGCCACATCAGTCCAGGGAGAGGCACAATGGACTGCCTTCAATACCAAAAAGATCAACCCAAAGCAGCAGAGAAGCCCTCTGTGAAGTTCCTAGTTAGACTGTTTATACCAGTATTCAATAACTTGCCAATGTGCTATTTGCAGACCAGTTGCTTCCTTTCTACACTATCTGTAATCTTGGGCAATCCAGGGCCTGAACAACAAGGAAACCAATAAAGATTCTAATCCATTATTTGAAGTTTTAGACTATGCTTTGTTCTTTATCTCACTTAATCCTGTAGAGGGCTATTACAAGGACTAGATCAAAACACAGAAGTGTCTAGAGAATGAAGAAGAGAATTTAGACAGTCCATTAACTGTTACATTTCAGCAACAGACAGAGATTACAAAGATTATACGCAAGCATGACCTTACCTTGGCAGCTCTACTCCCAGCAGTGCTTTCTGTTCTTGAAAGTCTCTCAGAACCTTCCAGAACAACTTCCCGTGACATTCAAGTAAGGACTGCTGCATGAAAACATGGCCTTTCTTCCAGTAAAATCCACACTGAAGCAGCATCACCTAACCTCTCTCCCCCAACAACCTTAGTACTAACTCTCCTACACAGTACACTAGGGCTTTTTCTGGGGTGAGGATAAGAACTATCAAATTAATTCCCTAATAGCTGCCACAGGACCATTTCTAAGTAGTTATGCAGAGGGTGGGAAGGGCTTTAAGGGAAGATTGTGCATGCTTGCATATATTTACAGGATTCTCTTCACAGCTACTGGCTTTAAAAAAAATCCCTATTATTAAACAGTTTGTAAATTATTTGTTTTCCTTTTGCAAAATTAAAATCAACCCTCAAGGATTAATTGCATATAAAAGAGAAATCTATTTTACAGCGCTGACTAATATTACCATTAAAATCAACAGGGGGAAAAAAAAAAAAAAACAAACATGCTGTAAAATTGTTCGGTAAAGCAAAAATTGCCCACAACGTAATCACCCAAAATGAACCAATGTAAAGTTTTTATTTGCATGGCCAAAATATCTTCCAGTTGTTCCCCTGCAACATTATTTCCCTTAACACACCTTAAGGTTTTTTGCTGCAGAAGGAACAAGATGCAACACTGCATACTTCCTTGAACAACCACTCCCACAACACCTAAACATTTAACGGATGTAGCAAATGACAACACCACGAACGGGAAAAAACTAAGTTCCACCATTCAACATGGTTTGCAACAGCGTCTTTAGGGCTGAAGTGGGCAACTTCACTTTAGAAGGTCATTTCCTCCTCTTGTTTTATGTTTTTTTGTTGTTTTTACAGTGTCGGTGGTTTCAATCCATACTTCTTTGCAACTTCTGTCTGGGCATAGGCAGCATCACAGAGTGAGTAGAGGTGGGCCATCTCCATTTCAGATTTGGCCAGGTTGATAGCTTTGTTGAACATTTCAATGGCTTTATCTAGATTACCCCTGAAATAAACCAAAACATCGTCCAATTAATACCAACAAATCAATCTTTGCACCTCTGCAGCACTTTTTTTAAACCCAAACAGTAGGTTTGGGTGTATAGGTCAGTTTTCTTAGTACAAATGGTCCATTAAGATATGTTTAAGGACTACACTAGATACACGTTGAGCCTAATAAGGTTCAATGAAGTTATTTGAAATCCAGAAGGGATATATTTAAACACACATACACTCATCTGCATGTTGTCCAGTAAGTATGAAGGTGGCCAAATCACAAAGCAGAATTATGCCATAGATAAAAGGAAGGCTTTCCCTTCCCTAAGAGTTACAGAACAGCAGTCATGACAACAGCTAAGAGTTGGCCTCCCACTGCACCAGGGAGATCATCTTAGGAAAGGTTTAAGATCCATGGGGACATCTAAAGGACTGCTGTAATTTCAAAAGTAACTTAGAATTCTTAACACTGTACTTCAATTACCTTTGCACTTCAATCGTTCCCATGGTTTCATATGCAAAATCACATTTGTTATCAATTTCAATGGCCTTGCTTATGAGTTCTAAACCTTTGTCTAAATCTTGCTTCCACTGAAGCTGAAGTAAACTGCAAAGGAAAGAGAAAATTTAGAACAGGCACATACTCCCCAAAACCCAGATCAAGTAAGCACAAAAAGATCCCAAATGGTTTAAAGGGTAGGACATGGAAGACATTAAGATGAGGCTACAGTAAGAGTCAGATGCACTTCAAGCAAATGATCAATTAGGAACAAACACTAATGAAAATTTACTGAGACTACAGTCTTATTTACTGTTTAGACATCAAGAGAAATTGTAGAAATGCATTTAGCAGCACTAAGCTATTTTTGCAAAGTTACTTCTCCTGGGTAAACTTCCAAGCACCTACCTTCCGTTTGCATTCATTCACCAGAACTCAATACATACCCTTTATGAACATATGTTGTGGCATTGTCTGGCTCGAGATCAATGCATTTATCATACATTTCATCAGCCTTGCCAAACTGCTGTTGATCAGTTAGTGCCTGCATCAAAAGAGAAACCTGTATATCAATACGCAACCAGGACATGCACCCTGTGGTAGGTTGATTCTAATTGAAATTATATTGATGATGTAAGATCGGATATAGCTCTCTCACCAGAGAGCAGGCCAGACACACCAGTTACCACAATTAAGTTTCAAAATCAAGGCTTTTTAGAAGAAAGCCACTAGGTTTTAGGTGCAAAAATTACTGATCACAGGACCATCTGTAATGGCAGATCCCCAAGTAACAAGTTAAGAATACTGCAAGTAAAAAAACCCACCACATACATAAAAACCCACCACATACACCAAGTGCAACTCTCAACTTCTTTTTTAAATGTTTCTGCTTCAGTTTTTTTGTCTGATCAAAAGGAATCAAAAGAAAACATTGCATATTGCTTCCCGACTTTGAAACGGAACATCTGATTCTACTGATGGAGAATCTCCATCCTTTGTTGGATGTGGGGGGAAACACAGTGACATGAGATGAGGAAAAGGCTGAAGTACTAAATGTCTTCTTTGCCTCAGTCTTTAGCAGCAAGATCAGCTGTTCTCCAGGCACCCATTCCCCTGAGCTGGTAGATAGAGACAGGGAGCAAAATGAAGCCCTCAAAATCCGCATGAAAATGGCTAATAACCTGCTAAAACACTTAAGATGTATGCAAGTCTATGGGGACTGATGGGATCTATCCAAGTGCACTGAGGGAGCTGGAAGAAGTGCTCACTTTCCATCATTTATCAGCAGTCCTGCCTATCAGGGGAGGTCCCAGTCAACTGGCAGCTAGCAAATGTGACGCCCACCTACAGGAAGTGCGGGATGGAGGATCTGGGAAACTACAGGCCTGTCAGTCTGACCTTGGTGCCAGGGAAGCTCGTGGAGCAGATTATCTCAAGTGCCATCACGCAGCACCTACAGGGCAACCAGGCGATCAGGCCCAGTCAGCATGGGTTTATCAAAGGCAGGTCCTGCTTGATGAACCTGATCTCTTTCTACAACAAGGCAATATGCTCACTGGATGAGGAAAAGTGTGGATGTGGTCTATGTAGACTTCAGTAAGGCTTTTGACACTATTTCCAAAAGCATTCTCCTGGAGAAACTGGCAGCTCATGGCTTGGACGGGCATACATTTCATTGGGTAAAAAGTGGCTGAGTGGCCAGGCCCAAAGAGTTGTGATGAATGGAGTTAAATCCAGCTTAAGTTGCGCAGGGGAGGCTTAGGTTGGATATTAGGAGAAATTTCTTCACTGAAAGGGTTGTGAAGTATTGGAACAGGCTGCCCAGGGAAGTGCTTGAGTAACCATCCCTGGAGGTCTTCAAAAAACATGTAGATGTAGAACTGAGTGGCATGGTTTAATGGTGGGCTTGACAGTGGACTAGATGATCTCAGAGGTCTTCTCCAACATAAACGATTCTATAATTCTACTAGAATTAGCAACACATTTTCTTAAAGAAGAAATGGCATTCTCTGTTACATGTGTATTTTGACCAGAGCATGTTATTTGTCAGAATAAAACCACTACTTTAATTCCACAGATTTGACTCCCAAATTGCATACACACTCCCTGATGTTGCAACATTTATTAAGGAACAGTAAAATGCAGGTACCTGAGCATAGAGAGCATAGCCTTCAGCACACTTTGGAAACTTTTTTATGACATCTTCAAAGCCTTTCATGGCTACCTGCACAGGCAAAGGATTATTTCCTGTATAGGCTTGGCGATACTATTCAAGAAAAAAAAAAGAAAAGGCAAAATTAAACAAGAAAAGGAAAATATGGCTCATTAGACCTACCCACTTCCCCAGCATGTGTCATAATAATTACAAGTTCCAGAAGGTGACACCCTACCCGACCTGGTTTTAGGAACTAAATGTGTGTTTAAGCCTTGGTAGAGTGGACTAGCAGAGAAAAAAGGATGACAGAGCGGGAAGCCACAAGGCTTGAGAGTTTTTTTTTTGCCAAAAGCCTCCCTCCATTTCAAAAGCCTAGAAATCCCAGGCTTAGAACAGTTCCTTGCCCACACCATGCAAAGTTTTCCACAGGAGGTTCCTGTATGCAGAGCCACTGTAGTAGCTTGAAATATGTTTGTTTTCAATTTCTTGAAGATGGATATTTTACACATTAAAATTGATTTAAATGAACCTTTGTGTCATATAATTAGAGTGAAAATTTGTGTTCCTCTACCACGTAACAGGAAAGATGACCTACTGTTAAATAATGAGCACTGCAAAATAATAGTAAACCCATGCTCCAAATGAAGCATCTCTTGTTGCATTATTTCTCTACCTTATTATTAGAAGAGATTGAGATGTTTGTTGCAATACTCTTCCATGAAATGGGAAGACAGCAGAGAAGCAAAGTATGTTTTCAACATCTCTTTAAAAACAAAGAGCACACAGATAAAGCCAGCAAGTTACCTACCAGTGCAAAACATTTCTGTGCTTGAGCCAAGGCAGAATCGGGTCGTAATCGGATACATTCATCAAAGTCTTCCACAGCCTCCTCAATTTGGTCAAGCAGGATTTTCAGCTAACCAGAATGAAAGAAAATCCTATTTCTGCATTTAATCTGTGCTTCATACACTTAAGTGATAATTCGGTTAGCATTAGTTACTCATATTGTCCACAATTCAGTTTTAGAAGTATCTAGAAACTTACAAAATCCACGACTAAAAAAGAAAATCACTACCATAAAACAACAGATCTACTAATAAAACTTCAGCTTCATACATAAAAAGGCAGTGTCCATATGTAGGGATTGAGGATGTTTGCATTTTAGAGAATACTGAGTTTCCATTATTGCTTTAGCTTAATGTCCAGTCTCCAAAACTATGTCGTATTTTCTCAAGTCACTTTGCCTTTCTGTAGTTAATGCTTATGGACTACTTGGATGTTGAAACATTCTGGCCTTCACAACTGGCATTTCAGGTTTTTTTTTTTTTTTTTTTTTTTTTAGGACAGTCTAATTCTTCCACAAGAATGGAACTTACTTTGCCATCTTACTTTACTGTTACTTTAAAATACTTTACTGTTACTTTAAAATACTAATTTTCAGTCTGCAGAAAACTTTCATCCCCTTTAATTAATAAGTAACACTGTTCTTATTTCTGAGCACTGAAGAGATCTAATAAATTCATGGAGGGAGGCACTTGATCTGTGCAAGTCTTCCCTACAAAACACAACTTAGCATATCTCCATATGGCAATGTCTCCTTTTCCTTCCAGCACCTTTCATATTACAGCCCAGTGGAAGCAGGCATCTTCAGGCCTACGAATTACTAAAGGGCACAGCAGCATCACAAGTGGGAGAGGGATGAGCTGAACAGATGCCTGTTTAGGCTGCAGATTGTGAGTTAGCAGGAACACATGGTTCTATTTTCTGTCACGTAGTTTTCTCCTATGTAGATACTGCTCTGTAAATGTATATAAGCCTTAATACTTTTTAATTAAGAGTTCCTGTTGACAGAGGGCTGAACCTTTGTCACTCTGCACTGTCTCCTATAGCTACAGAAATTTGCTGCTTCTGCCTGACCTGAACCTGAAAACTTCACCATGTATTTATTTCTCAGTAGTTCCAAAGGAGGACTTCCCCTGTTTCTGCCAGAAACAGTATAAACTGTTGTACTGTGCTTTTCTTTTAGCATACACTGAAACTTTCTTGTATTGGGACAAAATCTCTGATGTTTCTTACTTGTCCTCGATGGTGGTAAACATCTGCATTTTGAGGATCAATATCAGCAGCCATGTTAAAGTCTTGAGTGGACAGTGCGGGTTGCTGCTGCTGCATATACATACTTCCTCGTTTGATCAGAGCATTAGCTCGGAGCTGTAAAAAGACAAGTTCAAAGAAGTATTAGCCACTTCAACATGTCTCCCAATTCAGGACTTTGTTATAATTACACTAATTTTTTCATTTGACTACTTTCCCCTATTGACATATGACATTCTAAGCATGAATAAATTTCATATGAAGTCTAAATCAGTCGACTCCCTTGCCTAATTTCAAATGTTTGAAATTATGCTTTCATCTATGCAGATCTTCATCCCCCACCCAAATTCTTTAGAGGACAGTTTCCCTACACATACAAATACACAAGCATTTTAGCAACCATTAAATATGCAAGCGCAGTTAATGGTTTTTTCCTCTTATTTATGAACTGATTTTTCAGATTCCATAAGCCTCTAATTGATTCAACTTCCTTTGTTCTTTCATTTTTTTATGGCTTAGCATAGATGCTTGATATATACAATCCTCTGAAAAAAATATTTTACAAAACAGTAAAAAGAAAATAGACCATTTCCATTAAAGTACCTCAAAACTTGGAAAAAAAATCTCTGAATTATACTTATCATCTAACTTAACATAAACATAACAACGATAAACATAAGTTTATCATCTAACTTACATGTTTTCTCAACCCACACTACAGTCCAGCTGTGACAAATTCTTACCTTCACATTTGCATCTTCCATGCTGATGACCTGATCTAGGTCTGGTTTGGCAGCATTTGCATTGCCAATAAGTAAGTAGAAAGTTGCTCGCAGAAGCAACGCTTCTGCCATGTATTTTCCCTTTGCTTCAATTTCTTTTGTGCTCTCGCTGATAATTTTGTCATAGTTCTCTTCTTCCATATATTGTTTTGCTCTCAAATAGCCAGAGCTGTAAGTGATGTAAGAACAGTTGTGTTCACTGAACATTGTATTTGCAATTAAGGCTTTTCTTTAAAACTTAACCAACACTAGCTTTTTGCTATACTGAGCTACAACACTAACATTGCAATTAAAGTTACAAATACTCCTCAACAGAACCATCACCGACTGAAAAAAAAAAACAGACATGCATGCCCAAATAACATTGGAAAGAAATAAGGTGTTATGTTTCGTTTTGTTTTTCACCTCTTGATCTTAGTTTCATTTGAATGATTTGGATGTTTTCAATGATTTCAATGTCCCTTGCATGTTTTTCACATTAAGGACAGCAATAATCTCTGCTTTAAAACAAAAGGGGTGGGATGGTATTCCAGTTCACAAAAATTAAATATTGCACCAAGCAATGTGCAGATTGCATGTGGAAGAAAGGATTTCAGATCAAAAATTGCTGGTACTACTGCCTTGTTCTCAGCTAAATGTCCTGGATTCAGTGAAGACTAACTTGCTTTCTTCCTTGGAAGCTCTTCTTCAACATAAAACATTCCTTTTGCCAGGAGTATCATTCAGCACTCTCTAATCCTTCCATCTCGTAAACCGTACCATAGTGCTGTAGCAAATATTCGGCCTATTGTCCAATCTTGTACTTTATTCACTTTGCTTAGTGGATTAAAGCCACCGACAGATTGGAAACAGTCAGTCAGTCTTAATAAAAGTTTCCTTTGTAATACTGATATATTATTTATTCTGTAATATTTTAAGAAGTATTTTTTCTTTATTGATTTTGTCATTAAATTTATTATTCAAAATAATGTAAATCATACGTTTACATTATTACCACATGATATCTCATGGCAAGTACTGTAAAACAGCAATTTGCACTGAACAGAACGTGAAAACCACTAAAAACTTCCAACACCAAATAATCCCTAACTGTACTGTATACTCACTTTTCTTTTACTTCGGAAGCCTCTCCTTCCTTATCCTTATCTTCATCTGATTTCTCACCCTTAAGCAAAGGTTGGGAGATGATATCGTCTGTGAAAGAACTGAAGTAGGATTTAATAAACTGTGGTGAGGGCATCAGAGGCTCACGATTCTGAAAGAGAAAAGTAATTTCAAGTCATTAGATAGTAAAATCAGATAGTAAATGTGGAAATGGATAAATATGATTATAAAAAAAATAATCAGGAAAGAACCAAGTTATGACTTTCCACTATTTCATTTGATTGTTTGGTATTTTTGACATTTAGGGATTATTTAAGCTTCAAATCAAAATTTAACATGCATCACAAGCAGAAATCAAGTGAATATATTTAAGAGTAAAAAAAAGAAAAAAGGCATTGTATGGCCAGAAATAAGGACTCTTACAACATCATAACACATTCCAGTGTGTGTGCACATAAATCTTGTGAAAAATGAAAGCTGGTAATTTAAGCATAAGCCTAAATTCAACTAGATTCAGAATGGCAATTTGGCTAAGAGAAGCTGCTATCACTGCAATGAAGACTAGTGAGACAATATCCTAACTCCTGAGCTTGGCCCAGACACCAAACATTTTCCTTGAAGCGTGAGAAGTAACAACTTTCAAGTGTAAAATCCTTTGTATAACCATAAAAAGTTTCTTGCACAACAGAATTACAATTCAATCTTTCCTGCAAAAGAAGTCCGAATACACTCTTCCCAATTTCACTATGAAGTTCTATCATAATACTGCCTGTATGAAGCACACCTATTCTATGGTGCTTACCATACTAAAAGCATGATTCATTTTTTGTTACCTCAATGCCACACAATTATGTAAGTTTCTACGGGAAAGAAAATCAGCTTCTCAAAACAACTGTGCATTTCAGTACTTAAACCACAGTCACAAATAACAAGCACGCATGTTTTAATACCTGTCCCAACCTTTTGTAAACCCAGAGTAACTTAAAATGTCTGTTCCTGGCTATCTCTGTACTTCCACAACTCTCGCTGCTGGCAGTTTCCCAACATTTACGCAAAGAAATCTGAGTGCCCAAATAGAAAAATACAAGTATGAGCACCTAATTACAGAAATGGAACAGAAACAGACAACGACTGTCACAAATAATCTGTAGTAGTTAGGAGATAAAGGCATATTTCTGAAGATGAATTAGGAAGCCTGACCACAAATAAGAACACAAAACTTCACCCTGCATCATTTTTTGTGTATTTTTGTTTTGTTTTGGTTGGTTGGTTGGTTTTAAACAGTATTATTTTGCCACTTTTTAAAACCCATGAATTCCACTATCAACCTGTTCTTTCCTGCATGAAATTTCTATTTATATAGCCAAGAATAACCTATCAGCCTTCTCACTTTAAGCTAGTCATTCTATAACAAACAATCTTTTTTACACATTTTCATTTATAAACCTTCTTATCTCAACACACAGAACTCCACCTGATATACAAATGAACGTTTGACTACTGCTGCGCTAACACATGCTGCTTCCATTATGTTGCTAGTCCAGAAAAGCCGTAAGTAAGGCAACACATCAACTTTGGGTCTCCTGAATGTCATAATAAATTTGATTATTAAAGGGAAATAACCTGACTGGTTAGAAATAGGCTTTTCTTCCCTACAGAGGTTTCAAAAAGTTCGACCAGGTCCCAAAGGAAAACAACAAAAGTAAAACACTAGTTTTGTAATAATAATAACAATAATAATCAGAAACATTCACATCAATTTCTACACTTCAGCAGATGAAGACAGCAACCGACTTACAACAGTTGCCAAAATGCCAACAATCAACATTTAAACAGTCCGGTGAAATCAGAATTTCTAAGCAGAGTCACAAGCCCTACCTTGTACTTCTCTTTGGCCTTTTCTTTTCCAAGGAGTTTGAGAACTTTATCAGCTAATAACATACTTTGCTGGTTTTGGAAGGCTTCTAAAATGCAGACTGCAGTGACATCTAGGAAACACCATTAAATAACAGATTAAAGGCAAATTCTGATAGTCACTGGAATACATAAAAGCGTGCCACAATAGCAATGGGTTACTGTCAAATTAACACACATCCAGTAATCGATAAAAGCTTCAATTTTCTGTTTGTTGCATTTACCATGTTTTCAAAGACATGAATTGGTATTCAAAATGATCTCCTTGTGATAAAATGACTTCATGACAATGAATGAAGGAAATTAACCTTTATTTTTTATCTTCATGTCTTCATCTAAAGACAAATGCACTTAGATTAATAGTAAAAATTCATACCTCCAGCAGGGACTTTCAACACTTTGAAGCTTTGATAGTAATTAAGTAGATAGTAGTTATGTTTGTATTATCTTCACAGAAAAAGTCCTAACACAGTTTGTCTCTTGGGATTGGTCACAACACAGTTTTCTACTTTTAAAACTCACATTCTGATCAATCACAGCTCAGTCCTTTCTCAGTTTTTAAGAACTCTTCCTATATTAGATCCCCTATTTTTTCTAACTACCTCTGCACCTTTGGAAAACAACTTTAAAAGAAATACCTTGCAAGGCCATTTAAAGTGCTAATCCATATCATACCTCTTCCATTAACACACAGAGCATCTGAAAATCTTAATCCACTGCTCCCTGAATAATGTTTCATAGTGTGAAATTCACTCTTATTATACATTATCTTTATTTCTCTGGAGCCTATCATTCATGGAATCATAGAATAGTTTGGGTTGGAAAGGACCTTAAAGATCATCTAATTCCAACCCCTCTACCATGGGCCAGAACACCTCCCACTATACCAAGTTGCCCAAAGCCCCATCCAAGTTGGCCTCGAACACCTCCAGGGATGGGGAATTCATGCAATTAATTATCGCATAATTAATGCAATATTACCATTGATTCTTCCTATTCATGTTTTATTTAAACTCCAGTCACATCAATGAAGAAGCAGCAAACAAAATCTAGGAGAAGGCTTCAAATATTATTCCCATGAAGTCATTGTGTAAGGTTATTAAAGTGAAGATGAGCAGAGTTTGGACCTGAAATTCAAACGCCATCCAATACCCTGGATTTTTGCTCTCGTTTCTGTCATCATACATGGCTACACATAGCAACTCCCTACAACTCTGGCATGGTCAAGAAAAATAGGAGTCCCTGGAAAACACAATACAGCCAGAAAAAGCATAAAAGAGTATATGGCAGCAGTACCATATTCTACCACCTTAAGTGCCTGGCAGAAATGCTTTACTCACTGCAGGCAGCTGTAAACTAGTGCCCAGACTTCGGTAAGGCAGCTACATCTTCCTATATTATGCTGCTATGGATCTCTAGAGGGAGTTTTTACTGGTGGTGGTGGCAAATTTTTGTTTTGCTTTTGCTTTTCCTCCATTACGTGGACATACCCTACTTCCAAGGATTTTATTGCCTACACATGGTTGGCAGATAAACACAGTATTTTATTAGAAAACAGCTGCAATCCAGAAGAAAGGAAAAAAGCACATATAATTTTCAGATATGAAACATATTACAAAATAAAGTCAAATACAAATTGAAAGCAATTGCTATGAGCATCACCACTTAACATCACAAGGGAGTTACATTTAAAAATTGGCATGCTATCAGATGGACATTTGATTGCTCCTGAAGTTTTTATCCTGTCCATTTATTTCAACTTCATAAGGTTTAGATACTATTACAGGACTCTGGAAGTGCAGCTGTTCTGCAGCAAGCACTTGGCAGATCCAGTAAATATTCTATGGATTCTTCTGTAGTCCACGAGTGATTGCAAAGGACTAGATTGAATGACCTAAGCTATACATTTCTAGTTATGATGGTCCAACGGGATAGGAAGGCATCTTGCCAGAAGATAAATAAAATCAAATTTAATTTCTATTTCAGCAGATCTAATTCTTAGGTATTTTTACACCTAATTAAACTAATTTGATCTTTAACAGTGAAATTGCCAGTCATCAGAACACTACCTTGTTTTCTGTCCTTATTTGATAATCAGCATTAGCACTGCTGAAAATTCATTTGCCTTTTAATCTTGCATCAGCAGAATAGTATTTACAGGGATTTGACACAGTAGGTTCTGCCAAATACATAGTGTTAATATGAAAAAAGGATTTTTATTTTAATCTGTTCCAATATTCGTAACTGTTATTCATCAGAAAGAAATGCCACTGGAACTGCCTTCCCTTTAACACCTGTCAAATGCATTAAATGACCGTAACACTCTTGTTCCTGACCATACATCTCCACCTGTAAAAACACCTTAGTTTTTGGCAGACTACTTTTTCTCTAAAACAAATAGAGAAGAATCTTTAGTACTGTATGGAACTAGAATGACTGTGGTCCGGGTTATCTATTCAGCATGTTAAATGAATTCTGCTTTAACATGTAAGGAGCTTCCTGGAAAGAGAAAACACTAAGTGGCTACAGTAAGAAGAATTTCTCAACAGCTACTTCAGATCTAAGCTGATGACAGCTTAAAAAACAGAAAAGGTTTTTTCTTACATAGAAGAAAATGTATTTGCAATAGCTATGAATGGCATTTAACAAATAATTATGTATTACTCTAGTTACAAAAAGTAAAAAACAAAAGAATTTTTATCATCTCCGATGTGCCAAGAGACACTCACCTTCTAAACATTCCTTCTTATTGTCTAGTTTCTCGTGAGCCTTTGCACGTCTGAAGAGAGCTTTTACATATTTAGGATTAAGCTCAACAGCCTTTGTACAGTCTTGTGCCACTTCTGTCCATTTTTGCTGTGGGTGGAAAAACAACATGATGAAAGAAGCCCTACTCAGCTGCGTGATAATAGCTTTCCACTACCAACTCCAGGGTCATGCCCACCTAACAGTAGCTGCAGTTCCCAGGGCTCTGGTTCTACCTGCTTGCTTCTATTTCTTTAAGTTTCTCAGTAAGAAACTGCCAGGCGCCACTGGAAGCCACCTGCACCAGAAGAGCCACAAAACAGAAAAGGAATTCCTACAGAAAAACGAAACCAGACAGTTTTTGTACAAAGCATACGGGAGAAGATAATGAGTTGATGCAAAGATATTTGCAGGAGGTAATGTTGGGACTGAAAGACTGGTACACAAAAAATAGAAGACAGACGAAATTATAATGAAAACCAACAAACAAGTTTATCTAAGTGCTGAAACTGTTAATTTGGTGGTGTTCTTTTTTTTTTCTTCTTATAATTGCTATTTCAATTCACTACACTGTTACCATAAAGGAATGATAAATGATCATGTAGGAACAGAACTGGTCAAGGCTATTAAAAACTAAAATCCATTTATCTGAAAAAATAGTGATTGAAACAGAATTTTCTAATAACTGAAAAAGAGGAACCACATTTTTTATGCATTCATTAATTACGGCATGAATTAGTGTTATAAGCTGTACTTGTTTAGACTAGAACTGTTCTATCCCTCCTTTTTCAAGGCTCAATTTCTTGAATCAGTCTCTCACTTGATACCTCAGACTACATGAAGCCAATTTTTCCATTCCGCTCACCAGCTTTGCCACAGAAGCCAGTATTGCGGCAATTTACCACTAATGATATAGTAATGCAAAAAAATACAAGCTGACTTCTAAAACTAACATCATGTATACACAGCTACCAAGCAAATGTTGCTTCCACATGTGCAAAACTTAGGGCTTAGGCTTTAGTAGGAGTTCTGTGATTTTTTTTTTTAATTTTTGAAGCAGCAACCCTTTGGCTTTTTGCTCAACAAAGCAACACTCTTGCAAAGATAAACTAAACTAACGTGTACAAGAAAGTTGTTTCAAAGGATAAGAAATTAAAACCTTATCTTACAAGAGAGAGGCACTTAAGAATTACGTAAGACAGATAAAATGGACTCAGTTAACAGAAAATAGCTTTAGTTACACGTGGAAAAGAGTGATGAACTACTGAAAAATAGCTGCAAGCTGTAGTATCTTGTGAAGCAGCCCATATCACCATCTGAGATCTTTCAGACAAAAATGACAACATACATAATTTAAAATTTGACTTTTTAGAATAAACTTATGATTACATCTTACCAGTTGTTCATAGGCAGCAGCTCTGTTTTGATAGAAGGTAGACAGATCAAGGTTTTTCTCAGGAGGGCACAGGCTGATAGCCTCAGTATAGCACTGAATAGCGTGCTCGTATTTTCCTGCTTTAAAAAATTTGTTTCCTCTGTTCTTGGCCGCTTGAGCTCTATCAAGAGGGCTCTGAAAAAGAAAGTGATAGATCAGTTCAAATGGGAAAAGCTTCACTGCTCACAAGCAATGCACTTAAGGGCTCAACTTCAAAGATATAAAAAAAGAGCCGAGTGGTAAGCTGTAGACCAGACTTCTGAAAATCTCCCCCCTTCTATTTTCTGAGAAAAAAAAAAATATTTTCTTTTGCAAGTGTACAAGAGAGCAGACAATTATTTATTATTAAACAATTAAACAATGCAGTAACTTCTCTTCGGAAAGCTTGACAGGTTTTAATCTAAACCGAAAGGTGATCAGAAGAACCAATGAGATCTCTCACTGATATTGAAATAGTTATTTCTCCAAAGACTAAATGCACGAAGTAAACAAAGCTTTCAAAGCAATTCAAATAGGAAAAGTTTCCTACTGAGACACATACAGCCTATAAGTAAAGAGTTGACTCAGAAGAATATGAACTAAATAAGGGAAATTCTTTGTGGACAGACTTACTGAGCAAGATGAATAAAACCTGTAGGGAAAAACCAAGCTGCTTTGCCTTCCGTGTATGAGGCTAATTAACTTCACAGCCACCTCCCTTACAGCTTCACACATCCTGCTCATCCATCCACTGATAGAAAGCATTGAACCATCATGGTCTATCATTCTTAGCAGAGGAAGGAAAACTGCTAACTGGCCTGTGACCTTGCTAAATGAATCTTTAAGTTCTGTGCTGCTCGCTGAACATCTGCACGTGTGAAGAATCAGAATTGTCACATGTGCATGTAAGTCCTAGATTTACAGACCAGTTATTGAACGTGGTTTATGAGGAATCAGATGTAAAAAGCCTCTCTTTAATCAACGGGCTGTGACTCACATTCAAGACATATGGAGCTGCTAAAGATCCTACCACCCATCTTCTCGAGTTCTCTTCCTTTCACAGTCTAGCTTCAGTGATCATCACTTTGGAGGCTGCTCCTGCTGAACTACCAGACTGAAATGACCAAAGGTATGAACACATGTGCTGTTCTACTGACCTCTCTGAGGAAGGAAAGCGTAAAACTGATAGCAGCAATGCCTGGAGCAATAGCTGCAGGGTTCACTACATCTCACCTGTTGAATCACACACACACACACAAAAAGATCAGCTAGGATTGCTAGGTTAGAGGTTGGACTAGGTGATCCTGGAGGTCTCTTCCAACCTATATGATTCAGTGATTTGGTTGCAATCATAAATGCTCTTTTTTGACAACACTTCTATCTCTTCTTTGACTACACTGGTGTCTCCTCTCCTTTCTCATTCACTGCCAGCATCACAATCTATACCCAAATAACTTTAAGACAAACTTCAAAACGTCTTTTCAACAACTTGCTTTCCTTGATGCCTGCTTGTTACATGCCAGTCTGATCATTTTTAGTATCTAACTCATTTTTAAAACACAAAACCTGGAGGGGGACTAGAAATAGCTCTACAGGCCCCTCTTCTAAGGCTTGGTTTCCAATCATGGCATGAGAGAATCAGATAATGGGTGCCAGACTTAGGTTCCTACATAAAAATAGACGTTCAAATGGAATACAATTACCCTACAGACATTCTCCTGAAGAGAGGCTTACCAGTGAAACCATATAAGGGAGAGTATTTCTTAAATATCCCTACTGGCAGCAAAGCTCTTCGGTCAGACCTCACCAATCACCGGCCTTATAGCAAAGCCATCTCTATCATCTCCATTGTTCACAGAACAAAATAATCTGCATTGCTCTCGAGATTTTTGTTTTAATGATTTAAGTTCAAACTGATAAAAAGATCAGCTTCACCCCTTTTTGTATATGGTATTTAATGGCATGGATACAGACCAGAACCAGTGAGCAAAAACTTTTAGGGAGAGCCAAGTAACTGTGTATTTGATAAATTGTTACTTCAAAACTCAACCTAAATCTGAAGGGAAGGTTTTACTTCCCATTTACTTCAAGTATGTTATAAACTTGGCTCCCTCTACGACACCACTTGCTCCTCTTTTAACTAATACATGTAACAGGCAAAATTAAATGCATGAAAGTCAGCTTGAATTTTTCCTTCTGCGTTTCTACATCAAACCAGAACAGAAACATCTTTGTGAAATATCCTACAAAGTTCAGTGCTGTTACAAGTCACTTGGTACCAAAAGGAAAAACATACAGGATACCTGGGCCATGCTGTAACATCCAGACCTGTGGTCCCGGTCAGAAGCAATGCCAACATAAGAAGGAAATCAACTCTTTTTTTTTTTGTTATGCTGCCTTAAACAAGACTCCTAAGTCTTGATTGGTTTTATCTCTGCAATCTTTGTCATAGTACTCTGCTACAGTCCTCTACATGCATGCAATATATCTTTTCTGAATGGCTGATGTGTTAAGTGCAAAGGCCAATATAGCTCTGCATCATGAATAAACCCACTTTGATACAGGCTTATATGAACAACATTGCTTAGCATCGCATCCCTGTGAATAACAAATCCCATGCAGACTGTATGAAGTGTGCATTAAAAATAACAAAATGGTGTATTTGCATCTCAGAGTTGCTTATAAAGCGCAATGCCAAGTTTTAATGTCAACTCTCTTTTTTTAAATAACGATGCTAATGAAATTTATTTTCTCACCAATTATATCACTCATCTGCAATAGAAAAAATAGCAGAAAATAGTGGATTCATTTATAGGTTTGGTATACCTATCAAAGTCATGGAACAAGTCATGGAACAAAATTTTGCCCAGATATGTCCCTGGGCGGAAAAAAATAAATCATTTCTTTTATTTCAGTTTTGTGAAACTTAAACAGTTCTTATAATCAGTAACTTTGTTCAAAGAAGCTTAATAATTTGTAAGTTACATTACAGTATAGCATTACAGTAAGTTACACATACAGTATAACCTGATGAAGCCCCAAAACCACTGAAAACCTAAATGCCACGCTTCTCTCCATTTGCTTTGGGTGTTGTTATTTTTTTTGGATATTATAAATTATCACTTTATATGCACAAGTAAGAAAATGAAAGTTACTAACAAATGATCGGTTTTTGAAAGCTTGTCAAGCCTCAGATTTAACACTGAAGAACTTTTTCCAACTTTTTTAAGCTGCTGCTTGTCAGCCTTTCAGTCCTTCTTCTCAATTGCTACATTGAAGGCTTGCACAAGTAAGAAAGTGATCATGCAAGCAAAGTTCATGGTACCTCACCAGAAGTAAACAGAAAAAAAAAACACCTCCCTCAGTTTTCTTGCACACATAACAATTCTAGATGTTATTTTCCAATAGACTGAAAATATTTTTGGACTTTTTTCTTTTTGAAGGCAACAGTTCCATCTTCCAATTTCACTGCTTCTACTCAGCTGATCATGACAACTGCAGTTACTGCAGTAACATTCTGTGTGACACACTGCACATCATTTGTCCCTAAAATGAAGGGCCATGCAGACAAAGAACTTCCTTTCACTAGAAGATGACAACCTGAGGGCTCAGCGCAACAAGCAAACCAGCTCAATAAAATTAAATAAAGTTCATAATCAATTGACTGACAAGGCAGCATAAATAAATGCAACACTGAAACATGCCACAGGTTTTTTTGAATACGTGAGCACAAAATGAAGGGCATCTTGAAATTCTCTGTCTTGCTTTGCTTTGGATTAATTCTGATGAGCATTCACCAAAGAGTTATGGTGCTGTATGATGGCATTCTAGTACAGTTTTAAAGACTAGTTTACTTGTCTGCATTTAAGTACAATCTACAACAGCCTTTATCCTCCAAAGAGCAGCTTTAGTTCCTCCAAGGAAGATTTCCTTCTAATCCTAACTTAACAAGGAGGGAATTTTATTTCGTTCCCACCAATGACAAGTGACACTCTATGGCAGACATCCCATGGAAAGACAGAAGATACACTTTCAGGGCACAAATACTGTATCAGCAGGGAGATTCTGACACTTGCACTGCAGATGCTGGGAATGCAGGAACTTCTGTATTTACACTGCAAAACCAGAGGACAGCACCCCTACCTGAAGCCAGCAGAGCAGAAAGAGCCTTCTATTAAAGAAGTCTGTTTTCCATGCTTCCTTCAATAAAGGAGTCTGGGATATCATGGCAGCCAGTTCTGATTATGTATTTGCAGAGGAAAGAAAAAAAAAAGAAAGAAAGAAACACAACATCCTTTGATTCCATCTTTAATGCCCACAGGGGGATTTTATTTTTTATTTTATTTTAACTTTTCTTTAAAACCAAGTTCACGTTGCAAGCTCATTTCCTACAGATGGAACTGTTTTTATTACGTAAAACCTGAACAGTCTAGCTTTGTTCTGACTGGTTTGTCAGAGCAAACCAGCAAGTGTTAAAAAAAAAACTATCTATCATCACAAGAGTCTTGCCAATTTTACAGATGCCAAAACAAAGGCAGCAATTTCAGCAACTTTCGCTAACACTTCTCTACAGTTCAATTTTTTCTTTTTATTTTTTTTAAATTTAGACCCAGTTGTCAAACAGATGTTTGACACAGCCAAACCAAAACTATAATAAGTATTTTCTATCACAGCCGAAAGCAGGACAATTTTTGACATGCATCATGGTTTACTCTATCCTGACACTCACCATTTATGCTTCTACAATGATTATACTACAAAATACTCAATAGACTCCTTTCAGTGAAGATATATGCTTTTTTCTAATCTTGACAACATTTCAAAATTTGTTAGCAACTCAGAAGTTACCTGAAAAAATAGTATCTCAGTATTTCGGGCTGCTTTTAGCAGCTGTTCACTAATAAGTCTTGAAACCTAGACTTTAAGCCAAAGAACACTTGTATATTTGAGAAGCACTCAATTTTCTAGGCAACTAAGTGAGCAGATTCCTAACTTTCTAGACACCAGATAGCACAGGCAAAAATTTGTTAGCTATTACTTTAACCTCAGCAAACGTGCTCTCTGCACAAAATGTTCGGAAACTGCACGCAAACAGTCTCCACTTCACAGGGACAGGCTGGCAGCTGCAAGAATAAAGAGCAGTAACCTCCAGCAATGCCAGCATGGTCAAAGCAGAAGTTTAGAATTTTGTCTTAGAGGGACATTGTTTTTTTTAAAGCAGAACAAGAAATTTGCTGCCAGCCAACGACGGCAGCGATTCACAACAGAAAGATGAGCGGTGAGTTCCAGCATTTTCTTTTGACTGAAAAGGATTTACACAAGCCCTTGGCTGACAGATGACACGGAGGGGGGCTATCGCTTCCGACAATATTAATTTGCTAGCTTCCAAAGATGCCCTAGAGGTCTAGACCACTTTCTTCCTCTCCAAATGAGAGGACCAAGAGGCCCTTTTGATAAGATCAGGCATCAAAAAAGTGTTATTTTCACTAGTACTGAATAACCCTTTTTTTTTTTTTTTTGACTAACATTCACCTCAAGTCTTATCTCGGACCTACACTGAAAAGCATTAACTGAGTATAAATGGGTTTAAGACAGAAGAACTATTTCCACAAGCTTTAGATAGAAATTCAGAGCGCAAGCAAGGATGTGTTATAAATAATTAAGCCCAAGTTTACAGTACAATTTGTCAGTGTTCTTCAGCAGTCACCTTCCTTTCAAACGAGCGTCATCCACGCCTACCATGAATAAGCGAGCTGCACAGGCTGCCAAGAGTCTAGCAATTGTTCTACCACTTTCACACACATATCTAAGAGTTTTCCACACCTGTCCACTCCAGCTGACATGGAACATAGAATTTACAGCAGGTTGATGAGATTTATTACGCAACAGGTGCACAATACAACAGAAATGACGTTTTACGTGTTTTGCTTGGATTAATTCAGAATAAGTAAACATAACAATATAAACACACGTAGACAGAGAATTCTAACTCTTTCATGCAGTGATTTAACACCTCTGCACTGAGATAGGTAACATTCAGCAAATGCTATTAAAATAGATGCTGGAAAGAAGCCACACCAGCTGGCTGCTGATCCTGAAAACGTGACATCGCACAAGCCAGTGAGTTGGGCCACGCTCACCCACCACTACGCTCAAGTGAGTACACCCAGCTCAGAGGAAAATGTTGAGCGAGGAAGTGCACAACAGCAAAGCCCTGCCATAGACCAAACCAGCTTTGTCTGCAATACGCAGTGCCAGAGAATCAACTGAGCTCAATGCTTCCTGGAATGCCACAGCCACAGGGTTAGCCCAGAAACTTGATGCAACAGTTAATGGGGGAGATTTGGACTAGGACAGGCTTGCTTAAGGAAATGATCTTAAGAAGAAAAAAAAACAACGCAGAAGCATCCAATGCATTACCTCACTGGATAACCACTGTTTGCTCCTCTCATACAAGGAGGGAATAAACTTGCTAAATTATCATGGAAAAAGTAAAAAAACACAATCGAATCAACTGGATACAAACTACTGTAATAAATTCAAAGCAGTTTAATTTTCCAACATGTTTAAGTTATAGCAATATTCACCACAAACTAGAGAGCATACAAAAAGCAATTGTTGTTACTGTGTGGCTAAAACACATTCCACCCAAACAATGAGAAATGACAACAACTTCTGTAACGAACAGACACAGTATGACTTCACGACCTTTATCAGGACATCCATAGATACATTTTTAATCATAATTGGTACAAGAATACCAGTTCACTATATCGTCAAGGAGCTATGCTTACAAAAGAAGCAATCTCAGGAGTAGTTTGGCTTTTCGTGACCTAACACCTGTGCTAAGGGCTTCTGCCAACACAATGTCAGTCGCAGTCAGCCAGTACATCTATGCCAGGAGACTCCTCTAGTGCAGATACAGCCTGGAGGAAAATGTGAGGCCTCTGCAGCAGCTAAAAGAAAAGCTTGAACTGAATGCAAAATAGTAAGAAGCCTGTATAAATAACAAAGAAGATTTTAGACCCTGGAAATTTTTAAAGAAAAAAAAAATAATCCAGATCATGTCTTCAGAAACAGTGAATAGAGCAGCTCAAATGCGTGCAAGAGCTGATTTAATGAGATGTGCAGAAATCTCGGAAGTAACGTTTAGATCCTATGTTAAAAACGTAAGTAAAAGACTAGCTGCCTGACACATAAGCACAGCTACTGGTGGCCCATCCATTATTGACCATTACTGTGTTTTCTAGAAGATATCCCAGTTGTGTTTAAGTTGTGAAATGAATTACTGGCTCTTAACCACCACGCAGATTTGCATTTGAAATATGACTGAGTTTAAAAAATTCACATAGCAGAAAGGCAGAGCACTACAGTGAAGGTAGTCAAGAAAAGCATCTGCAAAGGTTGTGTTTTGAATCAAGGGTCTTATCAATAATATCTATAACTACCAAAAAAAAAAGTATGGAAACATGACATCTACACAATATCTCGTCTTTGGATATGAGGAAGAGGAAGTCAGTCCTTCCCAGACACGTAAAGGGATGCTGCAACCACGTTAATTTTTCTGTAGCAACCATAGTTAGACCAGCTACTCTATTGTCTCACATAATCTGGCAAATCTTATCCCATCTTTGACTGCTTTGCCAAGTAATTTCCATCACTACAGTATGCAACAACACTTTTCAAGGAATTCTGGACCATACCATTCAACCATATACTTACTCTTAGATGCACAGTCCACCAGTAATTTATCTTGGGGAGCAACTTGAAAGTACTAGACACAAAATGTTTTATATCAAGTGCTATATGAAAGCTACTTCTTGCTTCAAGTTCAGCTACAGAATGACCATAAACCACTCAATTGCAAATACTGCAATGAGAAATACATCCAAGAAATCCAGAGCTAGCAACAGCAAAGTCACTGCAGCTAGATAAAGGGCATGAGTAGCCTGCAACCCAGAGCTCACGTGTAGCAAGTGCAACACCATAAAGGTGACAGACGTTGTTTTCAGCCACCAGGCAAAGCTACCACAGCAAACAAAGTTCGATTTCATCCTCCCTGTGCTGCTTGCCCAGAACTGCTGTCCATGAACTAACAACAAATCACTGCCTCCAGGTCCAGCATAGGTTTTGCAGCTCACTGCAGTTCCAGCAATGCCTGAGGGTATCTGTGATTCAGTAGCTATGAAGTTGCCACATTCCTCACCACTCCCATGCCTGTTCCTACCACCGCCTGCACCCTCACTTGCGTAATGTTAATCTTGCTAAAACCAACCATCCCGTATCTCCCAAACAGTTATTTTTTTAATCCCAATTACTTCAGACAAAAAGTTTAAACTGTTGTCTGACAGACAGCTGGAGGTAGTCTAAGCAGCATAAAAGAATGGGAGAATAAAATGCAGGAATACCTCAATGGGATTTTGTTATCAAAGCCAACATGGCTTAAAGCTGGTTCCAGTAAGCCAAGTTTAAGACTAGGTTCAGTACACTACTATAAACATTGGGAAAAAACCCACATACTTCATCACAATTAAAATAATACCTATTGCGCTCCTCATCCAACCAGTCTGCCAAGCCTAACACTTCACGTGTGCCTGTCAGTGGTAAGCTCACCTCAGCAGCACAACATGACAGTCACTGCAGGTGTGCAGAAAGTGCACGTTTGAGGTATTTTTCCACAGACGGATATAGAAGAGAATCGTGGACCTGATCTGGACTTTCAGTTTCCATGTTGCCCTTCACGTTTTGTAGAGACAGCTTCACCTGGAAGTTCTCAGGAAGGTCATTTATAGCAAGATAAATCTAAGACTGGAGAGCGTCCCTATTTAGGTGAAGTCTGTTGTGAAGTTTCAGCTGCTTTAACGACACAGGCTTTGCGTTTTCATGGCAGACATTTTATTTTTAAAGGACTCTGACCGCGTCTTCTCCACAGAAGGCCATTTCTCAGCAGCATCGCTGAGCCCTGACTCACGATGCTCAGCTTCAGACTCACCTGGTTGAGGCACGCTTCCCGGCGGGATGCTTTCAGACACTTTTCAAGACCGAGCACACTTTTGCTGCCAGCAAACCCAGGACAAGGGACGCGATTAGGAGCCGCCCACCCCCTCCCCACGCTGCCCCCCGAGCTGGGGCAGCGCCCTGCAGGCTCCCGAGGCCCTGCTGTACCCCCCCACCCCATCCCCCAGCCCCTCTCTCACCGTCTCCTGGTGGCCGGGCCCATCGGGCTGCCCTCCCCCTCCTCCTCCTCCTCCTCCTCCGCAGGCTCCGGGCGCGGGGCTCGCCCGCCCCTCGGGGGTCTTCCTCTCGCTCGCTCCCTTGCCTCCGCGGCGTGCCGCCCGGCGCCCCCACAGGTACAGCGCGCCGGCCCCCAGCAGCATGGGCGCCCCCAGCACCAGCGCCAGCTGCCAGCGGGACAGCCCCGAGCCGCCGCCGCCGCCGCCGGCCGCCGCCTCCACGGGCTTCGAGGCGGCCATGACGCGCTCGCACGGCCGGCGGGGAGGGCCGGGGTCAGCGGACACCCGGAGCAGGCCGGGAGAGCGCGGGGCACCCGGCACTTCCGCGCCGCGCACCGCCGCACCGCCGCCTGCCGGCACGGAGGAGCCCGCTCCCCGCCCGGTGGGGCTCTGCGTTTGGTTTTCGTCAAGTTTGTGGAGAGAGTCAGTCGTGAGAAGCATGAAGTGAACAGTACTGGGAGTGTAGTTGTGTGGTGTGCCCACGCGTGGCCATGCCAGCCTAACATCCCTGTCAGGAAGGGGGGACTCGCATTTCCATCTCCACTTACCTATCTCCACAGCACACAGTCAATAAAGAACATCCGTCTTTGTCCCTTGTTTCTACTCAGTTTACACCAGTCACTTCATACTTACAAATTTCCTAATAGGCAGGAAGGAAAACTGCATGTAAGCGCAGATACATACTGCTATGAAGAGGGGGGGGGAAACACGCTGAAAAGAAAAACAGCAGTAATGTTGCAAAGCAAACACTTCAGAAGCCCAGTCAAAATTTGCCAAGGTGAATTTGTTGTTGCCTTGCGTGCTGATGACACTCGCACCTTGACATCCTGACCTCCTAACCGCTACAGGTTTTTCTAGTGCAACTGCAGAGGGTGCAGCTTCTTTCTTTTCCCACTCTTTCCATCTCTTATGGAGCCCTGGTAATTTGCCCAACTTAACCTGCCATGCTGTCCCTTCATGAGCTTCGGCCCTGCTGGACTCTTGAGTCAATATGCATTGGTGCCTGGTAATAAACAGCTGGAGCCGTATCTCCTTTAATGTATGGATTATCACTCTATGAGTAAGCATATTTTGGCAAAACTGTGGGACTCTCCCACTTTTCCTTGTCACCTGTCTCAGCATGGCCAAAGTACTTCCCAGTTCATAGAATCCTTTCTAGGATTCCAGGATTCTAGGATTCATTAAGGTTGGAAAGGCCCTCCAAGATCATCTGGTCCAACCATTCCTCTACTACCAATATCACCCACTAAACCATGTCCCTAAGCACCAGGTCCAACCTTTCCTTAAACATCCCCAGTGACGGTGACTCAACCACCTCCTTGGGTGACCCATTCCAATGCCTGACTGCTCTTTCTGAGAAGAAATGTCTCCTTGTGTCCAACCTGAACCTCCCCTGGCACAACTTGAGGCCATTCCCTCTAGTCCTATCACTAGTTACCTGTGAGGAGAGGCGGACCCCAGCCCCCCACACCTTCCTTTCAGGTAGTTGCAGAGAGCAATGAGGTGTCCCCTGAGCCTCCTCTTCTCCAAACTAAACACCCCCAGTTCCCTCAGCTGTTCCTCACAGGACTTGTGCTCCAGTCCCTTCACCAACTTCATAGCCCTTCTCTGGGCATGTTCCAGGGCCTCGATGTCCTTCTTATATTGAGGGGCCAAAAACTGAACACAGAACTCAAGGCGCAGCCTCACCAGAGCAGAATGCAAAGGGATGATCACCTCCCTGGTCCTGCTGGCCACACTATTTCTGATACAAGTCAGAATGCTGTTGGCCTTCTTGGCTGCCTGGGCACACTGCTGGCTCCTGTTCTGAATGCCAGTTCACATGGCAGATGAGAAGAATCTTAAGCCGTGCGATACAAGTGACATATCTACAGGCCAATAGCTTCCTACTGGGATGGCCTAAATTCTACCCACGTGATACTTATGATGAAACACAGGCCTTCAGATATACCCTGTCTGTACAGATTGCTAGTCTTAAGGCCTTCAGATAAATCTAGGCTCTCAGAATAAGGCCTGGAGTATTCCCCATCTGGAGAATCAGCCTACATATCCTTCACATCCACACAGCCTTTTTATTGCTTCAGGTGTACTTTTACTGTGCTGTTTTGCAGGTATTCCTATCACTCCTGTCCATCTGTGTCTCAACCATAACAGGTAAACCTCCTGCTGCAGGTTTAGTTGAGTCTTCAAGCTCTGATGTGCAACTTCTGAGGACATGCTGTCTGTACACCCATGTGCTCCATGCTCTCATGCTACTCACAGTCTCATCTGCCCCAGACACAGTAAAATTCACGTAGGTATACATGACCAATCAGTTCCATCACCTGTATCAGAACTAAGAGTCCTACATGAGAGTATAGTACTGGGAGAATTTAAGTCTCACACCTAGACCCACATGAATAAAACTTAGGTTTTGTTACTTCTTCCATATATTGCTAATAGGATTAGGCACAAGAAGCAAGTTTTAATTCTGGACCCCTGATTGTCCATATTGCTAAATTGCTAGCAAGTGTTTTGGCATACTTCTTGTCGATGCCAACTAGCATCTCCAAGACAAAGCCTAGCCATTCGGAGAAGACCTAGCCACCCAGCACACACCAAGGTCTGCTTCCAGTAGGAAGTTAGATTTGCGTCTTTTCCTCCTGTGCAGTCTTCCAGTGCTATCCCAACAGGCTCTACATCCTCAAAGCACTCCTCCATGTTCTTCCTCCATGCCCCAAGGCATGTAACGTCTTCCAGTTTCATGCCATACAAACAACAGTTTTATGTGTCACAACAGAGTTCTCCTATTATATCAAGTGTTTTAATATAAAATTTTTAAAAATGCCACAAAAATGCAACATGGTATTATAGCCAAAGTGAAGTAGATACAACCTCAAGGAGACCTACAGCACAAACACTATATAGAAGGGATGTGGTCAGTCTAGCCACTTAGTTTCAGGGCCAGAAAAGAGTCCGCAGCCCTGTTCTGTTTTACAGTTTAGACACGGCTGATACAGCCTATACCCAGGGCCTGTTTAGGAGGATCCAGATCAGACTCATTTCTGCTCTGTGTGCATTGAAGTGAAGCTGGGCCTACCATAACCCTGATACAGCAGATGAAATTGCTTTCATGAAAAGCAGATGATGCAAGTTCACGCATCATGCCATAGCCCAAAAAAGAACAAGCAATTTTCTCAGGTGGGCCTTCTCCCCAGTGAACACGTTTCCTGAATACGAGAAGGAAGAGTAGAGACAACAGAGATCAGGAGGGAGGGCAGCATGGAAAGAGAGTGCGATTTGTCCTGCCTCCCACAGTCAGTTAAGTCTCTGCAAGCAGATGTGCCAGTTTCTGACCACTGTCAATATGTCAATTTTGCTTCTCAAAATTACAAGCCTGCTTTGGGTTAGAGTACACACCTCCCAGGCACATTACCGTGGGCAATTCTCCATTGGTATTGACAGCTAGTGCACTCAACAGCAATGCATATGGAGTAGAGAACACATTTCCCTTCCCGTCAGCCCCCTGCGGCAGTGTCGTATTGGACATCTCTGTAATGGAAAGATTAAAAGTTGAAAATAGATGAGAAAGGATAGACTTGATGTTTAGACAGTGCCTAGGGCTGCAGTGGGATGGGCTTTGGGGGATGGAGTGCAGAAGAGTGGTTGAAACTGCACCTCCTCTTCCTCTTGTTGACAGAACAGTGTGAGGCTATTGGCATAGTGGTGGCATTTGAGATTGCTTTTACTTGTCTGGTTGAAAGACGGACGCAAATTTGGAGTGTCTGTACATGGAATATGAAGAGGATGATGATATTTCCTTTGCGAAATGGATGAGCAGTTTCTGGGGCCACAACTTGATTGATGAGAATGAGAAAGAGGGTAGAGGCCACAAGAAACGTCAAACACGACACTTTAGTGAACGGAGAGCCTCCCTTCCGGTAAGAACTGTGTGCAATATTCCCTCTGCATGTCTCTGTGTGGTTTATCTATAAATTTTAAGTGCCATCATCCCAGGGGATGACCCTAAAAATCTGTGAGGATGAGAATGCCTCATTTAACTTGCCGTCTATGTTCAGTTCCTACTGGTAGCAGTTTCTTGCTTTTTGAACTTGTCTCCCCCATCAGAGGCCTCAGATGCCTTTGAAATGCAAGAAAACTAGTGAACTCCAAGATAAGGAAAGATGGGACCAAAAATGGAAGGAAAAGGCTGCAAAAACTGCTAGAGTCTTAACTGTGTATTACGCTGTTCTGTCTGCTAAGCTTGACCTGACAGAAAGCTAAACATTTTGGAAATCTGACACATGCAAACATTGTCTTCAGTGAGTCTGTTTCCACATGTAAAACTATATAGCCCTTCTCCAGGAAGCTGTATGTTTTACTCCCTAGGATTTAGCTGCTTGCAGATGTAACTTCTGATTTAAGCTAGTTGATATAGTCCCTCCTTGTTTAAAATCTCTGTCCCTGGAAATGAAGAGGCAACGCATAACAAAGCTAATTGTATTATGAAGTAAAATTTTAAGGGAGAAGAAAGTTCTTTTTTCTCAAACCAACAGGACACTGGGGAAAGGGAAAGGATGCACATGCAGAGGCAGTTTTTTTAAGGCAGCTGACAACTGTCTAACTGATTGTCAAAATGAAGTTAAACTGAAAGCAGACTCTGAGCTAGATTTTTGCTAATGGATTCTATCAGAATGCCTGAAAACAGAACATTATTAATGTTTATTTATTTATTTATTTTACTATATTTCAATTTTATCTTGCAGAGAATTACACAGAGAACTATGCCTACATAATTTCTTTAAGCCTAATAAAGACTGAAGTGTAAGAACGTACTTTATATCGCTTCCCATTCAGCAAGTTGCTGAATACACAGATGTATATGTGTGTGTATTTGCGTGTACATACATTTAGTTTGAAGCATGTTCTTACATTCAGTTTGTTCAAAAGCTATTTGAATACCTTGCTAACTACAGTTGCATCCCTGAATCAGCACCTAGAACTTGGATTAAGTTAGCTGAGACAGAGGAGACTGTGACTTTTGAACATTAATGTTCAATCAGTTAAAGTTACCCGGTACACTTAATTGTGTCTGGCCTTTTCATTAATGTTTCACACATTTTTTTCTTGGCTCAGTAGTATTATACAAGAGATACAAATCTCAACTACTTTATTTCTCAGTACCAGAAATTGAATGAAGGAAGGAAAAGGGAAGATCAGTTTGAAGATCCTACAATATGGAGACAAAGTTTGGTAATAAGATTTAAAAATAGATATCTCTGACTAGTTGGTAGTGAAGACTACTAAAACATGTTGTTTTAACCCAAGAAATTACTCAAATAGGGGCACTAATAAGTACTTAGGAATACTTTCAGAAAAAGCAGCTCCTTGCTCAGAGCAGCAACTTGCTATTGCACCTGGATGTGTTTTTTAGACAATTATTACAAACGACTACTACTGTGACAATCAAAACACTTACCAGTGTTAGTTAAATAACATCTTCATTTCATCATAATAGTGCTATTAATCAGGGGAATACTAACTGACATCAGACTGTGTGTCTTCTGTAAGTTTATACCTTCTCAAGGGATCGCAATGTACCCTTTCTTCTGTGTCAACATCATAAATGGAGGTAACCATTTACAGTGTCTGTCCTGGTCAAAATCAAGTCAGCAGGTTCAGGCTGACAGTCGTTCACAAAAGTTATTTTGTGCAGATACACCTGTGCTGCCAAAACAGCACTGCCAGCATACTTTGTCTACCCACATGAACTGCATCTGCATCAGGAGGACTTTGGTATTGCATAGAAAAATGCTAGCAATATGACAGAAAGGGTGTTTTGGCATAACTCTGTAATTTCAGAGCACACACTTTCAACTCTATGTTGGTATGTTGGCCTTCTTTGTAATTATTTTTTTTTCTGTGCTGTAGAAGCACGTTCAAGCCACTGCTCTCACCTCAAACGTGACAGTAAACTCCTGCAGCAACCTGTCATTGTGGAGCCTCTCGAAACACGGACAAAGCTTTGTAGAACTCCTTCTGTAATTTGCTTCACAAAAACTGACAATAATTTTCAAAATTTTCTTCCTAGTATCTTAGTATAGCTCACAAACATTACTAAATGTGCTTCACAAAATGCTTTTGCTATGATCATTCCTATTTTACAGAGGGGAACGTAAAACCATATTCATCCTTCACTGGGGCTCACTAGCAGAGCACATAACTGGCCTCAGAAATCCTGGCTCCCAAGACAGGCTAAAATGATGAACCCAGACTTCTCAGTTAAAATGTGCACCTCCACTCTGCTCTCCTGAAAATCATTAGAGTTGTATATACTGCTGTGGGCCCACAGTGAATGTGAAAACTGCCCGGGGAGAACCAAGTCCTCTGTTTCCAATCCCTTTGGTTTAGTTGCTGCTAGCTGCAGACTTTATGTACAGTAACTGAGTCTCTTTTTCAAGCCTATGCACCTTCTAGTTGTCCTCCATCAGTTCAGCTCAGGCCAGTTCCTTACTTCCCAGACATTCTGTTGTGGGGAAGCAAAGGTGGCAGAGGAGCACCAATAAGAGCTTTACAATTTTACATATATATTCTTTTTGAAGTAGACATTACTGCTTGTAGCAGAAAATCGGATAAGAAACAACTAAGGGTGAGAGCAGAACATGTGACTACCGTTGAAGGTACTGACATTTAATCTAAACTAAAATCAGACTGAGTATCTACCAAAAGATGGAAACAAGTTTCTTATTTCCAACAGAAGCTGAAAAAGAGGATAGGCAATTGATATTGGCATCGATTTCTTGGGGGTATTTTTGTTAGTTTGCTTCTGTGTATTTGTTTTTTATGGGTAATTAGCAAGCGATCTGCTGCCAATTGTGTAAATAGACAGCATGACTGGCATTACACAAAGGCACACACAGAAAAAGGGAGTACTAACAGGAGTGAGAAACAAACATTGAGAACATTCTTGATGCTCCTGGTTTCTTTGATATTAGCACAAATTCCCTATTTTGATATGGGGGAACATTTATCATTCTTCATTTATCATTCTTCCTTCCCATGCCTTTTCCCTTGTTTCACAACTACCTTCCCACTTCTCCTCCAGTTTAAGAACTACTCAAGGGCAGATCCTAGAAGCCAGTGAACAAGGGAACTTGCTGAAGAGGCACCAGATGCAGGCACAAGGCAGCTGCTGGGGCAAGGGCAGGAGCAGACCCTGGAGCTGTGCTCAGAGGCCTTTGGCAAGGGAAGACAGCAGCAGTGGGTGGACTGATTTAGAGGGAATCTCTGCTGCCAGCAGCTGCTGAGACTGCAGGAGGGGGAGCATAAATTAACGCAGTCAGGCCTATTCTTATTTACAGTCGTACTAAGTAATCCATTTGGCATCAATTGTATATATTAAATGCAAGTATTCTAAGAAACAGAAAGAAAGCCATATAGATACCTAAACTCATTGTCAGATCCTCTTCATTGCTGAGCTTCATTTTATCACTCCTTCAGTTCTTGACAGAGTTTATCTTAAATAAAAGAAGACCACTGTACTGTGCTAATAATAAGGCATGAAATATTCATGTTTGAGCAGTTGTGTTAAGGCTCCCGTCCTCTATAGGGTTGTCTTAATAAGACAGCAATGTGATAACTTGCATGTGCACTGTGAGAGGAGGCACAATCACTGTGATATGATTACAGAAAATGTATGTGCAGCTTTACCCTAAGTTCAGTGAGACAGGCACACATTTCAGAGAAAGACCTGTCCCTTTTCTGGACCATTGTGCCTCTGTCAGTATGTGAACTACAGTCTTTTTGTTAAGGGCTAAGTTACTGTAACTCTGTCTGTGAAAGAAAATTAAAAAGCAACATCTTAGTAATATAAAACATTTACAGATATTGCAAAACAGGATTGGTAGAATACCATCCTCTGTTTTAGTTGTCCTCATGTTTGTTTGTTTTCATGTGTGGGTGTTTGTCTGTTTTTCCTAAACCCTCTAAGAACAAATACCAGTGATTCCTAGTGTGAAACAACATATATTTCCAGGAAACAATGTATGTTGATACCATTAAAATGACACAGAAGACATTTAGCTTGCTCAGCCTGACATGGCATGTGCACTCCTGTCCCTCGAGCACAATGAGATTGCTTTGGTGCTTTTTCAAATAACAATACAATATGACCTTACAGAAAATACAACCATATTGATTAGTTTGAAACAGTATGCCTCCAAGTAAAAATAGTATAGCAGAAATCGTTACCATTACTCTCAGAGGCAGTCCAGAATACTAGTTAGTAAAGGAAGCTTATATCTGGATATGAAGTTGAACTAGTACCATATGACTTGAAAACCCTTTGGTGTTAGGTACTTCTGACAGATATAAAACGTGTAAAAAAGTATAGTTTCAGACATCTATGAAAATAGGAAGTATAAATTAGTGAATAGCAGGATATACTGTCCCCTCAAAACATATTCTCAGTTACTGCCAACAGCCGCATGTGGGAACTTGTAATGAGGGAGGCAAACCTTCCGATATGAATCTGTAGTATTTTGCTGGAAGATGCATAACGCTATCAGGTGTAGATTTACTAGTGATTTAGCACCTCTCCTCAAACCTATCTAATGTCACAACCATATGGGTTCACAGCCTCACTGTTCAGAGAAAGGCTACACAGGTCCCCACTGCGCTGATACATTTATAATATCACCTGGGCTAGAGTAAATGCAAATGTTTACAGGAGAGGTTTCAGGTCCCTTGAAATCCAAGGGTGGTAGATTGATGTGGCCACTATACCAGGTTAGATTAGCTTTCCACTGGGGGGTAGAGAGAGGGAGAGAGAGAGGGAAAGAAGGAACGAAAAGGGAGAAAACAAAGAAATGGGAAATTTGCAGTAACAATATCCTTAATACCAACTATATTAGTACATTTCAAAAGCCCTGTTATGGTGAGGAGATTCATACAAGCAGGACACAGAACCCACCCAGTCTCCACTAGCAAAAGCTGTTTAAGATTTTGGATTTTGAGTTGCCTGGATGGTGTTAACATGAGGCAGTATCATATGTAGGGCCTGAACATGTAGCTTCAGCCATTCTGCATTATTTTAATCTCCTTTACACACATTCACTTATACACAGTCATACAGATCATTTGTTTTTGTCTACCAGCCAGACCTGGGAAAATTAAACCACACAGAAACTAAACAACTCTCCACTCCCTCCCCACTTAAGCTCTACAAATGTCATTGGGGAAGACTGTTTCCTGCTATTTTGCTACCAGGAATGTGTCCCTTGGTGCCCTAAAATTCTCCCTCATCAGATCAGGATGAATGTGCTCAAGAAACCAGCAGAAAATTCAGAGCTGAACACTAGAACATCTTGTCTGCATGTAGGCCATGCTGCAAATATGACAAGGTTGTGCTAGGAATGGCCTCTTTCACACCCAAGTGACCTCAAACATCTGATAAGTCCTGGTGCACCTGTGGGTTAAACCCAGCGTCTGTCTCATCCGGCCACAAAAGGCTGGGTCTTTGCTGTTTGACAGCCCTGCCTAGAACCCGTCCTCAGAGGATAGGCATGGGTTTTTGAGGTTCTGAAGTATCTCAGTTCCTTGTGGTGTCAGTGGGCACCAAGAGGACCCAGCACACTTTGCATTTGAAATGCTTATTTGGATACTAAAGCTTAGATACTCAAAAATAGTAATAATAAAAAAAAATATCTGCTGCTGCCTCTGGGAAGCAACTTTGCGGTGTAAATCTCGTGCATGTAAAAGGAAAGACAGAAGAGTCTGGGAAAGGTCCTTCATTTGGCACCATTGTTTGGAGACCACTCTGTAGCAGAGAGAATCTGTCCTGTGTGCTTTGCTTTGACATTTGATACTCACCAAGACCTCTTGTTTTGCAGGCCAGGCTTTCCTCCCTCCATACAACACGACTTCATGCCTCTACCAAAGGCTCATCTTCAGGCCATCTCAAGGGCTCCAGAGAATTCGAAGAAGACCAGGATTGCAAATGCCACTGCCACAAGAAGGCAAGCAGGACACCTTCAGCTGACAGTTCATGCACAGAGAAAAGATCAAACTCCATCCAGGAATTTGCAGAGTCCTTTGAGAAGCAATTGCATTTCAAAAGCAAACGTTCAGTTTCTTTGGTAGGTAAAGACAAATAGCTTTGAGATGACTTCAGAAAAAAAAAATAAAAACAAAAAGCAAGCCAGGTAAATCCTCAATATAATTCTTGTGGCTTTTCTGGGGGAGAAGCAGAAATAAGCTTGAATTAGAATACCTTAAATGATGTGGTCCTTACTGCAGTTGAATCAAGGTTAAAGTGGTAATGTCATTAGTATAAGCACTTTGGATGTAGTGTTGTCATCTAGACTTCTTTCAAAGTGTGTATCTCCAAAATGAGACCCAGTGCTCTCTGTGGCAATGTTTTCAGACATTTCTACAGCAGTGCCAACAAAATGTGACAATATAAAAATATGTTTGCTTCAATTTTTCCATGATTGCCAGATCTCTTTCTCACTGCTGTTGACCTGGCTTAACCATATGGAGTATTATCTGTAAGACTGCCAAACATGATACTGTTTGAGAGGTTTCTCTTTCCTCCCTGGGACTCCATCCATCTGCTTTCTTCAGTGTCACTGCACATCTGCAGCAGCAGAATTGCTGTATTTCCACTGCAAGGGCATGCAACCAGCATGGATTCTCTTCCTATTTCACCCTTCTCTTCTCCCTGTCATTCTGCCCTGAGGCATAAGCATTTTCTACGTGGTTTGTGTTGAAGAAGTAACCAATAATGAACTTCCATCTATGACAATTTAACACATTTATAATTATGATACATACTGTCTAGTGTATCATACAATGGAAGGAAGGGTATTGAGCACTAACTCCCTTTTAAGTACCAGAAGAACACTGTCAAATTCAGTCACTCTGTTGAAAAGCTGTGCTTGAATAACACTTGACTTTATCAACAAACAATATCAAAGAGAAGTATCCTTTTTTCAGTTTGTTTTCCACTGACAGTTTCATATGGAGAAGTACTTTGCAGCTTTTTTTTGCAGGCCTTCCATGCAGCAGCAATGAGGGAGAAAAAAAAATCTCTTTTCAATAAATAGCATCATTACATGATCAGTCCCACAATTACAGTCCTTGCATACCCAGTTCTCTAAGAATATGAAGAATCATGCTGATTACAACTCTGTTATGCAATTTTTAAGATTTTAAGTGCATTCAGTAATCTTGTTTTTCCCTTTTAGGAACTACTCAGAATTTATTTCATTTGGAATTTCACATTGCCTCATTTGCCAACCCTCACCAGTGGTTGATGGTTTATTCATCATTTCTCAAAAGTGCCTACCACTAGAAAGCTTGTGAGTGGTAATAATTGTGCAATAGGTCTTGTGAATATAATGCACTAAATACGACTTTGGTTCCATTTAAAAATGTGGATTCTGGTACCCTTCTCTAATCCACTGTGAAGTGTACTGGCCTATATTTTGCTCTACCTTTCCATTAGACCGAATTTTGGTTATTCCTTCAGTTACTACTGAAGCCTGTGGTATGTAAAGGACTTCAGAAACTTGAAGAACTGACTGATAAGTGTTAGAGATCTTAAAGGGAATTTGGGAGTGGACTTAAACATGAAGCTCCAAATGCAGTGTTGAAAATTCCCCTTTTTTTTCGCATTTGGAGCCTTGTGGTTGTAATTCAAATCATCCTTTACATGACTATACAGGCTAAAAGAAAAGAAAAGTGAGGAAAATGTAATTCCACTTTATCTCCTTCCTTGTCCATTGGTTTTCTCTAAATAAATAAACAAATGTGGCTTTGAAAACACTTCAACACTTTTCAGTGAGGTCTTTGCAGCCAGCCCTGGACAACCTTCAGACACATAAAGACGGAGTATATGAAAGAATAGAAACATGGAGTTTGGGCTGGAATCTCAGAGCCCTTCCCTTTTTCCTTCTTGTCTCCTCTCCCCTGCAAGCCCACCAGGCAAGCAATCCTTCTACCACTCACAGTATCATCAAAAGCATGTTGCCCCTTGCTGACATTAGGGTATTCACTTGAATTTGAGCCCATCATGTTAAAGCTGATCTTACTGAGACAGGTGAATGGAATGTTTTGTTATACATTACTATTGAAATATAATGACTACAATATTTTGTTGATCATGTAGGAGTCACTTTTAATTCCCTGTCATTTTTCTCTTGCCTTTTAGCAACCTGAAGGCATGAAGGAGAGAAGAGAAAGAGAGAGATTGCATTTGAGAAAGAGCAAGTCTCACAAGAGAATGGGAGAGAAATCAGAGCCAGGGAGAGAACAGAAAGAAGATGAATGTTCAGAAGATGTAGCTGCAAAGTACAACGAACAGTTTCCATCACAAGTAAACATTGAGAAATGATATTTATGCACAGGCAGCTAGGATGTCTTAGGCTAATGAATTTTAACACAATCCCTGATGAGCAGAGGGAGTATTCTTTTGTTGTTGTTGTTATTGTGTTTTGTGTGTGTGTGTCTAGAAAATGCTTCTTAGCTAGAGTAAACCCTGACCTGTAAAATAGAACTGAAATTCAACTGCATCACTACCATTGCCAGTACCACATTGCTACCTTCCTGTCTTTACTTTTTCTGCTAGGAATGTGACCCCTCTCAGAAGGAGCAGTGAAGCATGCCCTAAGAGGGTTTCAAGCAGACCTAGCATTGCAGCATAACAGTAGTGGATGTATTCATTTAAGAGGTGTACATGTACATATTACAGAGCTGTGTAAAGTCATTCTAAGCCTTATATTTCTGTTCCAATTGAAAAAGGGCTTATTAGTAGGTTTGGGGAAGAAAACATACACATAAACTGCCACCTACTTCTTGGCCCGGACATTCACTTAGATTTGGCTTGGAAAGAGGTATCTTTTTTCTTTGACAATCTCCTAAATCCAAATTTTTGGAAGTAGTGGAAGAGAAGCCCTCACACTCTCTTCCACACCTTCCCAATGCCTCACTTCTCTCTGCTTTCTCTCACTGTCACTGTGCAATACAACTCTTGTTTCTCTGACATCCCTGTCTGCCATGTTCACAGTCCCAATTCCCAGTCACAAAACTAGTTCTTTTTGACAGCCTTAACCTCATCATTTGCCTCTTTTGTATCCTTCCCCCTCTCCATTTACTACTTTGTAGCCCTGACTCAAAGCTATTAAATTTTTGTTACATCTCTAGTTTTGCCTCATCAAAATGTGACCCTTGCTTGAAGCTCTCCAGTAAAAAGATGTTTAGTCTCTTGCACTTCTATATGATCTCCTCAAGGGGTTGCTGGTACTTGCCACAGATTCAGGGTGAAGGATTTCAACCCCTTTCAGTTTTTGTCTTTTCAAGAACTAGGGCCAAACCAAAGAAATGGGAGTCATCTCTGCCTGTGGTAAGCAGGGCCTGGGGAAGCTTTTTCCTCTGGCTGACGATCTCTTAAACTCAGGTGTAAATCTCACCAACTGTAAGCAAGATTTCTTTCTATGCAGAGGAAAACCACATTCACATGCCCATAAACACAAACACACACACAGGCTTTCAACATATGAATCCTCCCTGCAGAGAAAAACCCTGCCCTCTTTGGGAATAATTTCCCCAGGCCCAGTATGGAGAAAGCCTGGTTTGATAATAAAGAGTGAAGACTGACAAATTTATGAGCAAGAGTCAAAGTCTGATGGGTGTTCTACCTGTGATTTTATTGTAATTAACAATTTTCTTATTATTTTATTTTAGAGCCTTAATTTTGTATGTTTAACCATTTAAAAGCTTAGGGCATCCTCAAAACTTTGTAACACTTATCTTCATTGGGGGATTGTTTTTGTTTAAACTGGGGCTTTGGGAATGTATAAGAAAGTGACTGAACCCTTGCTGATGCATGTAAACTGTTTCTTACCTGATTACATTTATTATAAACTAATAAATCTGACTGAAATATGTTGTTACTGTGCATAGGTCCTCTCCTCCCCAATCTAGATTGGATTTTGATGAAGTTCTTCCATCAGCCAAAACTTCCATTTGGGAAGGAAGGTAATCATCCAGAGAGGACTCTGACTGGGATGGCGGATGATATTTCTATTTTAACAGAAAGTGGAATAGGGATGTACAAGTATTCAGAAATACTCTGGAGGGTTTCCATTCTCACATGTTTTTTCTGCTCTTTCCAAGAGTTAGATATCCGCAAGGTGGAATAAAATACAAACTTTGGACATGAAGGAGATCAGTTAGCAGGCAGCAAAGGAAAAGGACCCAGAAATGTCTTCTCCAAAATCCTCAGTTAACACTGAAAACCTAAAATAGTTTTAAAACAGAGGGGAACTAGCAGGCAGCAGAACTAGTCTGCTCACTTCCTTTGTGGGCTGGCTGTCAAAAGCTGACATGATTCAGAAGCCCATGAAGCATGTTTTAAACTTGATGTGACTCAGGGGTAGGAGACCACTCTCTGATAAAACACATGCCTATGTGGATCCTTCCCACCACAACTAGTGAGTGTTCCTATGGGAACTCAGGCCTTGGGTATGTACAAACATTTCAAGAGCAAGATCCAGTTATACCACAGTATTTTCTAAGAGAGGTAAGAAGAAAAATTCCAGTGTGGTTACTTGATCTTCTAGGTGGGAATTTTCTAAGCAAAACCCCCAGCTCTAAATGCATTCATAAATGCACACGTAAATAATTAAAATTACACACAGATATAATCAAACCTGCTGAACAAAACTATTCACAAAGAATAATCATAAGTCCTAATAATCCAAAGTCATAATCATGGGACCTTGAATTTTTACAGCCATCATTGAAAAAAAGCAGGTCTTGAACTATGTCCAGAAGGATATTGCAGCCAAAACCCACTCCTTCAGATTAGAGAGAAGTGAATAGTGAAATCAGACTGACTTCACAGACAATGCCCTGCCTGCAGCTGCTGTGCCAGAGCTTTAGATAATTATGCGTAAACAAATGTTAGAATATATTTGCTCATCATATAAAGCATTGTTTGTAGGGGTTATTTTTCATTTACTCTGTTTTAGATGGACAGATGACATTCCTCTTATTGGTAGGATCCCTCTGAATACTAGTCCTGTCTCTACTGTACTTCAGACAAAGGTAACTTCTCCCAGCTGTGTCATGTCTCTGAGGTCAGACAGAAAACAGCCAAAAGAAGGCATACAGGGAGCATCAAACACTTACATTCTGTCACATTTAATGCTTTATTGTCTGTCTTACATGCTTGTTAAAATGCTTTAACTCATGCAATTTCTGCTCAGAATAGTTTTGCTGCATAGAGAAAACATACTGAAATTTGTAAAACAGTCATACATATATTTTCATCACAAAGCCCATAGGGTCCTGATGCAGAATCTACAGCCTTAGTGAATTAGTCCTATTCCTGATCCCAAAGTATCAAAAAGGAATTATTTTTTTTCTCCAAAGCTTGAGTGGGATTTGTGGACACCACTTGCCAGGGCTTCCCTTCAACTATATCCCATTTTACGGGGTGAATGGTAAGGTTTTGACCCTTTGGAAAACAGTTCTTCCTGCACTGTTGTGCAATGGATCTAAGCTGATAATCTGCCCTTCCTATAAGCACAAAATGCTTGTTAAAAGTGTCTCACAAGCTGGGTGTGCTTGAGTCTGCTCACCAAAGTCTTTTTTGTTTTTTTTTTAATACAGTTTTGGCTGTCAAAGGGCAGCTAGAGTGATTTTAGGTTAGCCTAAATACAACTAGCTCAAATTTGTACCCGGGAGAGAGGAGAAATTAGGGCACTCCTTTGCATTGAGGGTGAAACCTCCTTGGGGGTATGTGGACAACAAACTAACCTTGGGCTTTTTTCACTGGCACAATAGCAACTGGCAATTAGAGGTTAACCCAGAATTTGAGGTGAAAAAAAAATACAACAAAAAAAAAAAAAAAACGACGACAAAAAAACAATTCATGAGTTTCCTCTCTGTTGTGCCAAGTTCTGCCTACCCACAGCTGGAGATGAGAGATTTTCCATTTACATTAAGGTTTCTCCTGACAATTTGATTACCTAACCAAAAGTAATTCTGATTTGAGGTCATCTAAGACTGATGAAAATTCTTCTTCACTTAAAGGAGGAAGACTTGGATCCATGTGTTATTTGCCACGAAAACCTGAGGACTGATAGCAGCACAAAACTTCACTGCAGGCACAGCTTTCACAAAGAAGCATTGTGACAAAATCCCAGGGCCTTTTTTTTTTTTTTTTTTTTTTTTTCCTGTAACTTCCCATATAGAAAATAAAAGGGTTTTATATATGAACTTCTCCACACCCTGGCTAAACCTTGAATCCTGGTGACTGAAAGAGGTTTGTGTTTGTTGGAGCTGCTGCAGTAATCCCACATTATCGAAAGCTTTATGGAATGCAGAAGGCTCCTCAGTACAATCATTAATATTTTTAGGGAACTTTGCACTGGTAAAAAGACCACAGGTGAAGGTCATGGGCCACACTGGAGCTGCTCCAGACAGTGTTTCATTCTTTTGAAATGAATTTATGACTGGATTAGCAGAAAAGGGTAACACCAGTGCTCTATAGGAGCTCTGAGCAACCCGGTGTTTGCATGTCTATAGTTCAGAGCTGGAACTGCAGAAAAGGATCAGAGTTCTTCTAATTCCTGGCTAATCAATGTAAGAGTGTTCAATCAGTTTGGCTCACTCCTTTCCATAGAGATAAATTACTTCCTTTATTAATAGTTGTACTTTGAAACACAGAACCTTAATCTCAATATTTGCTGATCTGGTACTAAATAAGCTAAAAGAGAAAGAGCTGCATACCATTTGCTCCTGGGGAAATAAATAAATAAATAAATAAATAAAAGTGTCCAGACCCTGCTGAATATACTCTTATCATAACATGATTTCATCTAATAATATTATCCTTGTTTTCTTGGTATCATTGATTCGATAAATATTTTAAGAATCTTAATTTCTTAAGGAAGTATGTATCAAAATTCCAGGGAAAAAAACATTGCTACTTAAAAATCCTGTTTGCTTGCACTCTTTTCCATTTGCTTTTAACAGTATATTCAAAAGGGGCTGCTAAGGAAACCAACCTGTCCAACATGTTGTGTCCAGGTGCTTGTGTAGTCAGTCGTAGACTCCTGTCATCCATGATGAAAGGGTTAAGAGAGGCTCCTTCAAGACTACGGAGGGGAAGCATTCAAGATTTGATTCCAGGTACATAATAAAAAAGAAAACAAAATTTTAGTTGGTGAAGTAATCCATTACAAGGTTCCTCTAGGTGTTGTGTTTTTTTTACACATTTCAGAGACCAACTTTAAAGATAAAAACCATCCAACAAACTCCTTCTGCCTGTGCATCTTATAGAAACATGTCAGGGGTTAGGGAAGTGGTTAAAATGTTTACAATTGTATGCACAATTATAAATAAAAATTACCTATTTGCTACCCAAAAAAATGCATTGTTTAAAAATGATTTCACTTATCATCATTAAATGGCTAGATGACATGCACAGCCATTTTCCAGTAGAGGGAGCCCATCAATACCGATTGAGAGGATGTGAGATGTGCTGTAGTACACACCAAGTGCAAGCTTGAGGTTAAAATCAATTACAGTGGTCGCAGAAGACAACAGGAAAAAAAAAAAAAAAAAAAAAAAAAAAAAAAAAGGAGCACAGGATTGTATGGTCAAATTTTGCCCTGTATTGTTGACATATGACTTTTGTTGACCTGAAGGAAATCAATACACAGTGAAACCCATGGCAGTGTTCAGTTTGGTATTAGGGATTGAAGTACCTACCCCATGGTCAGAAGAAGATCTTGATCTGGTTGCTGAGACCTTGTGAATCTCTATCACTAGCTGGCAGCTCCTCTCTTCAGGCATTTTCCAAGCTGTCTTCTTCATCTGCTCTCCTTTTCCAGGATACAGCCACATTCCTCAACTTTACCTTTCAGGGAGCTGCTGGTATCGCCCTGGGTGCCCCCATCACCATGTCCACCAAAAGGCAAGGCCAGAGGGAAGGGATGAGCAGCAGCCTGCAAAGGGACAGAGATCCCTGTGGCTCCTGCTTTCCTTGGGGTCAATGGGCAATCAATACCAGGGATGGCTCCCCTGTCTCTTGCACAGAGAGCTGATCCTCCTGTACACCCAGCTGAGCTGCTCTCCACCTGTGTGGCAGCCCTGAGCTTCAGCAACTCCCAGCACACCCATAAACCAGGATGGGTTGTCTGTCCCTCACTTCTCTGAAACCCTGCTCAGGTACTTGCTTATACCTGGTGAGCTGCTCCTCTAGGCTAATATGTCCATGTCACCTGCTGCTCCCAGCAGGTCTTGCTGCCCATATTTTCACTGTTAAATACATGAAAGCTTTGGGGAAGGTCTTCCCTAATCCTCACTATTGGAAAGCTCTTTCCTTAGGGCTCTGCCAGGTAGGTCTTTATTCTAGCAGAATAATTGTGTGCGGTGCCAGAAGTCTCTCACTGAGAAAAAACAGTAGTTTTTTTTTTTTTATTATTATTATTTTTTTTCCTTATGAACAGCATGTTCTATTCTGCAAATGTAAACTTAAAAAGACTAATTGAAACCTTTGTTCTTAATGTTTTTTTTAAAGGAACATTTTCCTTCCAGAACAGTTAAGTTTTATTTAGCACGCCTGTGCAGGTTTCCATGAATACTTTCATGACTCTTCTTTACTTGTCAGATATGCAGATTGGCTTTTCAAACTCGGATTTACACAGCCTGAAGAAGTTTAAGAAAACTCCATTCCCTCACCCAGGAAAAAAATAAACATTACAGCACTTTTCGTATACAACATAGCTGAAAATAAGAAAGTTTTGAAATACATTCTAAAACATCTCCATTCATCAAATGTAACTTCTGCTCTGCAATGGTCTATAGCAAAGCATAGCACATTGCCTGCATTTCAGTTGGTCCAGTTCAGAGTCCACAACACTTTGCTGGGCTGTGCCCTGCAACAGCTGAAGTGCAGGGACATGTTCCTGTTGGTGAGCCTTGCTCTGAGGGCACGTACAGCACATAGACAGAAATCAGCAACTGGGGAACAGAGGGAGTCATAAGCTGCTCCGTTGGTTTGTAAAGATAATGTGAATTACAATCCTCAGTCTCTCACTATTCTCTCTATTCCAGAGAAATCTGGATACATAAAGCCGTACTGAACTTGATTCTTCATATACATATGAATATGCCTAATCACAGAGGGATTACTCGTGGCTGAAAAATGCAGCACAAATGTACATGTTGGTAGGATTGGTACCTATTTTCTGTCAGATAAAGAAATATATTTGCTCAGAAAAATGAGGTAAAACAATTTAATTTCTTAAAAAATAGAAAGAAATAAGCCACAGAATGTAAAAATAAAAGAAAGCTGATGAAAGATACATTTGTATTTCTTTTTCAATTGAAAGAGGATGTTCAATCTGGGAACTTCAGCAGGAGAGCCATTATGAGAAATCATCATTTTTCTTTTACTCCAATCGCCAGCTTTCCAAATTACTTGGTGATTTCATTTTCATGTGCCTGTATGCATGTATGTGTGTGTGCATGTAGGTACATATATTCTGACACATGTTGTCTATATATACATGTACATGTGTGTGTGGCATACATATATATATAAAGACACATACTGACCAGTAGAGGTTTGTACCCCTGCATGTCTCTTGAAAAATGTGCTGTAGGGTAGGTTTCTGTTCTCCGGTGTCCCTTCCTCACCACAAATTCTTTTCCTTCAAGCTCTCCCCTAGTTTTACTGCACTCCCTCAAGTTCCTTGCTCCAAACTGACTTCTTGCTGTCGCTGCCCTGCTTCCCTACCACCCTCTTTTCCTGAAAAGATGTTTAGCTGCCTGTAATCAGGTGATCTGACATTGCTCTGGGAGTTCAAATGAAAATTCAAGCATTCCAGTGCTTATAATACATCTGTGCCAACATACACTAACATGCAGACAGACAGATGTTTTGATGCTGTGGAAACCTGGCGGGGAGCATGGTGGGTGGGAGACAGCCCTGTGGAGGTGGGCCCGCACCATCACCGGTGCTAACAGGACACATGGGCTACAGCAAAGGCAAGGGAGAGCAGAGGGAAGCCACAGCCACTACATAGCTCATGGGAAAGCAGGGCCACTGAGGCCAGGAGCGAGGAGCTGGGCCTGGAGGTTTGAGCAGGGCCATGTGATTAAGACATCCCTGGGGAGGCGTGTGGTGGAGAGAGCCTGGAGTAGTCTCTTGGGAGAGAACTTGTTTGTGAGAAGAGTTTTGGGTTGATAGAAAAAAAATTATATGTTTCGAGAGGACAAAGCTTTGATGCGTGACAGCCAGGCAGGAGAATGAAGGGTCCCATTTCCAGGTGTAAGAAAGAGCAAGGAACTTGTTGGGGCGGAGAGTCACTGAGGGAAAAGACTTGTCTTCAGGGAAAAACACACCTTGACACAGACAGAGACTTTTGTGATACATGGATGGGTTCCTTCATCATGAAAGCTTTTGCTCCTTTGCGTGCTTAAGATGAAGCTTTTGCAGGGGCAGCTTTCTGGCACCAGAACTGTTCTGTCCTGGGTGCCCTGTGGGATGCAGCCGGGTGCCTCAGCAGCCCTTTGCTGCTTTCTAACAGCAGCAAGAGGATGGCTGCCTGTAGCCCTGCCAGCAACCCAGGGGACTGGGTCATAGGAGGTAACATCTGTGAGGTGATAGATCCCAGCCTGTCCTCCCTCCACAGAAACCTCCCACTGCCATACTCCTCTCACTTTTCCCCCTTCCCCTTTAAAATCATTTTCCTCTCTCTCTCCTTAGCTTGAGCTACAGCTGGTGCTTTTCATATCAGTGTACAATTGGCCAGTTTTCTCGTCTTGTTTCTGCCTCCTGTCTCCATCCAGAGGGTTGTTCACCCAGATATCCTCCCCTGGCTAGCCCTCCATCCTGACTCAGCCGACGTACGTGCAAAATAGAGCAAATGAGTCAGAGAGACAGAGAGAACAGAAATTAGCAAAACAATGAGGAAGATGGAATTGCATCATAAAAATGTCAAAGGAACACCATTAGGTTCACAAAGTCAAACTCTCAAAAACTGGAAAAATCCAGATTTCAGCTGTCTCTGAAAGCTTAGTCCAACCCCCTCTCCTCTTCCCCCATGCAACGTGTATTATGTGACATGATTTAATCATTTGACTGCATACCATTTTTCCCACAGGACTAGCGCCTCATTTAGCGTAAACGAAGGACAGTGTCTGGGAATGGAGCTGGTCTCTGCATTTCCTTGACTGCAATTCCATGTGTGACTACAAGCCCTACTTACCACCATACAACCCAAAGAATGAGCAGCATTCAGAACCACCAGCTTCTTCATTAGGTTTTCTGAAATGGCTTTACTTCAGCATCAGAATATTTTGTAAGCATGATTATCATCACAATATGCATTAAAGGCTTCTGGGAAACCGAGAACCTTTTACTATGATTCTCTGCATCTTTCCGAATAAGCTGTTGGCTCTGTCAGTTTTTCAGAATACTTTATATTTTAAATAACTGTTTCAGTAGACTTCATTTGCTGTTCTGAGGGCTTGTCACTTCTATACCTTTGAAACCTAGACACCTCTGACCAGGTGCCCCAAAATCAGAAACTATCAGCCAAATGCAGACACACAGGCAGCTCATCCAGAAATGGCAATGGAACCTGACAGAGGCAGGGAGTTTCTAATTCTCCATAGCTGTAGTTTACTTAGCTGAGCAGGCTGTCTCGTGTTTTCCCACCATCCTCTGCCTTGTATTTCCACATCCCAACTTCTGCAACAACTGATAAACTTTGGCTTTGCCTGGTATTTGACCCTAAGTGAGTACAAGAGATGAGATCTCCTCCATCTGACAGTATCTAGTAGTTACACTGTCGTGGATGTTTTACTAACCTTTTGCTGACAATCCTCCTCCAAAAAATGCAAGGTTAGTGCATGTCATTGTTAGTGCATGTCACCAGTATGCGTAATCTCTTACTTTCTAATTAACTTGCTTTGCAAACTGAAGTGTAGTAAAAATGTTTGCAGCTTTGACACTGGAATTGCCATGATAGTTCCCTGCACAAATTTTGTGCTTACTAGGATTGTAGTTCAGTTACACTTCCTATCAGAATTATACTTCTTAGAGCTGATTTTCAAAATTCTGTGTTGGCATTGGCAGCCTTAGTAATCATCTTTGCTCTCATTCAGCAGATATGTGACAAGAGAAAAAGCAAAGATTTTTTATCTGCAAAGTACAAATAGGGATAATAGTGTGTATACATGTTTGAGGTCTTGCTCAGCTGCATAGCTCACAGTGTCAAGGCAAATATTCATTTCAAGTGCATATATAATCAGTATACTGAGACTTGCTCTCTTTTGGTGCTTCTACTTTTCCCAGATTTCTCTGTTCTGAATTTTCAATACACGGAAATGGAGAAAACACTCTGTTAACATGCTTGGCATTTCTGGCTTTATTGCCCCAGATTCCCCATGCCAAATTGCTAGATTAGTTCAAAGGACTATGATCAGTCTGAAACATTGCCATTTACTTATGAATTATAGATTGTTTCATGTATTGCACCTGCAGTAATTGCAGCTCTTCTGTTAATGCATGTAGGGGTATGATAACGTTTCCTGTTTTTTTTTTTTTTCTCTTTCTCAGGAATTGTTTTGCATGTTCTACGTGAGAGACTTTCACAAGGGAGCGTACATTTATATGTGCTAGGAGTGAGTTTGGCAAATTGCTGGTTAATGCAAAGAGAGCATACAAACTTGGAAAAAGTTTTCTTCTCTGATGTTTCTTCTATTAGAAAAGTCTTACAGGCAACATGTTTTTAAAAAAGCCCTTCAAGCAACAGCATCCGTGTAATTAATAACAATTAAAATTAATGTTTTAAAAAATGCTGTGTATAATGTAACTGCATATTTTACTGATGGCAGAATTAGGCCTAGAAGCCTTTTTAACCTTTACAGATTTAAACCTTCTGCATCTTCTAAATCCATATAGGATAAATATCCCTTACGGGCCTCTAAAAATTGGGCTGTTATGAAATGGTCTTTGTATTGGAATTCAGTTTTCATTTATTTTGTTTGCTACAAGTTGTAATGAAAACAGAATGTCAATGTTTGCTTTTCCTAAGGAATAGCCAATGTATGTATTTGCTCTTTATTCAACTGTTGCACAAACTTTTCAAGGCCAGAATTACTCATTTAACTTTCTGGGCACTCTGTCTGGAGACGGATTATTCTATCTGTGTCAGCTCCACTTGTGTGCTGTTTTCACAGCTATGAATTAGATATGCTGTTACAGAGATTCCTACAAAGAGCAAATCTTGAAGTTTACAGCGTCGTCTTTACACAGAAAAGCCTCATGAATGTGCCGGGTCGGACTGGAGCAGGCCTAGGAGGTGCACAGGCCATGCAGGCCACGCTGAGCCACAATTGTGCTCTGTAGCCATGCCAGGGCAAGGCTGCCTACCCCAGAGGCAGGCTGGCATGAAGGCAGCTGCCTGGTAAGAGAGCAAAGGCCAAAGAAAAGGCCAAAGACATGGTCTGCGGTGGCCAGAGCAATGAGATCAGCTTCCAATGCTCGCAGAAAGTACTGTACTTCGAGCAAGAACTGGGCATGGCATTAAATGCAATGTAGGGCTCAGAGCCACAGACATTTGACCTTGTAATGTTGTTTTTTTTTTTGAGGTAACCCCTGTGGAAAGTGGTTCAAGCACTAATTGCAAATTCATCCCACAACAATTAGGCTTAGCCTTGAAGAAATGTGTTTGTGACTTTCTTCAAGTGGGATGCTCAATATCAGCAGCAACCAACCAATCAAATGGCCACAAAAAGTCTACATTGACAAGCATCTTAGGAACTCAAGCCCAATGGATATTTATCTAAAGTAATGGTTTTTGTGGATGCTGTTTCCTCTGACTCTAGCAAGAAAGGAGGGAATCACAATTATGAAGGAATTTTCCAGGCAAAGGCAGGAGGAGTCAAGAGCATATGGAAATAATGAGTTTGTCAGATGGGCAGACATACAGGATGCATCTGGGTTGTATTGGTCAAAAAATCTGGCTTTTCTATTTTAGAAGTTATAGTTTTTGTTTGTAGTTATTTGATAGCTTGTTCTTACTGAGTTAATCGGTTTTACAGTGTTGGAAAGGATAGACACATGGCATGTCTACATGGTTTTGTTTGGTTATTTTTTGGGGTTGTGTGTGTGTATGGGGGGTGGTTTTTTTTTTTTTTTTTTTTTTTTTTTTTTTTTTTTACCAGAGAGAACAAGCAATGCTCACATCAAAACCTTCAAATTCAAGTATTGAGTGATGACCCAGAATCACTCCCAGCACAGGCCAAACTTGCACTACATTGTTAAGCATGTAAAGGTGTTTTTTCTTATTCCTATGGACATGTTGAGAAAGAAGAAAAGTGGAACGGACCCAATAGGTTATTAGTTACAAGCTAGTAAACAAAATCTATTAATAATTTTGATTGTTTTATACAATTGCATTGTAGAAAGCAATCCTGAACAGGCAGGAAAACAGACTATAATCTGAACTAGTCTTTTTCACTTATTTTACTTCTTTGTTACATATTTAAGTTTTCCTTGGGAAATTTGTCCTTGATTGTGTTGGTTCTCAGAATAATCAAGGCAGGTGTTATATAGTTCCTTGTCTCTTTTTATCAGCTAGAGTTTGGGACACACACACAGCCCTTTCAGAGACAGGCAGATACTCTATTTTTCTAGCTAGAGCAGGGTGCAATTGCCTGTCTTTGTGCCAGGCATGCATCATGTGTTTGAAACAGGTATGGCAAATCAATTTCCTAACCTTTTGGACTCTTGTTGGTTGGTATTTGCCAAAAAAATTGCAAAAGATGCTTTGTTGTTGGTGTAGTCCTTAATGGTACTGTGGGATATTCTGCTTACTTACTGCTCTGTGATTGCCTTAATGCAAATTGCAGTTGTCCTTGCAGGCACACAGAATCAGGGTTTCCTGAAAATGCAGGGTTTCCAGTATACTAATTGGAGATTTTGACATTGGAGACACTAATCATTACTTAGAATCACTTTTATGTCATTTTAAGTACAGATAGAAGTGAGGAATCCCAGGAAGTGATTTTTGCTCCACTGCCAAGGCAAACACATCAAACCACTGATAAAGAGATGAGGTAATTACAATTCTTCGTTTCATTCGCTGATTTAGCTTAGTCTAACTGAAAACTCTTTTGTAACAGAAGGATATCCATTAGATAGAAATTAATGCCATTATCTGAGATGCATTCTGGTGTCTAAAAAAAATTAAGTTGTTCAGACCAAGAAAGTGGAGCAGCTGCCACAGAAGCCAGATTTTGGAGCACTGTTTGGGTAGAGAGGTGGTCCTTCTGGAAAATATTATTTTTTTTCCCTATACCCATGACATCACGCAACCTGCAAAGGCATCTGCTTGCCAGATGATAAAGGGTATTTGGTGTAGTACTATTTATCTGAGAGTAAATGTGCAAATTAATGCTAAAGAGATGGACATGGGCAGAGTTGGTTGAGAAGATAGCCCAAGATGAAAAGCATCAAACAGGAATGCACTTTTAATCTAAGTTTTAATCTTTACACAGAGCTAATTTCATCTACTAATTTCTTCAAGCAAAAGCATTCAGGTCCTGCAAGGCAGAGATCTTAGGGGACTTGGGGGTTTGTCGGGATTTATTCCCAGCAGTGGCTAGCTGGTGGGGATGGGGGCACCTCGGCTTGACTCTTCCAGGTGCTGCAACCTGAGAGCTCGGTGCCAGCATGGGTGGAAAGGGTCAGGGGAGCTGGCAGTGTAGTTTAAACAGAGCCACAAGACCTGCTCATTGCAACTTGTAGGCAAACACCTTGAAGGAGGGTTTGTAAGATTTGAGGAGTGAGTTTGTGTGCTCTGCTGGGTAACGCAACAGAGGCGGTGCAGTGTAAGATGCTTTTCATCGTGCTGCGACTCAGCCAGCAATGTTAATGACACCGTTTACTCCGGCAAGACGTTTGCACATAAAACCCTGGCTTTACCCTGTCAATTTTATTTTTGGACCTTCTTCTTTTGGATTTCGGGCTCTGCCATGCATTCCTGGGTAATTACAGGAACTGCAGCGCCGGGTGCTTATTTTCCTGGAGAAAAACCGTGATCTTCGGGGAATTTTTTTTTTTTTTTTCAATCAAAAAATTAAAGGCAGGGGGTAGCCTCTCTTGCACGCAGCGGTGAGAGGAGGGCCCCGGCCCGGCCCGGCCCTACCGGGAGGAGCTCGCCCGGCCCCTGCGGGGCCACCGGGGGTCTCTGGGCGAGGGTCCCAGGGCCTCGGGGCCGGCCCGGGCCGGGGGCTGCAGAGGGGCAGCGCAGGTAAGGGGCAGTGGGGCTCCGGGCAGGGGGCTGGGGCTTGGAGGGAGGGGGCTTCTGGGGCCCGGGGAGGATTTGGGAACGGAGCCAGGACTCTCCGGGTCGCCCTGCAGCCCCAGCACGGGGAGGGGGCAGCAGTGGTCGCGGATCGCTGGGCAATGTGGGGTTATGTGCTAGGGGTGCGAGGCATGCGCTGGAGTGTCTCGCACGGCTCTTTTCCCCTCTCCTCTTCGGATGTTTCAGACAGAGGTAGGTGTGCATCCAAACTTGCATTTCCAGGGAAAATCAACAGAAGTTAAATGCGGTCGTGGCTACTTGGGGAATGAGAGAAGCTCTAAAATCAGGCTATCACCGTCTCTCTATTCTGTTTCAAACCAGAGTAATGCTTGGAAAAACTTTTACAGCCTCTGCATATGTTCCGTTTTGCTTCGGTTTTCCAGCTATAAATCATCTTCTGCTCTCCTAATAGCACTTAATGCTTGACATAGTATCAAGCATTTCATTGTCTTTCAGAGACTTTGGCTTTCTGAACTTTGAGAGCTTAGGAACTGAAACGTAGAGGTACTTAAAAACAAAGTATTTATGCTTTTTTCCTTGTTAAAATGAATGATCTGAGGATTACCGTGCACTTACATGCTTAGGATTTGTGATTTCCCCTGTGTGTATGACTTTGTTTGCCTTACCTTATAGCACTTTTTGTAGACCTCTGTAAATTATGGCATGCGATGTTCCATGAGTCACCATAAATACTTTGTCATTTGCAGGAGGAATGTACTCGGTATCTACTTGACATGAAAATGCATCATTAGCTCTGCTGTTACCTTTCCGAAGTTCACTCAGATGCTTTTTTACCACTTACTTAGACTTTCCTTGTGTTTTTCTCTTTGCAAATGGAGCTGGGTAACACAAACAGATTTCTCTCAGTTGTGGAGAGTGTGGGTAGAAATAACTGCTTGGGCAGAAAAGTCAAATGAATCTTGAGGAGTGGCTTGAATAATTATGCCTGTGTTTAGGCAAACTGCTCTCTGTTTACTCTTGCACACTGAATCTGCCTGTAAATATCAACTTACCCAGTGCTGCAAATGGCCAGACTGGCAGCACAAAAACGGGTCTTTTGTTTTTCAGTCTTAAGACAGAAATGAATCAAGTCTTCTCAGCGTCACAGCTCCTGTCAGTTGGCTCATGCTCCACTTCTTGGATGTGATCAAGCATGCTCACTTGAGGTGGGCAGCAGTGGTCATTTTGATTTTTCTTCCTCCGTGTGAGATGGACAAGTTCCTAAAACCAGGGATTATATGTAATTAAACCTTCTTTTTGAAAAATTTGAGTTTTTAAAGTGAGTGCCATGATATAGTGGCGCTCCTGTGTCACTTACTCTGTGGTGTGAGCCAGAGCTCGAGTGCTGGCACCACTTTTTGCTCCAGATGATAAAAAGGAGCCCCAAGTCCCTTCTCATCAAATTACGCCTAGGCCAGTGTCTGCTGTAACATTTTAATACTATCTGAATGAATTCCTAAAACCCTTTCTCCGCGTGACCTTGCACTGGAGCCATTTCTAAGATACAGAGCGTAGCATCTGTAATGCCAGTGGTTTTATAAGAGCTGCTGGTCTAATTGAATCACAAAGCTCCTGCTCCATAATACTGTCCCCACTGGTGCCATTACTGCTGTCGGATGAGAGGCAGCAAGGGCTGCAGCTGCTGCACCCCTGCATTATAGAGGACACTCCGTTTTCTGCTGCTGTTGCGTTGGCCCTGACGGATTCCCATCCAGTGAGTACAAGGTGATCCCATAACGAGGAACTGTACCTGTATCTCTGAGACATTTTGATTTTTCTAGCTGGGCTAACTTGGACAGCCATTTCTCGCAGCTATTATCAATGTTACTGACTGCCTCGCCAACACTCATTTATTCATTAGTGTTTCTCTTTCCCTCACATCTTTGTGCTGTTGAAAGCCTATTTCAACTAGTAGAGGCAGTGCATTTAGTTGCCGTTGTGATGAGCAGAACATCGAGCACCCTGGTCTTGACAGAAATGGCTTGCAGAGAAAATTTCCTGGTGCAAAGGCACGTCTGTCAAGGCAAAGCTCTAGGTCCAAATCCCACCTTCAGCTCTGGTGTATGGCTTTATGGAAATTACCTACAAGAAAGACTTTTATCTTCTTTTTTCCCCTTTCTTATCAGAACATAACACTGCAAGCCCCAGCACTCAAATATCACTGGTTACAGCACCCGAATCCATGAGATTTAAACATGTATTTGGATTCACTTTGTCTTTACCATCTAAAACCCTGGGGGCTCACGCTCACTGACTGTACTCCACAGACAGACAGGATCGCAGAAGGTTAGGATTCCCTTAATCAAATACCTTCAGAAACACGAATTCAAGAAAAAAGAGGCTGGATCTCACAGGAGGAAGCAAAAGGCAGCAGTTTCCATGAACAGCCAACATGTTGGGCACACTCATTGCTGGTCTCTGGCATCCTCCCCCGCAGAGGACAGGAGAAGCTCACCTCTTACAGGTGTCACCTGCTTGTTGCCTGGTTCAGAGCTCTGCTGAGCATCACAGAGGCTGACTGAGCTGGGCTGTAATTCTCTGGTATGAAAACTGACTCCTTCCTGTGAGTGCTGTGATGGACTTAGCAATGCTCTTGCGTGTGTTGACATCGGTCCTTCCCGTGTTTGCCAGCTTGATACTAACCTTAAGATGAAAGCTTATGGGCATTTAAAGCACAGCATGATACTTTTGCTTATCATATTTCATTAGTATTAGGCGATTCTTTAAAATGGGGTCTTCTGTGTAATATTCTGCTTTCTCATTCAGAGGTCTCTGTCACCCCAATACCTAGTGCTACAGAATGAACTGTTACCTTAATGCCTTGTCTGTACGGTAACCGGTTGTTACCATAAGGGAACAACCCTTACAACCAAAGAATTACAAATCATATTGAGGTCAGCAAGTCCTGTCTTTCATACCTGAAGATCTGTCCTTCTACAAGGAATTCCTCACTTTATTTCTTTCACACCTAACTTCCTTGCAGGTAGAAAATAGCATTTTGGACCACTCAAACACCGTCTTCTCAATATCCACCCCTCCCCTCCTTTTTTTTTTTTTTTTTTGGTTATCTTCTTATCTTCAAGAAGTATTTGGGAACATAAATAATTACAGCAACTTCTAGCAATCTGCAAACTGCAATGTAAGTCTCAAAAGTAGGATTTTTCACAGGCCAGGTGATCACTAGTATATATTACAAATATTTATCTGGTGGTCTCGCCAGCTTCTTGTTCTTCTTAGACCATTCCACTGAAGCCCCAGCTGTATTGTTAAGATGCTGTAAGAGCAATTCCATCAAAGGGATGCTAACTGAAACCAGATCATGTTTTATTTCATTTCTTCTCCAGGACTGGGCTTTGAGCTCTAGATCATCAGATGATCCAATAGACTTTTTATCTCCTGATATTTTTCTAGCATGTCAAGCAGGAAGCAGAGATCATGTAGATAAACACAACTGGAACTGCAAGGAGAAACCGTACTCTACAAAACTATTTTATGCAGGGTACCCAGGGAGTAATTCTCCTTGGTGGTGGCTCGAGTCTGCTGTGCCGGGAGGAACCGTGCATTGACAGCATCCCCTCTGAGGACAGCAGTCTGCCTGACCCTCTGTGGGATGGAGGCCACAGCTCTGCTCATGGGGCAGCTAGAAGGTCATCCCAAAGGAAGCAGCACCCATGCTGGGCTCCTGCAGGTGGGGAAGTGGCTGCAGCCAAGCACACAATGCAGGGGCTAGCAGCTCATACCCGCAAGAGCTGAGCGATGCACCCATGCTCCTCTACCCTTTGTTGCAAGTAGTGCTAGGAAATGGCAGGTTATACGGCCAGTACAGGAACAGACCCTCTTTCATTAGAAAAAATATATATATTATTGTGTCCCTTGCAATTTAAAAAAAAAAAAAAAATTGTCTGTGTGTGATTTGAACTTGTGGTGATCTGAATAAAAGGCTTCAAATGGGCAGTCCTGGATTCTGAAAATTTCATATTCAGAGAGTAGCAGCTGCTCTGATATCAAGAGCCAATGGTGAGATTGTTACGGAGTGTTTATTGTCCCTGGATAACCCCTGGAGACAGCCCACTTGAATATGGGAGCAGAAACAGAGTCAGCAGACGTGCAAAGGAAGGGAAAATCAAGCCAAAAAACGGAGGGTCATGAGAGGTGAAAAAACACTGTGAGGAGCTCTCAAGAGGCCGAGAAGGACAAGTGTTTTGGAAGGAAGAGCTGTTGACAGCTGACGAAAGAAATGGAGTAGTTCAGGTTGTGGGCCCAAACCCAGCACTCTGAGGGTGCGTCTTAGAGCTCCTCCCTTCTAAGATCAGTATATAGACTTCTGGTCATTGAAGCTGGGATTTTTGTTTTTCATCTCTGTCTTCTTTAGGCTTGAAGATTTGATCAAGGTGTGAATTATTCTCTTGCGGGCTTCAGAGATGTCTGTTCATGACATATTTTGACCTAAAATTCTTTATCTTCCACACCCTTAAGCCAAAAATATTAGGGATGTAATATTTTTTAGCATTTCAAGAAGTCCTGAGTCCTGCTTTCATTAGTGTACTCAATACTTAGTATAAGTTTAATTCTGAAGTAGCTATACGTGCCATGTAAGTGCTTCCTGATGCCAATGCAGCGACCTCATTTGGGAACATGGGGCTGTAGCTGCTGAAACGCTTTTAGTCTTGACATGAAACCAGTATTGCATTCAGCAAACAAAGCAATTACAGATGACATTGTGTTTCAGATCAGCGTGGCTCTCTGTGATGTTTGCAATTTAATGGCTGCGGGGTAAAAGGCACTTGGATTGTGAATACATCTTTATGTGCAAATAGGAAACTTTGGTATTTAAGTAAACTTGTCTGAGATTTTCTTCATCTCAGATGCATTGGACTGTTCTGCATTTCAGTTTTCAGTAGAAACTGTGTGATTGGGATTTGTATACTGAACAGAAATCATCTAGAAAGTGTTATTTCTTCTTCTTATCAGTGTGCTTTATTTTTACTGACATAAAGATTGATTACTCCGGGCATTATGGATAAATAATAATTTTGTTTCAAATATTATTCTCAAACATTATAAATGTCGCACTGTTGTTTCCTAATCTAAGTATATGGGAGAAAAATAACACTTTGCTTTACCATTGGAGTAACTTTGCAAATGTTTAATCTTTGGTTTTAACTTCTGTTACCACACAGTTCTGCAGCAGAAACTAGTGCACTGCAGAAGAGCGAGTTTGTGGCCTCATAACTTATGTCATTTGGGGGGAAAAAATGTTTCTGGTTGACTGTCCTCTTCAACATCCTCCAGGGCTTGATAAACACAGGAAATTACAGGGCATGCAGATGTGACAGAAGAATGTGCAGGGCAGGGAAGCGCCGTGCTGCGTCGCTGGTTCTGACTGACCGGGTGTTCGCATCCTGGTCCAGTATGGGCTATCCTGCCTCAGGCCCTGGTTGTTTTAAAGGGAGAAGGGGATAAAAGAACACCAGTCTAGTTCTCCATAAAGTGATTGAACAGCTGCCTGGATAGCCAGCTTCTCCAAACAACCTGCAAGCCATGCCTCAATCCCCACATCAGCAGCCTCAAGAGGTCGTGAATGAAAACAGTGAACGTTATAAAAGTTCCCTCCCCAAAAAGTCAGAGGATGCTTGAATCAATTTCTTAAGTCTGTTTCTCACCTTCCTTTCATTTTTCTGTCAGTGTTAGGTGAGGTAATTTACAGGCTAAAAAGGCAGTTTTTAACACCCAGGAAAATACATACCTTTTCTTGACAGCTCAGCTGGAGACTACATTTGCTCATCCCCTCCCTTCCCTCCTGATCCCACATTCCCTTCTGACCCCAAGGAGTAAGGTGCAGCCTGAGCCAGGGGATGGACATCCAGGGTACACAAAGCGTTACTGTTACATACGGAATTTGTGGACTACCATCAACAACCTATATTTGGTTGGCAAAGCCTGTGTGTAAAAATACTTTTGCAATACCACCCAGCTTGTAATTTCTGGAAAAGCTTAAGCCATGCAAAGCTTTCTGTGATTACTGCAAGAAAAATGATACTTTGAGCTCACATATGGAAGAAAAAAAGCATCTCACGGTCACAAGTAGCTGTAAATTGTTCTCATTCCTTACTCCAGTCAGCTGCAGAAGCGTTGCCTAGTACTTAATATTTGTAAACTATCTGGACAGCTGATTTTATGGCCATCGTTATGCCTCGTTATCTTTTCCTCCTCTTTCCCCAAGACCATGGGGCCCCTGAGTCCTGGGTGAGGACAGGGACAGCCTCAGGATCTTCTTCTCTACCTTTATCCCTGGCAGATGTTGCACTCTAGGGAAGCTGGTGGGTAGCGAGGAAGGTTTGCTGCTGAGAGTGTGGCTGTGGCTCTTAGAAAGAAGTGTCTCTAGCTGGCACCCCTGGCCCTGAAACCACTGAGGGTGGAAGAGGGTGTGGGACCTGCACGCCTTCCAACATCAGTCCTCCAGTGATTTATTTCTTCACTTATGGGATAAGGCTGTGTAAAAACAAAACCTCAGACTGATTAATGAGCTGGGCTGCACAGGGGGTTACCAAATTCCCTCCAGTCCCGCCAGGAGCAGCCATCTTGCCCCGGTCTCCCTGCACCTCCCCTTGCTTCTCCCGGCCCTGCCGTCTGGCCCCAAGGCAGTCTTTGCTGGTCCTTGCAGTGTCCTCTGCCTCACACGAAGCCCCATGAGGTGAAGCTGGCAGAACTGACGGGTGTCTTTCTAGAGAAACTGTACAAATAAACCCCAGCGTCTTCAGACGCTCTCAAACTGAAGGATATGCTCCCCCAAACTAATAATACTCAATCGTAATGCTTACAGCAAAAATTGATTTCTGGTTCTCTCTTGTTTGTATTGGATATGCAGCAGTGGCTTGTTCCTTCCTTCCTTTTTTCTTGTTCCGTTCTTCCTTTGCCTTATTTTTAATAGTTTTGAACAGAATGTCTTGATGGGTAATCCAGATTTAGGGCAAAAAATCTTCCAGTATCAGAGCTGTAAGTAACCCAGGGGTGAGTCTACAGATTGGGATTTACTTTTGAAGTTTCATACACTGTGCAGTACAAATTACATTAACAGATGGTTATTTGAATCTTACTGCAGCTGTAGTGTCCTAGAGGTAGGCTTTCCATAGATTTAATTTACCTTTGTAAACCCGTATCTCCCTTTGATGTGTGGTACGGGGTAAATTTTCCATTTGGAGTGCTATGCACCTGTTGTGAATAACAAAATACCTAATGAATAAACTCTTTTTAATGAACTATGTTCAGTGAGATCAGACACAGAGGGGAGAAAGGTCACTTCACCACCCACTCCTCTTCCTTTAATTCAAAGAAGGAAAGGAATAACGTGTCTGAAACGACAGCAGTGCCACTCAGGCCAGCAGGCTTTAGGAGAACCAGAAATTAAGGCTTTCAAAACAAATGAAACATTTCAAAGTTTAATGCCAAGTTGAGGCAACTGTCCAAAACTTGAGCTCCAGCTAGTATCACCCTTCTTTACGGAAAATGGTGGTGTGGTAAGCACTGGCAGCAATACACGGGTTGACCACAGCCTTTGAGATGTCCTGAGGTGAGGTGACTCCTCCAGGACACATCAGAGGCCAGATCCAGTGAGTGGGACTGAGACCCCAACCCTGCTGCCGGGGAGCAGGCAGGGCTGTCCCCACTTGCAGGCACCCCAATAAGACACACAGGTATAAACCCAGCAGGCTGACTTGCCATCACTAGTGTGCTCACACCGGGGAGCTTAGAGCTCGATTTGGCATTCTATGAGTGAGAACGGAGGTGGCCATCGTCTTCACTTTTCTTCTTGATGAGAGAGAAGTGGCTTGCAGGAGCCCTTCCCCACGGGGGAGTCCAGATCCCAAGTGGAGTCCTTTCCCTTTCGTAAAACGTTAGCAGACACGTCCCTCATCAGCCCTTCAGCACAGTGATTGTTTTGGGACCTGATGCTTGGCCACAATGAGGTGCTGATGCTGGTTCAGCAGTGTTGGACAAGGCATCCCAAAGCATGTCTGCGGATAAATCCTATCCCTCCTCATACTATGCAGGAACATCCATGCATTTTTTCCCTTCTCCTTTGTGTCTATATAGGTCACCTCTCTCTCTCATGCAATTGGGTAATAGTCTTACGGCAACTGTAGGACCTGTGTATGTGGAAAAGTTTCCCTTCCTTAAAATAATAAATAGAAAAATAATGCCTTAAGCGGAGTTTAGCCTCCAGAAATAAGAGAGGCCTCACATTACGTGACTAGACAGTGTTACATGAACCATCTGCAAGTACTCCATGGCCCACAAGCCACAGTTTAAAACTTCTTATGCAGAGCTGACTGTAGGAAATACTTACCGAGAAGAAAAATATACCAGAGCCTCCATCTCCATATTCTGCTAATAACTAGATGGCTGTGGTGTAATGTGGTGATGAGATTTGTAAGTTAGTGACAATAATAATAGGAAATGAAGTTTGCTAATGCTCATTAAGTGATTATTCTTGATTACACATTGCCTATGCAAAGATTTTGTGTGCCTTTGTGTCATGATGCCTGACAACTCAGTTTATACAGGCATAAAGAAAAATTGCAATCTAATCTTAGAGATGGAATTTTAATGAAGAAGCTGATGGAGCTAAGTTACTTCTCCTAGAAGTTGGGATGAGGACATGAGTTACTAGGTCCTGATAACAGCACTGCTGTTAAACATTTATGCACCACTGACCAAGTGATAGCCTTATCACTCAGTGTGCTTGATGGGGAAAATATGTAGCTAGTTGTGGGTACATAATTCACCTATCATATACTGAGAATCACTTCTTGTTTGCAAATCATCATGAGACATCCGCACTGAAATGCAAAATAGTTTTTTATTAGTTACCCATCAGATCTGTACACAATCCATTTTTCCCTTAATCAGATATTATATTGATTTCTGTTTGTGGAGTAGAGAAACATGTAATGCTCTTCTGTGTGAAGGGACCAAAGGGGAAGGAACCAAAGTTTGAATATTCATGTTCTCTGTTTTGCTAGTGAAAGCTCAACGGCATGTCATTGTTCACTATAACACCTTTTTCTCTTTGCTTGTCAGATGACAGCTTTGCATTTCAGGTCAGCAGCTTTGCAGCTGGGTCAATTTTGTTCTGCAAAATTGTGAAACTTGGGAGATAGGCTGGCTGTCTTGAACAGACATGGGCAGATAGTGGTAGGACAAGGGGGAACCATTTTAAACTAAAAGGGGGGGAGATTTACGTTAGAAGTTAGGAGGAAATTCTTTCCTATGAGTGTGTCAAGGCATTGGAACAACTGTGGATGCCCCATCCCTGGAAATGTTTGAGGCCAGGCTGGATGGAGCTTTGGGCAACCTGGTCTGGTGGGAGGTGTCCCTGCCCATGGCAGGGGGGTTGGAACTGGATGGACCTTGAGGTCCCTTCCAACCCAAACTATTCTGTGATTCTATGAATCTGTGAACAGCCAGGGACACTTTTTCAATCTAAGCAGGAAGATAATTTAAAATGATAACCCATAGATTTCTCCTACCACTTCAATAATCAGTCTCTCTCTTTTTTTTTTTTTTTTTTTTTTTTCTTACCTTCAGCTATTGCACAGTAGAAAATCATGGGAAATTTTAAAGGCCATGCCCTCCCTGGAAGCTTTTTCCTTCTTTTTGGCTTGTGGTGGTCAGTGAAGTACCCCCTAAAGTACGTCTGCCGAAAGAACAAGAGCGCTTGCTACCTGGGTTCCAGGGCAGGATTTCAGCGCCTGGAATTTGTTGAGGGAATCATCAAAGCTGTCTTTGCTCTGATTGGTAAGTTAGATGGACTCAAAGAAGAAAATAAAAATGCAAAGAGCTGTGCCTTTTAACATTTTTTTTCAAAGCTTGCTTTCTGATAAAATGAATCTTGTTCTGCTTTTTTTTTTTTTTTTTTTGGTTTGTTTGTTTTGTTTTTAGGTAGTGGTGCAAGAAGGATAGCATCACGAACCAGTGCAACAAGCTACTAAGTTTCCTGATTTATTTTTTTTTGTTGTTTTCAGTTCAAGAGAGGATGCCATTCTGAAACAGGTCTTTAGGTGGATTCACATAGTTCTGCTCAACAAAACAAACAAACAAAAAGAAAACAACTGTGAGGGGCTATTTGGTATCTTTAAGTAGATATTTAGGTCAGACTAGGTGCTTTACTTAACTCCTCCTGGCCTTTAAACACTATGAATCTAAGAAGTAGCGCAGCATTTGCTATTAATTACACCCTTATGTAACTTGGTTTCCATCCACAGCACTCTTCCGGAGCTTCTGTAAATCTCCTGGCTCCTTCACAGGTGGTCCATTTGAATGTTCATGTGCTGCTCACTCCTTCAGGGAGGGAGAAAAGTTATTTGGGCAAGAGGCCCTCATGTGCAGGCTGTTAGCACCAGACTGTGGGGGCATTGCTCATCTATTTTTGAATCCAGCCATCCCAACCCACTGCTGTGAATGGTTTCAGGTGGCCTGCCAGCTCTCAGATGTTGATAGGCTCCACCAAGCTATGGATAAAATATGTTTTTCATTAGCACCGTTCAAAAGGACAAATATTCACAGAAAAGACAAAATTCCAGGTCTTACTGTTGCAGAATTGGTGCAAGGGGGGGTCCTCTTTCTCATGATGTGGTGAACCCACCTGCATACTAAGAGGACAATTTAGAGATCTGTGCAGCTGGATGGAAATGCAGCTGGATGGAAATGCCCACTCATTATCTGAATCCCAGCATGCTGCATGACATCCATCTTTACTTTTTTGAGTAAGCAAACTAAATAACAGGAGGCAGGGGAGCTCAACACATGTGGGCCTCAAGATGAAAAATAAAATAATTTTCAGTATTAAGATCCTTTTTTATCTATCTACTCTTTAAATGCTCACAATTCCCAGGTGTATAATCCAGGTGTAGGCTTTACCCCCACACGTTGTTCCAAAGCCACCTACCTGGTTTTCCTTCCCCTCTGGGAGTTGTGTCACTTAGGATACATAAACACCAACATGATGCTGTGGATGCAATATAACATGCATCAAAAATTATCAAAACCAGAATAATAATGTCTGTTTTTAGGTGTGGGTAAGAACATCTTTCCTACAAATCAGTGTCTAGAGAGAGACAGACAACTAAAACATGAATCCAGTGTTTTTATTTTCACCCTGGAAAGAAAAGCTATTAGTTTGATGTAAAGCAATTTAAATTCCAGTCAAAAATGTGGACAAGAAAGCTTGGCAAGGACAAACACTACAAGCAGCAGAAGGAATAAAAACTGCTGTTTCTGTATTAGGAAAAAAAAAAAAAAAAGGAAAAACGCTGCATTTGTTCTGCAGTATATCTACTTATACAGAGGGATGCTGGCACACACTATACTAAACAACATAAATAACTCCAATGTCTTAAAAGCATAATGTATATTAAGCCCTTCACAAAGTTAATTGCTCCTATAAAGTATCTAAAAGCAACTTTCCCTGTTCTGGAGTACTGCAGTTAGTTAGCAAGACAACAAGGGGCCAAGGTAAGGGAGGCGGTGGAGCAGCAATGCAAATACTAACTCTGTATACATCCTCGTGGGACCTTTAACAGCTCTGCACAGCAGAGAGATTTCCTTTTATGGTTTTATAGGAAAGATCTCCTTTCAATTAAGAGTTTGAACTCTGCCATCCTTCATACTGCAAAGAACTGAAACGGGAAATCTTTCTTTTGGGGACTTCAGCATGTGCTGAATTGAATGCATGTTCGAGCCACTGGGAGAGAGAGCTGAAAAATGTAGTCAGTGGACTACCACAATGGCAATTGTTTAAAAGAAAAAAAGGAAGAAAAGAAAGCACAAAATAGCCATCTCTGGTTTTATTTCTGGAAACTGCAAGATGCAAATAGTCCCACCAGGAGATGAAGCCTGGTTTCCTATGGTTTTCTTCTTTCTGGCTTATGTGATGCTTAATACATGCTTGAACTTACTCTGTGGTCTTTCCCTCAGCAAAGAAACTTTTTCTCCTCTCCTCTACCCACTGCCTTGTTTTATTAGAAATGTATAGAATCTAAATAACTTCGAGGCCTCTGTGCTTTTTCATTTGCATTTGGACAACATGTTAAAAACTTTATTGGCTGAGTTGGGAAGTCTTTATCTTAAGCACCAGGACAAATAATAGTATTTCTCATTTCATGTGCAGGAATGGTGGCTGAGCAATTTGTTCCCGATGGACCTCACCTGAAATTGTATAATTATGAGGAAAAGCACTGGGATCACTTGATGAACTGGCAGCACGCCACTATGTATCTCTTCTATGGCATTTCAGGCTTAGTCGACATTGTGGCTCACGGTACTAATGCGTTGCCAGTGGCCATGGACAGGATGATGCTTTCGTTAGCAGTTTTTATTGAAGGTGAGTTCACCTCTCCGTGTAGAAATACCTATGAAACTGGCACACATGTATCGGTCCTTTGGCTAGGATTCTCAAATTAACTTTAGAGAATGAGCTCTATGGGAGATGAGCATTTAACATTCTGAAACCTTCAAAAAATAATAAAAAAATACAACACATTCTTGGCCCTCCTTGAACTGCTAAGGATTTTTCTGCTCTGTAGCCCAGGAGCATGGTAACACGATGCACAGGTGAATCTGTGCTTTCCTAAATCGCTAGATAGTAACAGGAGTGTTATGAGAATATTTTGGGTAAGCACTCAGTAGCTCAGGCATGTGCTTCAGTGTATGTACTGAGATGGTATGCTACTGTTAGCTGAAAGCCAGCATGCGTACATCTACCCTCACAGCTGTCACATGTTGGAATTGCACTATGGACACACTCAATTTGCATTTTCTGTAGGCACAGTATATCTCATGGCAACCCTCTTGTTACACTGCAGAGACAGATGAATAAGACTTTGTTAAAGTGTGTTTTAAATAAAAGGTGGTAGAGCTTTAGCTTCCCATATTGCTTCCTTGCTTCCTGTCCTGAGCTCACAAGTGAAAGCATACAGTACATAGGCATCAGTCTTAAAAAATGGCTCTCAGCTTACCTGAGAAGGTGATAGTGACATAAAGGGAAAGGTTCGGTGTTTTCTAAAAGCATATGAAGGGAGTTTGCAAGGAAAGAAAAAATCTTAAACTGTTCACTTAATTTATTCCAGGTTTTCTCTTTTGCTACCACCTTCATGGGAGAGCCATGCTGGATATTCATGTTCATCAGTTACTGCTGTTTGCTATCTTTGGAGCTGCTGTTTGCATATTTCTGGAAGTTTTCTTCCGTGGCAGTATTGTACTCGAGATGCTTCGAACAAGCCTCTGCATATTACAAGGCAGCTGGTTCTGGCAGGTGGGTCACTGTTCTACCTCAGGAATGTCTTCCTTCACCAGTATTAGTGGCCTACTCCTTTGCAGATGTTTCACAGTTGACATAATGTGCCTTTTAAATGCAGACCTCAAAGGACCAAAGAAAGCAACACACTCTCAATGTCCCCTTAAAGAGATAAAAGTACATATTATATCCATTTTACAGATGGTAGGCAATTTTACTTCTCCTGTCTTTCATTTAAATCGTAGAATCACAGAATGGCTTGGGTTGGAAATTTTACTTTAAGACCATCTATTTCCAATGTCCCTGCTATCGGCAGGGACACCACCCCCTAGAAATCAATACAGAAACTAAGTTGGTTTTGTTGAGCTCTCCCTTGCTATAATCATTAAATGTTCCCTCTGATCTCTGTAACATCCTGTTCAAAATTTGCAAGCCAAACAGCAGTGATTTTACAACCCCACAATGTTTGCTACTGTGGGAGCAGGGAGTCAATGTCCTGGGGAATACAGGAAAGGAGAGACAAGCAACTCAGTGACATTGCCATGAAGAGGAATGACGGTGCAAATTATTTTTCATGTGCTGAGCAGGTTGCCTCTTTTTACTTTCTAAAAACATTTCAACAGTGGCAGCCTAGATTCAAAAGGCATTAAAGCTCCCAGTTCTCATTAGGGCACTGGGTAACATCCAGTTTATTATTTTAACGATGTTCTGGCATGTGAGCAGGAGAAGTAACAGTCTAAAGTTGTACATTTTGGACATGTAGCTCCAGGAAGGTAGCTGCCAGGCCTTGGTTTCTGTGTGATTCTGCTGGATTAATAGATATTTGCATCCCTTTGCTGTTAGAGAGAATCTCATTAATTGCTGCAACCTTGCAACAGAGCAATAGGAGTGCTGGTGACTCTGTGTGTTTGATCTTATAGTAGAGAACTGAGGTCACTCCAGTGATTTTTCTTTCCGGCAAGTCTAGACTGCCTTCCCTTTTTTATATGCTGGCCAGACATGATGAATAAAAACGTTTGCTGTTCCTTAGGAGAACTGGACACTCCGCACCAAATCAAACATTTAAATACTTGCTCTGGCAAGAAGACAGACCTCCTAAACTGTAGTATTTTTCTATAAGTGAACTCAAGAGCCTGGTGCTGCAACACTCAGTGTTTTATTTTCTTGTTTGTAAGCTTTTTTTTGTTGATGTTGTTGATTTAAGAAGCCTTACAAAAGAGGAATTAGATGCAATCACTTATTCTTTGTTGTCTGTCTAGTCTAATTTTAAAACAAGTTATTTCTTTAGCTCCAGAGACAATGTGCTTTTTGTTTCAAAGTAAAAACTGAAGAGCTAAAAATACAGGACATTTAAGTGTGGCTTTTTTAACACCCACATTAGACTTCAACCATATGTGTGACTGAAAACCACATACTGACTACAGCATGACAAATTTGTAAAAGGTAAAGGAGCTTTCTTTCTGCATCATCAACACCTTCATTCAATGAATTCTCTGCATGTAAATGCAAAATGCTCTCCTCCCCTCCTTCTTCCTCTCCCCCTCTTCGCAGCTTTAAAATCCTCAGCTAAATCACTGAGCAGTGACTTTGAAGAGTATCAGACAGTACAGAAGAGTGGTGCTTGTCAGGTCAGATGCCTGACCAGCCATGGGATTACTAGTTCTCTAGTTTATGCAGCAATATGAATTAGGTCTCCCCAGCTCTGGCTAAGCAAATCAGCTATGTACTTAACATGAGTTTATAGTCCTACGTGAGAAAGTTACATTTTTACATAATTTCAAAACCTGATGTTTTTCCTGGACAGAAACAGACCTAGGGCTTGCCTTTATTTATCGATTTATTATTCATCTTCTGAACTGTTTAGCACATTCCCAGATGCTGTTGGGAAGAAGCGAGTCAGTGTGAGTGGTTGGGCAGGTTTTCTATGTGGTGATGAGTTTGCAGTTGAGATCACACGTAGCTGAGGATCAGCCCCTTTCCTTTTTGCACATAGTTCAGGTTGCTGTAGGGCTTGTTGGGCCAATCGATCACTCTCTGAGCAAGAGCAGAGGGGCTCTGGAACTGGCTCTGCATCTTCAAAGGCATTTCTGCACAAAGCTGTGTAAAATGATCCATCCCATCTGAGTGTGACTGTAAAACTGCTTCTAATAATCAGTCAGCACTGTAAGTAAATGAAATGTCTGCCTTGTGATGGGTAGCATAATACATGATACAGCACAGGATACACATCAAATGACATTTGCTAAACATCTCTTATTTGATTGCAGATTGGCTTTGTTCTTTATCCTCCAAACGGGAGCCCAGAGTGGAATCAAACGGATCATACCAATATGATGTTCCTGACCATGTGCTATTGTTGGCATTATGCTTTTGCTTTTCTTATACTTGCAGTAAATTACACAATTGTCAGCTGGTAAGTTACTTGAAACACTAAAACTGTGGAGACCTGTCTGTTTGCTCTAGCAGGAACTTTATTTTTTGAAGGCTTCACTGACAAATCAAAAGGTTCACACAAAGTAATTCATTGTCTTGCAAGGTAAAATGAAAATAGCCACATCTAATCAATGAAGACAACATGGCCCGTTGCTTCAGTAGAGAAAGGAAAACATTCATCAAGTACACTTCTAACAGCATAATGCTTCTCATGTAAAATGAGCTCTTCTTGATAGTCCTCCACATTTGTAACTGCTTAATGAGCTAGAAGTTGGGAAGCCCTTTTCTCTATTCTCTCCCAGTGCTCAACTCTCTTAATTCCAAGTGGATTCATCAGCAGGCTTCATGACTTAATTATTGGATAAATTTCATTGTTAGTACTTTCCTTTGATTAGACCTGTTTTTTGTTATGTTCTGTTTTGTTTTGTTTTTCACTAGCTAGTTTCATCCCCTAATTTCTAGATAGAGCCCTTTTCCTTGCCACACAGTGGTAATTCTGACAAAATTCCAACTGCAGTGTGAACTTTGTTTGAAAAATGAGCCTGACGCTACCGTGCGTGATCACTTTCTGCCTGCAGGAGCTTACCATGCCTTTGCTGGTATTGTCCTAAACGTGATTCTCACACCTTATTTTACCACTACCATTTTAACAGCCCTGTTTAATCATGCTCTGGCCACATGTAGTTCTTGCAATCTTGTCGTGCACCAAGAAGGTGTTGGTTCTTTGGGGATCTTAGTAAGAAAGGCACTGATAACCCAGGGTTGTTAACTGGTTTGTTGTGTAAAGGGTGGAAACTATAGAAAAGCTGACAGCAATCTTATGCCCCTTCTGATGTTGGGAACTGTGGCTGCTGTGGCATTGGTTGACCCCCTCCAAGCTGACCATGGGTTCTGAGCAGAGTTCCCATCCATGGGGAAATTGGACAGCCTCACACTGCTTCACATCTGTATGGTGCTCTTCCAAGTGAACAAACCCATCAGTCTTGTACCTGTACGACATTAAACTTTCTGTACGTTAAAACGATGTTAGCAGAAAGTATGTGATCTCACGCAATTCTACAGCAAGAAGCTCTTACCAAAGATACATACAGGTAGAATTATTAAAGACAGCATATACTAATGCCACAGTATGTGCTTGGGCTGTATAGTGGTCAGTCATGCTAACATGCAGATCTCTACAGTCAAGGCCTGTGGCTGAACTCTGCTCAGATTCTGCTTGAAATCACTTGTCTCTTCTTCACAATATCTTCAGCAGTGGCCCACTACAGGCCTTCATAAGTCAATCATCCAAACTCCCTGATGAGATGCAAGAGTTAAACAGTTTTTAACCCTTTAATGATAGCCAGATTAGCCTTTGAGTCATGGTTTGATTTGTAATATGCATGACAACTCTTTCTTTTTTCTCTCCAGGGCAGTTCGGTCAAAGATTAAGCAGTCCCAGTCCATGGAAATGGGATTACTGAAAACATCTGAAAGAGATCAGGAGTCAGAAGATGAAATCTAGTATGAATATGGCTTGATTAGTTTACCCACCCTACAATTAGGCTAACTGATACCTCATTTTTCAATTTGTTTACCATCTTATTCACTCTTTAATGCTACTTGCTATGCAAATATCATCCCCTGAGTAGAGTATACATCTACAGAATTAGATCTTTATTTGCAGAAGGTAAACTTGGTATTGATTTGTGTTGGTTCCTCTAGTACCTTACTTATCACATGCTTCAATGAAAAACAGACATTCAGCAAACTTGAACTGGGTGAGGTGGCATTACCAAGTCTGTGTTAGACTCATTAAAACCTTAGCAAAATAGTTTCCATCTGCTGCTGAACAAATGGTTGTTTCCATAATTAGGGTGTCCAAATAAGTGCGTTTGTTGAACTGCAAATAACACAGTGCATAAACAACTCTGCAGACCTGGAAAAGAGTAGAACAACACAGAAAATCATAGTCTTGCAGCTGTCTTGTAAAGCACGTTTGTGTCTTTGCTTGTGGCTTTATGTTAAATGGAAAGAACTACTCACAGCAAAGACCTTCAACATTTCCTTGAAGAGTGTGCTGTGTGTTCACTCCCAAGCTTCTGAAGGAGGACCAGAGGGGTGTATGGTAATTAAAAGCCACTGCGTATTCCCTCCCTTGCCTAGATGGTCCTGTACACTGCTGCATGGTGAGCACTGGGAGGGCAGAGGTTTCCCTCATAGTTGCTCCATGTCTGGCTGGCCACAGCACTCTCTCAATAATGACAAAAAAATAGTGGTTTTTTATTATTATTATTGTATTTATTTTTTTTCCACTGAACAAGCTGAAGCCAAGCCCAGGGTGCACTCCCCAGCACTCAGTCTCACTTGGGACATGCTCCAACCTCCACAAATGCAGAAGTGAAATAACTGATACGTGGCAGAAGACGGCAGAAAAATGATGCTGTGTGTAAGCACACTGCCCTCATGGGGCGGTCTCCTGCCGCCTGGCTCTTGCTCTCCTGAAGTCTTGCAAAGCCTGGCCTCAGCAGCTGGGCAGCATATGCTCCATTTTTAAGGGTCTGCTGATGGCCATGAGCCATGTTGCGTGGCCAGATGTGGTGAGATGGTTGTTCTGGAAAATAGCTTCTTCCCTTTAGAATGCATCTAATAAAATACTATTTTCTTAGTTGATGGTGCAGGATGACTTCTGTTTAAACAACACTGGGCTTGGTGCTGCAGAAGTGTTCCTTCTATTATTCTGCCATTTCCATATTCTCTTACGGGAATGCAGGACTGGACTCTGGTAGATGAATCAGAATCATTGGGTCTAGCACCTCCAGTTTCCAGTTCACCTATGTTTTTTTCAGTGTGAACCAGAAGAATGAGTAGTATAAAACTACTAATTGCAGTAAGCTGTTTGCTTGAAAAAATTAGAAAAAAAAGTAGTTTGTAGCTCAAAGGGATCTCAGGACTCAGAAAAAAAAAATGCTAAAGGCTTTTTCTAAAGCTATTTCACCTTCAAGGCAACGTAAATTTTCACTTCATTTGTAGGATTCCCCCTTTTATCTTTTCTTTTCAGAGGACAGCTTTCCTTAGCTGTATGTGCTGTTAATGCTGAATTTTAGCCATACCAATGCCTCTTTAAAATAAGTAGGGTCATTTATTCTGAAGGAGATCTTCAGAAAGTACTTTGCTTCTCATAGGCAGAAACAACACAAGTTTTTTCAGTGCTTTTCTTGATAAATCCGTGTAATGCTGTACAAATATTAAGGTGCTGTATATCTAAACTAAAGGGAAAATCTAAGCAGGAAGAAAGCATGATAAACTGGTAGAGCTTTAATGTGTCTTCTTAGAAGACTTCAGTTGGTCATTTTTTAAATTATTTTAGATCTTTGCCAAGTATCATGAAATGACACTTGTAAGTAGGTGTCAGATTATCTTACTGATATATTTAGATTATATCTACTTTGGAAAGCAAGAATAGATGGCTCTGTGTTTAAAAATGTAAACTGGAAAACTATATATATATAGCCAAATACCACCATTTTGTCTTAATATTTGTTTGCTCTTCTTTAAAACCTTTCTCTGAAGGATCTTGAAGATTTTGGCAAACTTTAATGAAGTCTGTCTCAGGACATCCTTGTAAGCTAGGTATCAGTATGGCATTTTTGTAGGTCTGTGTCTCAGTTTTGCATTGGTCTTATGGCAAATGCTGAATTAATGGATATTTACTTCCCTCTGCAAGTCTAAGTCTTGAGTTTCATTACTGCAGTTCCATTAAAATAAAATTTTCCATTGGCACAATATAGAAGGAAGATCCATCAGTTTGCTGAGGAGCTTGCCTGGTAATAGCAGCATTGGCCAAATGCAGCATGTCATTACACCTGGCTGTTATCTGGTATTTATTGCACTACACCACTGTTGTCACTACGTTGTTGAGGGATTTTTTTGAGGGCAGATTTGGTTCCTGTTAGAATGGTAGGGGTGTAAATCTTGCTGAGAGTTATCCCCTGCATCTCCCTATGTCGCTCCATGGTGAATCTCCCATAAATGATCAGAGGACTGGACAAATAAGCCCACTAGACACATCTGCTAATTGTGGTGCAACCATGCCTAGCAAAGACGCCCCTGAAGAAGCCCAGTCAGGAGGTGAATGCAGTCTGTGACCAAGAACTATAGGACATGCTGTTTCCAAAACCTCATTGTGTAAGAGAAGGTGGCATTCTACTATTAGACTTGAAGAAATGCAAATAAAAGCAGGTCCTGAAGTCTTAAAGAAAGAACAGTCTCTTGGATTTGATTTTTAACATGTAGAGGACATGCAGAGTGAGCGTTACACTGTTGTTCTGTGCCTCATGTTTTCAGTACCACCAAGGACAGAAACAACCCATTCCATGCTGGAGTTGAATGAGTGGAGGGAAGTCTGACAAGTTTACAAACGCCACTCAGATCAAGGTAGCTGCTCTCAAGAGAACTTAAATTATTGTTAAATGTTGGTGCCTTTAAAAACTAAATGGTAGTGTGTAATAGAAAATATATGCCTGTATTTTTATTTAAATAAAATCAATTTATTCATCTAAGATGTCTGTCATGTTTTTAAGGGAAAAACATAATCATTTATGGAGGAGAGTGGGGCAGGTAAATATGTTACTTTTATAGCCCACCTAGACATTTGAACTAGCTGGACCGGACCTTGGGAAATGCCAGTTCTGTTTTCTGCACATCGTAGCTTTGGCTTTGCATAAAGCTCGGCTCAGAATGGGGAGGTGTTTCAACCTGGGGGGATGGCTGGGTACCTCACGGTCCCTTCAGTGCTGAACTAAGAGTAAATTTGGCAGTGCAAGGGATTTCAATCCTACACATTCTTTCATCCTTTAAACTGAGGCACTAGAAAGCCTTGCTATGCCTGCTCCCTTAATGTGCTCCCCACATGGTTCAGCTCAGCTGAGCTATGCCAGCTGGGTTGCGAGTTACTAGTACAGAAGTCGCTGGAAGAAAACAGAACAGTTTTTTATCCAGAAAGTCCTTTGGCATATGAAATAATAGAAGAAAGGCTGAATTTCACGGACTCCCAAGGACTGCACAATAACCGCACATCTGTTAAGAGGGAGAAAGTCAACTGGAAAACTGCTGGGCACTGGCCTTTAAAATCTGTTCTAGGTCAAATATGTGCTTGCCCAAAATATATGGGAGGAAAAAGCCCAGTATTTGTCAAATGGAATAACTAGTCCTCAGATGACTTTTTCAGAATAGCAATTTCTATCACCTTGCTATTTGTATTGTTGCAATTTAGGGATTTCTATAAGATACTGGGTGCACTTCTTAGAATGAAACTACATTTTAAAAAATAGCTGGAAAAAAATGATAAATACTACAGAATATTTAGGAATTTGATTCAGGTAAAAAAGCTGTTGTGTAAGGACTAATGCCATTTAATGACAAGATATTCTGCAGGGGATGGTGGCTGAGAGGCCAACATATGGGCAGGAAATTGGACCAGAAATGGTTATGTCTACACATTGTGGTTATCAGCCATTGCCTCTCTGAAAAGGAGAAAGAAGAAGTGGAAAGCAGACTGCATTTATAAAGAAGATCCGTGCAACTGCAGAGCAATTAAGCAATTAGAAATCACTCCTAGCATTCAAGGACTGAAGGGTGGGGGAGCTGCTCTCATGGCACACTACTGCCATATCACAGGCAGCCTCCAGCACCCTTTAGGAGGAACAAAGTTCTCAGACACACTCTGGGGCTTTTATGGCTCCTGTGTGGCAGACCCAGAAACAACCATGCTGAGTTCCTGCTCCACAAATGAATGACAGCACAAGAGAAAGCTTGCACTGCTTTGCTGGAGTTTTACTTGTTTGTAACTGTGACTCAGCCAGATGCAGTTGACACATGAAAAAAATGTCAAAGATGGTGTTTACTGCTGGCACTGCACTTTATTTGGGCTTGAAAACAAAAAAAAAAGAAAGGAAATAAGAAACATCTGGCTCCAATTAAGGCTCACAAGAAATGGAGAAAAGCAGGAGAAGCGTATCTAGTCACTCAAGAACAGTTTTGTCTCTGTACAGCTGCAACACATACAGATTTGCAAGTAATAAGGTTTTCTTTCAATTTGATTTATCATATAAAAATTGTTTATTATTTTCATAAATAAAAATGTACTATCTTTTAGGATGTATTTATTGATTTGCTTAGGTTTTGTCATCTGTTTCCTTATGCCATTATTATTTTTTGTTAAGGTTTATGTAAATTATTCTGGTAAAGTTAGAAGTTCACAGTCTTTTTGTTCACAGTCCTATTTCCCATTTCCCATTTCCCAGCTGAGAAACCATCTTCCATGTGCAAACCTGGGACCGCAGCTGAAGATTTCAGAATCAGTGTCATATACAGAAATACAACATCCCGTCCAGAGATGTACACAGTGATGTCAGCTCTGTAAGGGAATGAAGCAGGGATGATATTTCCACAGGAAAGAAATGGCAGTGTTAGTAAGTGGGATTTAATTTTTATTTCTTTCCTACTTTGTCTTTTAAAATCTCTGCAAGCACGCAAAGCCCCTGCTATCATCCAGCAGCACTTCTATGAGCAAAGGACACCAGATTCAGGAGCTAGGCATGCTTTTAATAGTGTCATCCCTCAGACTCAGTGCTATACTTGGATATGGCTTAACTTTGCATTGCTGGACTGTTCCATGACTCAGTTTCCCCCCAGAAGATGCTGCCTGTCTGGCTGTGCTTTGCTCTGCTCTGCACAAGTCCCTTTTTGAACCCTGTTTCTAAAGTTGAGATGAAGCAGCTAAAGAAGCCTAACAAAACTCCTTTCCTCACTAAGAGTCACTGATGGAGAACACCATGTAAAAGCAGGGCTTTGTTCCTGCTCATGCACCAGAGACTCATCTGCTGATCACTGACAACACAAAAAGACAGTGTTTATTCCAATTAGGATTTTTAATAGCTCTTGTTGCCTCTTTTGACTATGATATCAATCTCTTAGTTTTTAGTTTGTCAGAAAGAGACATGCTAGCATGCAGAAGATACTGTTTTTGGTGGTTCTGGTGTTAAAATTTTTCTTTCTGCTTCACATTTTACCTCAGCCTTTTTCCCATTCTCCCCCCCCATCCCTCCCCCCCCCCACTATTCTGCCCCTGTTCCTCTCTGGAGACAGATGTCTAGCAAGTTTGAAGGCAGAGATTTTATTCCCTGCTGAGTGACCACATTTCACAGTGGAGATGCACAGAGGGGATTCAGCAAGGCTGTCCCATGGGGGACACTGGGGTTTACATCCTCTGGGGTTATGTGAGGGTAGACAGCATCCCCGTGTCAGATGGGGAGGGGTTGGAGGTTACTGTCTGTATGAGTGATGACTGACGGGGCCTTGTACCCTGCAAGATGCAGACATGGGTCCTGTGTGGTGATGCAGCTCCTATGCCTGGGCCACATGCAGGTCTGGTTTGGGGATCAGAGGCCTAGGATGCCATTCTTGGAGGGAGGAATGGTCTGCTGGCATGGTCATGAGCCCTGCTGCACACACAGTGAGTGGGCTCTGGCCCATATGAGTATAAGCATAGCTGGGTGTCTGCTCTGGGATGCCCGCTTGTGACAGGCAGAAGATGTGATATTTGATGTCTTGTTAAGTGAAATGTTTTGTAGGGTAGAAAATGTTGGAAATAAATGCATGCTATTTATCTTTTTTTTTTTTTTTTTTTTTTTTTTTTTTTTTTTTTCCTAAATGGAACTGAAAAGGTTAATTTTATAGGAGTAGGCTAGTAGTTAATGGTTTATCCATTACAAGGTTATAGATGTATAATATCATTTTATAGCCAGGCAGACAGTCCACACCACAACATGCCTTCACGCCACTGGGACAAAATACTGATTGCAGTTGCCTGCTGTGTGGTGACTCTGACCCTCTGGTCCCTTTGTGCTTGGCAGCTTATCATCAAGTTTCACACAGGTAAGAAATACAATTCTGCACTATCTGAGCTCTGTCTGAGTTCTTTGTGTTCTTCTGCCTTTCCTAAAGTATTTAAACATGATTACTGATAGACTCATCTGTGTCCCAGACTTTTAGGTGGAAATGCCTTTCTTCTTACATTGATGTTTAAGCAAGTACTTACAACTTTGCCTTCTCTTGTAAAGCAGAATAGTGCGGCAAACAATCTTGAATATTTCCCTTGTAATGTACTTACACTGTGAATGAATTCGCTAACATTGTTTTGAAGAAATGTCTTGAAAGCTTCTCACTCTTTGGGTAGAAATCTCATTTACTTTTTGAAAGTCAAAAATAAAACTCTAGCTAGGCTTGTAAATAATGTTTTAAAGAGTAACTACTTAGCTGTACAGGGAAAAGAACAACATATAATCACAAAGGTGCTGTATAGCACCTGTCCATGATTTTACTGCAATTTGCATTATAGAAAGTTTTGTGGAGGGAATTTAGGAAACATTGGTTTGCATATTCTGTATCTGAAAATCAGGCCAGTGCAACCTCTTAAGACGCTTTCTTGTACAAACTTTGAGCAGAAAACTTGGTTCCTCTCAGCAGAATACTCAGTATATGGTCATGATGCAAAATCATGCATGGACCTATATGCATGTAAAGTTCATTGCAAGAATCAGACGTTCCTCACTGCTCACCCAGCAAGACAGATGTTATTGGAGACCAGGCGGCCCAGGGAAAAGTTTACGTTAGGACACACTGGGCTATATTTGTTTCAAGAGATCTATCAGATGTTTACAGGGAGGCAACATACCTGAACACACGAAATGGCACATAAGTAAATATTAATTGCTTAACTTAAATGAGTAATTATTTACCTTTGTGAATATAAGAATATATTTAGGGCTTTGTTTGACTTGATGATCCTAAGCCCAGATGATTTGGAGTTAACTCTCGGCAGCTTGGGAATTCTTCGTGTACCTCCAATTTACACAGCTACAGGGCAACTAGCTGCTAGGAGTAGGACTGAAACTGCAGCAACTTGAAGGATGGGAAATACTTTAATGCCCATCTGATGCAGTGTTAGTTGTGCATAGCTGTAGTGTTTCTGTTTTTTCCAAACCTTAACTGCATTACCATTAGCAGTCCCCAGGATGTCTGGTTTAGAAAAAAAAAAAAGAAAATAAACAAACAAAACCCCACAATTCTTGATGACATTATATTATGCAAGAATCTCAGTCTCAATTTAAGAATATATACAAAATCAATGTGATTCTTGAAATAATTAATTTCTGCAAAACTTAAAAGACAAGGACAAATAAAAAGAAGATGTTTCCGAAACTTAAAAACAGAAGAGCCCTGTGATGTTAAGCCAATGCCACAATTATTTGAGGCTGATGAGTTTTACTGTGTGTGGGGTAGGCATGACTGCATTATTAAGTCTGGGAATTCATATTTGTGAAAGACACAGATTCCTACCCACCCCACAAAAACAAACAAACAAACAAACAAAAAATCTGCAATGAAAAAGCAGTAACGTTAGCAGATCTCAAGAGTGTCATGCTGTTGTTACAGAGGTGAGGTGGATGCTGCTTGCTGGCAACTGCTCAAGAAAGATGCGTTTGTACCTCCAGGGGCC